GCAAGATGGACCAAGGTGGCGATCCCTAAAATACCTGTGCCTACATCCAGTGACGCAAAACCGAGTGAGGACAAGGAACAGGACGTCACTGACCTTCCTATTTATCAAAGAGACTTACCGGATTTTTTAAAGGACTAACAGAAGAAATGAAAGAGGCTGAGACTGTGAAGAGAAAAGCTGTCGACAAGCCTGACAAAGAATCGAACTGTTTTTGTTGTTCTGTTTTGTTCTTGTTGTTTTATTGTTGTTGCTTGTGGGGGATTTCTATGGAACATGRCTTCGAGACAGGGGTCATGTGGCCAGCGTGGAGCTGCTTGGCTACAGAGCCAGTCATCAGCCAATAACGGCAGAGGTAAAGTAACATCAGGCAGCTCCTACCCCTTCCCCATTAGGTCCTATAATAATGGACCCTTGGCTGATGCAATACCCGCTGCCGGTTGCAACATCTGTGCCTTATAAGGAGTTTTGATGACGCGTTTCAAATGTTACCCAATGAGAAGTGTATCCTTGTAATATTCATAAGATTCATTAGTGTGGTTATATAAGGTGTGTTCTGAGTTAATAAAGTGAGTCTGGYGGATCATCTTGTGGTGGTCAGAGTGCTGTCTCCCRTCGCTTCCCGACAGTTACCATGTAWAAAGTTTGCCTTCTGATATGTTTAACAGTTTGCACTTGCAGGTCTTTCGAGCTSACTTGACCCTTTTTAAAAGAAAACAGGGGAAATGTGGAGGGCCTGTCTAAGGCCKGGTTAAGGGATAGAAGGCCTGTGAATATTCTGGAACTGTCTGAGCCATTGGCCATCGTTAGCCACGAACAGCAGGTGCTGTAACGGTTCCAGTGGGGCCCTGTCCCGTGTACCCTCGTGACCACCAGACCTGCTAATGTATCTAATGGTAAAAGGGAGTCAGCACGCGAGACCTGTAACAGCAGAGTTGCCATAAAAGGCAATATATATCGTTAGTAGGGGTTGATAAGTGTTAAGTTACTGTTATTATCGTTAGGAAAACGTTGGATTAAACAGTTGTTACCGTTAGGAAGTCTGGTTATATAAACGCTCCTGTGTGCACAATAAAATCGAGAGCGTTCTACCAGATCCCGAGGTCRTTTGTGCGTCTCTCCCGTCGCCCTGACAAATGGTTGCTTYGACACACCAGAAAGGGTAAAATGGATTTTTGATGATCCCTTGTTTCTTCTCTTGAACTTTTACATGAGTAAAAACTACTCTGTCTTCATAAAGAAAGGGAAAAAAAAATAAATAAAACTTTTTATTTTGACACTGTGAAAGCCCCACTGGAGATGAATCATGAGCTTTTACTGCAATGTGACTACTGTTGCACCCTGACCTATGCTGCCTATTTTAATTTGAATTACCTTACCTGCATGGTACAAATCATCTCTTGGTCTTGTGTAAGATCTTAGAAAAAGCAGGGTATTCCAAGGCAATGAAAATGCATTATTTTCTGCAATGACAAAGCTAATAATAACACCCCTATTTAATCCTTTTCTATGCTTGGTAARGTTTGCTGAGAGTTACTGCCTTGACTCGACTAACTGTGTTCTGGGCAGGAGAAGATGGAAGTGAGAAATTGTCTTGTAAAAACACATGTCCCCAAGAGAAAATTTAAGGCAAAGAGGATTTTCGAAGTGTAAACAGAAGTGTGAATCATTGCCAGTGAATGTTAAGCTTCATGACTGCTTTTAACTTCAATTTGCATAGTTGCACTTTCAGGCCGACTTTAGGTGATGAGGTACAATCTTCCTAAACCCTACATTTTCTTCCTAAAGATAAGGCTTCAAATCAGAGCACTGCTTATCTAGAGTTTAGTWAGGAAAAGTATTTAGCAGTTGTGATATAGCTGCTTACCTGACTCCTGCTGTAGTAGTAACAGTTGTGTTAACATGTATTTTTGTACTGGTTTTATACAGGGTGGAATTAAGGCCCTGCAGGATCAGGGAATTGACACAGAAGGGCTGGAAACTCCAGGAACACCAGCAGTGGATGTTTGCCCCATGCTCTCAACTACAAATACCCTAAAAAATACAAGTTATGTATTCATAATGTTCACTTAATGCTGCAGGAGAGAAAGCTTTTCAGACAGCTTTCCTAACTCAGTGCTGAAAGCCCTGCAGGCTGCTGATGGTTGAATAATTGACCTTGTCTCTCTGTTGCACTCAATTGTGATATGCTGGACTCTCTACACTGCCCTTTACTGCTGAACACCTTGATCTGCAGCCTGAAAAGCAAACAGGTAGAAGAAGCATTGTGAAAAGAAGAGATAAWTYTTTTTTTTTTTTTTTTATTCCAGTGAGACAATCAGAATCAGTTTCTTTTTCCCTGACATTTCACAAATCGCAGAATGGAGCCCTGAGCTTCTTGCCTCTTGCTCAGAGCTCTCTGGATGCAGCAGGATGAGACTCACATGATACAAACAGGGATGCTCTCACCATACGTATTTTCAATGTGATTCTTTTTTACAAACACCTGTGAATAAAACCCCTCGTTGTCATCACTGGTGGGAAGCATCCACCCCCCCAATAATCCATCAGCACACATATATGGGGTGTGTTTGTGAGACACTGGCAGGGCTGGGAGTCGTGGGGTGTGCATTGAGGCTGCTGATTGTAACTCTGGATGTGCTGGGGACTCTGCCTGCTCTGGGGCTGAGAGGTATCTTCTGGCTGGGGCTGATYAAGTGAGTTACATGACGGTGTGCATTAGTAACAGCTGCACGTCGTCCTCCATGTGCTAAGTGAAGCTCCTTTGTTACAGRAAGAAAAAAATCCACTTCAGAAATACTGAGAGAGGTTTCTTATGTACCACATCCCTGAGCCTGTGGAAACCTAGGGCTTTGCTACAGGTTTTAATAAACTCACTTTTTAYTCATAAAGAGGCATAAAGCCTTTCAAAATTGACCTTATTTTTGACTAGGACCAAAGGTCAAGTCTCAGTTAACTYATACTCCTGGAAATGTCTCAGCCAGAGTTTGCACGTCCATTCCTCCATCCAAACAGTATTAATCATACCCCTGCCATCTCAGGGTGCTGGAGTAGCTCCGCATTTCCCAAGCATATTTTTTCCCCCTTTCTCTACCTATTCTTCAAGTCCACACACTATGGTGACCCCCACATGAACACCAAGCAAGTTTGCTGCTTTCATTTCTATAGCATATTCCTGAACACTCTAGGTTGTGCTCAAAACTTGGCAGACCCACACTCCCTGTAAAAAAAAAAAACTTTATTCACTCTTGTCAGTGGGAAAACTTTTAAGCGTAACCAGTCAAGACTAACGAAGTAAGAGGCAAGCAAAACAGCTTTTCTYATCTGCTATTTAAAAACACTTATCTTCAAGTCATCTTGAATTTTTGCACTTGACGACTTTTGAAGTTTGGGAGGTTCAAATATTAGCTCTCAAATTACTTCCACATCAGCAAATCTATAGCATTTATTTCCACCATATATATTTTGCCACTCCTGCTAGCATTGGTGACAGATGAAGGCCACTGCTGAGTTGCTAGGAATGCCCTGCGCTAAAATGATCAGATTAAAAGTGAAAAAAGGACGTGGGCTGTAAGGAGCCTCTTCCCCTTCTTAACATGTGCTGTAGAGTGATGCCACCTGCATCAGGTCACAGATGCCASTGCAGATGGTGTGTCACCTTATGTAACCTGGCAGGGGCCATACGATACTAGGACACCGTGTCTGGGTCAGGTTATACAACTGTGGAGGATGTGTCTGAGCCTGATGGCACAACCCAGCATCTGGGCAGGGGCCTGTGTCACCCTACGTGCAACGTGAATTACAAGGGCTCAGAGAAAGTGGGACCCCTTGCAGTCAAATAGATTACAATACTTCAAGGTCTCCAGTACAAGCAACYGCAAGCAAATAAGCACCAAAACAAAGCACACAGAATGGCAGTAAGAGGTGGTGGTGGCAGCAGCACATTCAGGACAAGTCCGAGGAGGGAGGTGTTTATCCGTGCTCCGGGGGAAGGAGGCTGTGGAGCTCCCTGCTGCAGGCTCTGTGGATGCTGCTGCTTCAGGCTGGAGCCAGGAGCACCATTCCCCAGCAGACTCCTCCTGTGTACTATCGCTAACCAAAACATGGACATAGATAAATAAGCTATTCCCAACACTAAATTATTTGTGAGGGGGTGTCCTCAKTTCTTACTAATGGATGCATTCACAGTTTTCTAGTGGTTTCATTTCCAMTAAGCTGACTAAATTTCATCTGTTCCCCCACCTTGTCATACTTTATAAAGCTACTACCTTTATTTCAATTTTAAGTAACTTCTAACGGTTTTTCACACCATAAAATACAGTGACAATTACTGAAGGAATTAAGATTACAATCACCACAGCCTGTTTTATTCTTGCACTAAGGGGCTGGAATTCAGTCTGTGTAAGGAACATCACAGAAACTATTTTGAAGAACACCAAACTGCTGGATATGGACTCGTGAAGTGGAATCTTCTTGGATTCTCTTGGACATTTGGCCAGCCTCACAATCACTGTTCCCCTCCCCCTCTGCTGCCTCTTTCTCTTTTTATGATCTTATACTTTCCGCCCACTGGCCTTCAGRCGGCTTTCGCCCTCCACCCGCGGCCGCGCTCCCCTCAGCGGGCTCTCCCTGCGCTGCCACCAGCGCCCATCATTTTCTCTCCTTCCCCTCCTTCCCATCCCTTCTCGCCCTCGTCACCTACCCCACCGGAGCCGCGGGCGGGACAGGGCACCTCCTCCCTCATCCTGCCCTCGCAGAGGGAGCCCCGGAGCCGCGGCTGCCGGCGGGGCTGCGGGCGGGGCGGCGGGCGCTGCCATCTCGCGGCCGCTGGGCGGGAACGGCCGCCATGTCGCTGCGGGACCGGACTGGACGGGACGGGACGGGACGCGCTGCCTCAGGGCGCTGCCGTGTGGAGACCCCCGCGGTTTAGCCTCGTTTATCGGGAAAATGTTGCTGAATGTGGAACATGTAAATTTTTTGTCTTAAGAAAGGATGTTCTTTGATGTTTGGTCTCTATACTTTCAAGCCTTCTCAACGAGAAAGGAGATTTAATCCGTGAAGCAGAGCAGCCAACGAGCGCCAAGTGGCGTCCAGATGTTAGTTAGGATGACAAATGAATTATCGGTAGAATTGCCTTGTTTAGGTTTAGATCTCCACGTGTTTTAATGGTCTGAGATGGATGAGGAAGTTAACAAAGCTCGGAAAGAAGGATGTGCCACTGATAGCGGATACAGAGAACGCAGAATTTGTGGCCACTGGGACACTTCGCAGAATCCACAAGATAAGGAAGAAACCAATGAAACTCGGCAATTGTGCTAAAATAAATTCCAACTGGGTACAAGGTAATCCCGGCAGGGGCAAATCGGGATCCCACTCATCCAGGCATCACAGACCCAAAAGAAGACTGAGCTCATGTACTAATTAGCATGTGAGGGAATCATTAACCAAAAAGAGATAGGATACTAATTAATAAGAGAAGTATGTCACTTGAATTTCACCAATGAATGCTAATTCCTTTGTTTGCTAAAAATGTATAAATACTAAATTTTTTGTTATAGTAGGGGTGCTTGATTTGTGGAATAGCAGGGAACAGCCAGGCTTGTAAAACTCTAAAATAAACATCAGCGTCTCTCTCAGTAGGTAATTATTGGGGTAATGAATATGGGTTTTGTGGAAAACAAAGGGGTTGTGAAATAGTGAGCAACCCTGGGTTTTTTTCCCCACAAAAATAAAAGGGGCACAAAAGGAGAGTTGGTGTGCCTTAAGTTCCATGTCAGCATCCAGGGGTGAGGACGCAGAGCTGGGACATCTGTCATGTTGGATTTCTCTCTATGAGAAATTACAGAAATCAATACTGTTGCATTCTGGAATCCCCCTCAGCTTTTCCTGAACCTGAAGGCAATTACTGGCTCGGGATTTCTGCACTGGAAGCAGCACAGCAGGGTGATCTTGCAGTGAAGGTGCTCCTTTTTGTTGGTGGTCTCAGCTGTACTTTGCCTATCTTTTAGGGATGGAACGTGGAATAGCCAGCACACCTGAGTAGTCTCTCGTAGCCCAGACATTTGTCAGGCATTATCTTTATGTTAACAGGGAAATAATGAACAGGAGCACTAGAGCTTGGGTAASTGCTAGAACTTAAGGAAGAAATTGTTCCCTGTTAGAATGGTGAGGCCCTGGTGCAGGTTGCCCATGGCAGGGGGGTTGGAATGAGATGATCTTTAAGGTCCATCCAACCCAAACCATTGTCTGATTCYATGAGCAAATTCCCAGCCAATCTTCTCTGCTGCTTAGCTTCTCTCTCCTTCAGGATTTTAATGTGAATCATTCAGATGGTTATTTAGAAATACATTGGTTTTTGTCAGCCACTAGGAAAACAGAAGTTGTAAAACCTTAGAAAAAAAACAGTTACCTCCTCTTATATAACTTAAATATGTATTTGCTTAAGAGTACAATTCTCATAGTAAAAATGGGCTTCCCAGTTTAAAATGAGCACCTGCTCTATGATGTTAACATATGTTTCTCTGGAAGGCATCAGTTGGAAAGAAAAGCCTGGAAAACAGCCACTGAGAGCTGTGCCTGATGGCTTTTGAAGCTGTGTTGTGACCTGTAGAGATCAGACTTTAATCAATAAATCTGTTTGTATTTTCATTGTAAGATGAAAAAASTTTGCAGTGCCAAAGCTGAAAGGCATGGGTTTTTTTCCACAATTCAACCCTATTTTTTTTTTCTCCTCATGTTCATTGGTGACAGAAAAGGAACTCTATAGAGATCCAATGAGTTTCATGAATTAGTTCCCACTGGAGATATATTGTTGACTCCTGGACAGCAAACAGGGAATGTTGGAGAAAATGCTTAATAAACATCAATTTGGCAGCAAGAAAAGAGTGAACGCAGTTGCTGAATTGATTTGTTTCAGTCTGTGGAGGGAAATGAGCMAAAAAAAATTCAGGTAGCAGTTAGGATCTGACTGGTAAGCACTGATGAGAAGCTGTGCTGTTGGACAGACTGCCAAGGMAATCAGGAAAAAATAATCTCATGCAATGTATATTGCTTTTGGGATTGAAGCACAGTCTTCGGTCCATACATATGGCAAAGTAGCCTTCTTGGGGATACACTGTGCTTCTGCAAACTCTGAGAATTGCTCGGGCTTAAGGGTCATCTCCTTGATCCTCCCTCACTTAGGAAAGAGGCCAAAAGATTTTTTAAAAAAATACCCTACAGAAATAAAGAAGCAAACTCTGGCAACTGTTCCTGATAAAAAAAAATGTACATACATGCAGGAGAAGAGAGTAGCTGTACCTATGCCTGTGGTCACTGTGAGGTGGCAGCAAGGCCAAGTTTTCTGCCACTGAGGCTGTGAGAAGTGTAAATCTGGGGAGAATGTGGCTGCTTGTTTTGCCAGAGATCACCCTCAAGATGCAGATGTTCCTTAACCAGAGGCAGTAAAACTGATTGTTTTACTTTCAGAATCCTTGCTGCAGAAGCTAAGTAAAGGGATTTAGGGCCGAAATTAATTCAGTGATTGTTCTGTCCAGGGCAGAATGATGAAAAAAATCCCTGATTTAGAGGCTCTGGAAATGGGGAAGGCAAAGAGTCAGGGAAGTGTGTGGTTTTTGTCTTTCTTGTCACTCTTTCAAACCAAATGTCTGATTGTACAAAAAACCTGTGTAGCCATCAGAGCTCTAGAACAAAGAGAAATCTGAGTTTTGCCAATAGAAGGAAAAGAAGGAAAGACCCCAAACAGTCATCTATTCAAGCCTGGTATTAAGAGGCTGTGTTTTTATGGGAAAAATACCCGTATTTTGTGGATTGTGGTCTTGTCAGGATCCCACACTACAGTTTTAAAATACTATAATTGGATTAATTGGATTAACAGGCAGTGAACAAAGACAATGAGAAACTGGACAAGTCTCAGGAGTGGGGTTTGGTCTCCAGTCTTTGGCCATTTTAGTGGAAACTGTCCAGCTCTGCTCTCAAAAGCTGCAAAYTTTGCACAGGTCGCATGCCTTGTTTGTGAAAGGTTTCCTGGACACCTGAGGAGACCTCATATCACACAATAACTGTGTTTAGGCAATTGTTTAGATGACCTTTACTTTTTAATAAACTGCACTTTACCTYAGTGAAAAATAACAACAGGTTGTTCAGTAATGAGAAAAAAAGGCACTTGCTCTGTTCCGAGATCTGCGAACTGGCATCAATTCTTGGTCTCTTCTTCCCTCCCACTTCATCCTGTTRGGAAATGTGAATGGATATCTTATTCTGGAAACTTGGTTTGTCATTTGTGTTAATATAAGCAGGACAAACTGTTCTTAATTCTAGCATTARTTTTGCAAGTCACCATGATGTAAATGCTGTTACCAGTGGTAAGCTCTGCACTGAGTCTGTTACCATAGAAAAGCAAAATGCTGCCCTGTTCCTATGCTACAGTATTGCATTCACAATCTTACAATCATGGCTCTGGTTAATCTCCTTTCTGTGATTTGCTGGTTGTTTATAAGATAGGAGTGTCTCTTAGGAGACTCTTATTTTCTTCCTTGTATTTCATTCTCTGATTAGAAGAATAAAAAAAAATACATGCTATGTAAACCTACACCCCCCATTCCACATTGCATCTCTTCTCTCTGCAGCTAATTTACAGATTGGAAAGTGCTAGTGTGCTGTGGTCTTTCAATTCCATATGTTTAAAATGGCCTTTAGGTGTGATCAAATTTTCTCAGAATTCCAGAAGCATTTCTTCACCCTTGGTATTCTTCTGTTTTTGTTTTTATAAAGCTGTTGTCAATCTGCTTTGCTCTGTGATCTGTGGTGGAGAGGGGTCTGTAGTTCCAGATTGCAGTTACCAGAAGGTTTGTTTTATTTTGCTGACTAAAGAAGGCATCTCATTTTCTGATACCAGGTGGTGTATTCACCTTTGCTTCTTTTCCTTGCTTGCTTGTTTGCAAACTGTTCCAATGAGCTGATGCACCGTTACCATGTGTYGGGTTTTGTCCCGGAAAGACAAGCATAGCAAACTTTTAATGGGCTACAGAGCAGGGATAATTTTATAGAAATATTTTACTGAGAGCAAAGAGACAGTGCTTTGTGTTTAAATGCAGGAACTGATCAGCAACCTGTTCAATACAAGCAAAGTGTATTATCTTGTTTTCATTCTTCTCCAAAGAGGGATCCTTTTAGAATTTATTACTGACAAATGCCTAGGAGATTAACCTGTTTTCTTAATGGTAATTTATAATGATATTATAATCTGCTCTATGTAATGCTCCCTTACCCGGAGGAAATGAAAACGGGTCTAGCATGAAGAAGCCCTTGTTGCTGTGGATTTGTCCTCACTGATATTCACATCCATCAATGGAAGTGTTTTTGATTCCCCCCTGCAGGAATGGCTCCTGGAGACTCCACGTATGTGGGGTAGACTCTGTCTGGAAGTATGCCATAGGATAGAGGAGTGGTGCTTAGATTTTCAGTGTGCTTAGGCAAGGCCTCCTAAGGTGTATTTATGACATCAGATGGGCAAAGGTGATGGAATAATGTCAATGCCAGCCCTTCTCTTTTTTTATTTCCTTTTTTTTTTGGCTAAATCAGATTTTAGCAGGGACAGTCAAAGGAACATTCAGCATGTTTTGGAAATCTTCCATGGAGCAGTCTTTTCAGCAACACAGCTTAGTGGTAAATTTATTGCTATAGGCAGCAATAGTAAATCAATGGGGTGCTGATAGCTCAATGAAAATAGCATTAAATTACCTGTGTCTGTTAGACTCCCCTCTCCTGGAGGGAGGGACGTCCATCCGCAGTTTGGCCAGAGGCATGCCAGTCATTCTGCAAAGCCAGCTCTCTGGAGCAGGGCTTCTAAGCACTCTCTTTTCCAGCTGGAAAATAAATCCACAAAGCAATTTTTACTTATTTATTTTTAATGGACTCATTTGAGTTCCTTGAGRTCAGCGCATAAAATCAACATGTTTCTACAGTTGCATAATATGATGTAACCACAGGTCCCCTTCAGAGCTCTTGGTGAATAACCTCAGTGTCTGGATCATACTCTCTGTCCCCATTCCATGTGCATAGTGGGGATAACAGCCAGTGGTTTCCGCTAAGGATTAAAGTAACATCTAAACCACAGCTTTCTCCACAGTGTCTGGAAACAATGGAAACTGGAATTAGCAGGGAAGACAGGATATAAATCTTATTCTTTTATTGCCGAGGAAAATGATTGGAAATTAGTTTATTCTGATGGATGTGCACGTAGCCAGATGTGCAGAAATGTGCTAACATATTTATCACACAGCCTACAGTGTAATTTGATTTTAATTTCATTTTCTTCTACTGTTGGGCCTGTGCTTGTGTGARGAAAGAAGAGAATCCAAAGGCTCTTTCTTTCTTTTATGTATTTTAATTAGTGGGCTGATGCTTTGATATATGTAAGCTGGGTGAGAGTAGGGAATTTAACCGGACTGGCTCAGGAACTTGTATTATCTTCACTAGGAATAAATTATATCTATGGGAGGTCATCTCATCACTTTTCCTCTGGAAGCCCTCCATTCATCCAGGCGAGCTCTTCCCTCTCCTGCTGGCTCTTTGGGCAGAATAGATTTTCTGTTGCCCTCAGTTTTAGAATTCTGTCCTGTTTTTGTACCAGAAACAACAGAAGTTGATTTTGCTTGGGCTTCTGGTCCTGCATCTTCACAAAATTTTGCACTTTTCTTCACACCCCACACTGTGTGATCAGAGTTGCTAGAAGCAGCCCTCAGAAGCTGTGGTCCCCTTCCCCCAACCACTTTTGGTTCTTTTACTTTCTTCGGTGCCACAGCAAATGTCAGCTCTTACTTCAGACCGGGCTGTGAGTTAGTAGCAGCTTTGTTAGATGGTTTGCTGTGAAATGGCAGGACACCATTTGATTTTACAGACTTARGATTGTTTGAGACTTTGATGGTCTCCAGAACTGCATTACAGCTTTTTGTGAATAAAGAATTTGCTGCTTGTTTGGTGGCAGAAGAAGCTGGCTTCTTGTCTGGAAAAGAATTCTTTTCCCCCTCAGTTTTTTCTGCTTTTTGGAAAGAATTTATCTTAGATTGGATTACTTTGCCACTGTATCTAACCAGCTAAGAGCTGGTTTCTTTGGTACTGTGAAAAACGAGGCTTACGCTTTTGTTAAAATTTGAAAGTTTAACGAATGACAATAGGGGACAAAAAAGCAAAAGGATATGGCGCTGGGTGCTTGGGGATTTGCCAAAAGCACACCCACTATTGACAGAGACCTCTTTAAATACTTTTCATATTGCATCAAAGTAATGCCTATTCATAGGCATCTSTGCATAGTCAAAATTTTCCAGGAACTGTTTAGCATGGCACCCCCTCCTRTGTAGCCCCCTGTTCCGTGGTTTCAGCAGATGACAGTTGTTGATASAAGCRTCCATAGCAGGGGTCGTTGATGGATTATGACATTTCTTGGACTGTCCATGTAGATAAATTTGTCTTACATGTTGGGGGTCTTTTCTGCTGCGTTCCTTCGTGCAGCAGAGGACAGGTGATCCACAACCTCTGACCAGAGACTTTCCACTACACATCCCAAAGCATCTCTTTCTTCCTCCCTCATCCTTTGGTGTCAKGGTCTGTGCTGGTMCRGCASCTCATAGCCTTGGGGCTATGGCSTCTCCACCCCTAAGGTGCTAAGCTTTGTGATTTCTTTATGATTGTGTCCTTTTCCCCGGCTCTGAGTTGTTTCCTATCTTTTAATGACCAGTGACGCCTGGGCCTCATTCAGGGTTTTTTTTTTTTGGTGACTGTCTTTGCAGCTTTTGTATCATTTTGCTGTAATATGCAAAAAGTCCTTCATGGAAATGTTTAAGTTGCAAGCCATTACACTTCAGTTATTGCAAGTTAACCACAAATGCTCTAAAACTACATCAGCTATATTACAACTATATGTAAGCTACAAAAAAATAAAAACACTAAGTGATTATTTCACAACTATGTCTACATAACTAAGCATCCATTTTAATACCTGCAAAAGCCAACGCTACGGTATGTATTTATAACAGTATGCTGACACTTGCATTTTGTTTTTCTCCCATCAAATTCCTCTAATTCTTTTTATTTACAGAAAGGCATATAACTACTTTATATCAATAACTTTATTTTTTGGAGTTTGACCTTCAAGATCACAGTTTGTCCCCGACATTTAACTTGTCAGTGGGATTGTGGAAGAGTTAATCCCCGATATGTACCTTGTCAGTGGGATTGTGGAAGAGTTTAACATTTGTTTCCGAGCTTACAATTGATTAGTTCCATGACAATTCATCAGCATTCTCTTTATCTTCCATTTCTCGCTTTGGAGATGTTGAGACCTGTGACTTGTCTTGCGGTTGACTGCTAATCTCTCTCCTAGTTCTGCTAGTGTTATAAACGACCCAGACTCCAAGTGAGAATGAGCCAAAAAGAGAAAGTTTATTTGAGAACCCAAAAAGCCACAAAGGGAGAGTATACAGCAACACTGGGCACATGGCTGCTTCCCAAAATGCACCGAGGGGYGGTGGGCACCGCCTTTTATGCCCTCCTGCCTTATAGATATGTATGTTACTTTTCCATAGTTCCCGCCCTACGTCTGGCACAGGCGCAGTCCTGGTGACTGTGTTACCTCGTGTTCCCATTGGCCCGGGCTGTTGYGGGGGGCTGTCAGTGTTCTCATTGGCTGGAGCCTTGCAGCAACTAAACTTTCATGTAACTTTTCCCCTTATTGAAATGCAAGACCGACTTCCCCCAAAGTCAACCCTCTGCAATAACTTAAGTACAGTTCAAGTCCGTATTTACAAAAAAAAACATTATCATAAATCCAACATTAAATTATACAATACRGTGAAAGCCAAATTCTACAAAACTTATTTATAACAGCTAGTGATGGATGTCTGGTTTTCTTGAATGGGCACATCTGGAAAGGTCTTTCTTAAYAGATATTCTTCAACTTTCTGTTGTCTTTATTTGCGGAATGCAGRCTCAGAGCTGAGGAACCGCACACAGCCTTATCATTACAGTTATTGCTTTATTTTCCTATTTCCACCCAAATGATAGTGCAAATTAATGGAATCTGTTACAGGTCTTGCTAAGTGCAGTTTGTGATTACCATGTCTAGAAACTCCACCCTGGGGATACACCAGAAGTACTGACTATCCCTGGGTCAGCCTGAAAATGATCTTCCATAAGTTTGCTCAGCAGGAAAGRATTAAACTATTAAACAGCTGAATGAGGTGGATAGTAGGGTTGAAAGCCTTTGATCCAGGCCACCCAATTCAATCTAATAGTGGGAATTAGCTGTCCATTGCTAACCTCCACCTGAAAATCATTTGCATCTGAGAATTATTTCTTGACCCAGATGAAGTTAGCTAAAAATCTCAGGGAGCTTCTGAGGAGGCAGATACCCACATCACAGAATTATTGTCCCAGGGTTTGTGGGTGTTAATAGTCTCAGCAGACACGGTGTTGGGCTTGGTTTTATTCCTAGGTTTGTCTTACTTAGGAAGAAACCTCTTCCTAGAAGGCCTGAATTACTTCTCCATCTGTTAGATAGGGGTTGGGCGTTTCCACTTCCTAAACTTTCAGTCTCAAATTTCTGATTTTCTAGATAAAGAAACGTAAATGTCTGCTCTTAGTTTTAATGACGACTGAATTTACTGTTGGCTTGAAAAGGATAAATTCAGCTAAAAGGATGTGTCCCCAGTATTGTCCAGTTTTAAGCCCCTAAGAAATCTTACTATCTTTTGTAGCTGCCGTGTACAAGTTCCTGCTTAAGCAACATTTTGCTAATGAAATGTTTTGCAATTCAACCTCTTCTTGAACAGGTAGGACAGTCTAAATGCAATAAAGATAAAATTAGGATAAGTGAAAGATATTGGATGTTAGACATGCACATACTTTGTGAATTTAGGGTAAAATAAATAGCTGTAGAGCTTAGTAAAAAGAAGAAGAAAAAGAAGATGGGGGGCAAATTGTATTCTCTGGTATTGGGGAATATCAAAACAGGAGATAATTTTTAGTTTGGGCTTGTACTGTGATATTGTTCTGTTCAAAGGGAAGTGTTKTATGTACTGACAAAATGCTGGCAGCTCACAGAGACAGAATTGATGTTAATGGTTGGGAATACAGGGCAATGTAGCCAGTTAACAAAAGAGCGTGATCTGTGCAGAAGATGATTCTGAGCAGATACACACATCTATAGAAAGCAAGATTAATTTAGAGACCTTTGTCATTAAAGCAGCTTTTTGTATGGTTTTGTGTGGGATTTAAGGGGGATTAAATGTTTGACATCACTTTGCCTGCACAGGCTATGTTGAAGAGGTTACTGAGCGGGTGATGGAGAATTTAAAAACGCGCCTCTGCTGAAAGAGTGGCAGCAATGGATCAGAGGAAAGCAGCCTGGCCAAGCAAACTGCCCTACCTACCACAGTGCTGAAAACAAGGTGCTTCTGGTTGGACAGCAGGTGCTGCAGGGATGTGGAGCTGAGGGAATATTCATAATTTGCCAAAATAGGAGGGGAACTCAGCGAGGACATCAGAACTGGGATGCCCCTGTCTTCTCTCTTCAGTGATGCCTTGCTTCCYGTGCATCTTTGGTATGCTATGCTGTTTCTAAACAGTAATAACACTAAGAAGTCAGCAAGGTGGATTGGGTGATCAGGTGCATTTCTCTTTTGGAAGAGATGGTCCTGGTCATGAAACTTCTGTTCCTCACCTGCCTATGGCCAACAGCAATGCTACACAGTTCTCACACTCAGCATCACCGTCTTCATCGTCGGCAACAAATGTCGTTCTCAAGAAAACATACCAGGTAAGAAACAGACTTTATCTGTATTAATGGGGTGAACTTCCTGCTGTCAGCTGCCTTTCAGCACACCCTTTTTGTTCGCTGTCCTGTTTTTTCAGTTTCTAGATTTATAGTATGCATAGTATTGATAGARTGTTCCCAAAACAGAAATGGTGAGCTGTTAATTAATTTTTCATAACCACACCTTTCATACTGTGATTTCACAGATGTTTCATGTATATGCAGTTATGTACCCACTCACACCAGCTCTTTTACCTGGTGTGATACAAGGCTACTGTTGTGATGCTAGATATTACTGTTGTAATATCCCAAGTATTCTTGCACTCTAACTCCTGTCGCAAGAAGCAGAAATACATTCCAAAATTCTATGCCAATATTACAAAGTGACTTCCATTACCTAAACAGCAGGGTAGCTACACTMTAAAGATACAGAAATTCTTTTTCTGGCACTAAATGAGGTGAATGACACTTTATTTGTAGTGATGACATAGCCTGTTCCCTTTCTGGAATATATTTAATGCTTTTGGACACTGAAGATTGTCTCTGTTCTTAGTCTTTCCAATCAAGTAGCTGGTTGAAAATGAATAATGATACAGAGGTTTTTACAGGTAAGTTTCTGTGCAAAGTGTCAGTGCTTTTTCCCCACGAAGGCAGTTCACTTCTGCCATGTGAGGTCTCTCAACCTATTTCTGGATTAATCTAATACTCTGTGAACAGACCAATGGCTGCCAGTGATAATTCAAGAAAAGTTTCTCTTTCTTRGGAATAATTAGCTCCATTTAAGGAAGGAGAAGGGATGCAATTGTTAGATTTCTTCAATGTGCTTGATCCCCATCTGAAATGAGCAGCAGACCTCACAGTTGATTTGTACAATATCACATATTGAAGAAAAGTCACATAACTGGACTCCTTTGATGTGTTTAAGCTGTTTTTTTYCCTCAAATTGCATGCTGTGTAGCTTTTAACCTCCTGTATCACCACTTACGCAATAATCCAGCAGTGAAACGTCTCTGGAACGCTACACGTCTTGATAAAATCATGTTTAGCAATGCAAGGTAACAGATGACACAACAGAGGTGCCCAGAGATGCTGTGTCACTCACTACTGGGTTTCTTTTTGAAATTATGGGTCCAAGTTGAGTATAAGCCAAAAGCTCATGAAAAGAATGGATATTGAGCAGGCTGTTTCGAACAGTCTGAGTGCAGGTGCACAATTATTTGTAATAACAAAGGAAAAGAAACAGAACTAGCCCCAGTATCRACATAAGGTTTAATCTGGTGCTTTGCTAGTTTTTGGAAGCCGTTAAAAGGAAGAATAGGAGCAAGGAGGAATGCCAGGACTGCATTCTCATCTGATGCTGGCTGGTATGGTAGTTTGCTTTACACAAGGCATGCTTTGGCATCTCAMATCCTCATTTCCGAGGTCCTGGTGATTTTGAACTGGGAAGAAGACTKCAGAATCTGAGCCACAGAGGATCCCAAAGCTTAATAGCTGCAAATCAGCTTTTCTCTACAAAGGATCCAAATGTGTTTAATTTCTCTTTGTTTCATTCTCTGCTTTTGTTCTGAAGGCAGCATTATTCTCCGATACATTGCAATAGAGTCTGACTTTCCACCAGCATCTTTTTCTTTCTGGGGAAAAAATCTTTCAGCCAGCACTAGGGTTATTAGGGACACAGCTGACAGATGGCCTTGGTTAAATGGGTGGCCTTTTAAAAAGAATCCCATGTGAAAATGTTACTTAACCTACAAGTTCCACTGTTTTAATAGAGTAACCCAATTCTCCCTCCAAAGCTATTTGTCTGCATTCTCCTGTAAAGAAGATTTTAAAGCATTAACCAAAAGTACATGAGAAAGCGATTATTCTCATGGTCCATTTCCTACAGCAAAGAACAAAACATTTGATTGTCAAAATACTAGGTTTTTTTTGACAGTGCTATTGCTGATGTTACTGAACAATTAGAAATGTGTTTTCATGTGTGAGAGTGAGAACTGTACAATTTTGATTATTATTATTATTATTTTGATTTATCTGGGCTTCAAGATTTGATAAATGTATTAAAACATTTAAGAGATCACACTGCTGTATAACCCCACAGACTCCCCTTGGAATAAGATTTCTGTAACTTTTACCTTTTGGATACCTTTGATTTAGTAGTAGCCAGAGTGTCTTGGGGACGCAGCACTAAAAAGAAGCTTAGGACCATGGCTCCTATGGTATTCTTTTCATAAAAGGCATCTTAATAGTATACTTCTTGTAAACTTACCTAGTTTCATTCTGAGTATGAAAGGGTGGTAAAGAAAAAACCTTTCTTTACTATCACCATAGGATTAGCAAAGCTTTAAAACAGAACAGCCATGCAGGATCTTACCAGGGATCCCTATACTATACTGAGTTTATAACAAGGGCTTGCAAGCACCACCTTGGATAAGTAAGGACAGGGCAAACAAGATATTTTCCCTTGATATTCCCAGCCGTATCAAATCACCAGATTTCCTCCAGCAACATCTTACGTTGGATGAAATGTTTGCAGATTTAGTGGTCTTCAGTGGGTTTCTTTTCCATGAACTTGTCCGATTCCTCCTTGAACCAGCATAAACTTTTGATGACCAGACAAACAGATAGGACACAAACCACATCAATCCCATGAATGCCATTGGTTTATGAAGCTGCACTGATGGCATTAAGTGATTAAATGCTTTAACCAAAAATTATCTAAGTACCCTTGAGCAGATCTTTGACCTTTCATTCGCTAATGGTTTTCAAGGGTAGGTAGGAGCAGCTAAATTTGTCATTAAAAGCCTGCACACATCTTTGTCCATTGTTAATTAATTCTGAATTAGCTGCTTTGGTTTTGTAGGCAGTGATTGCTCTTTGAGAGTTCTGTCAAATACCAAGGTCCATGCAATAGTGTTGGGTAGGGAACTGTCAAAACAGTATTCCTCACTCTTTTTCATCCAAGAAGTTAGTGCTCCCATTAATTTAATATGTAAGTACCAACAAGAGCAACTTTCCTATGTGATCTGAAACACTGCAAGTGCTTTTTAGGACCTCTTTTGGAATGTAATTAAAGATTGCCATTTAATTTGCATAGTTAAAGTAAAACCTTGCCTGAAATAAGCTGTGGAAAGCACAGCTATAACTGGAAGCTGTAGTTTCTGGACCATGTGCCACACTGAGGCCAATACATTTTTATCATTGCCCAGATYGGTACCAATACCAAGGGATCTGTCAGAGTTGTCTTTATTACTACTACGCCAGGCAGGTAAAGAGAGATTTCCTTTGATTCACCATCCCTGGAGGTGTTTAAAAGATGTGTAGGTGTGGCACTTACGGACAGGGTTTAGTGGTGAACATGGCAGGGCTGGGTTCATAGTAGGACTCGATGATCTTACTCTTAGGTCTTTTCCAACCTGAATGGTTCTCTGCTTCTGTGTGGGCTTTTCTTCTCCAACACCATAGCCTGACATCTGCCATCCCATGAATGTGCAGAATCCATGGCTGTATTTAGACCCCTAGACCGTGGTGTGCTGCTCAAAGCTGCACAATCAAGAGACCAGGGTGCCAGRCCACTCAGATATAATCTGTGTTTTTGCTGTGCTTCTGTGAGAATGAAAAGTATATGGTAACTGACCTGAGGAAGCTTTTCTAAGACCTAGACTAGTCAGGTCTGTTTCTCCTGCTTTTTAAAGGGAATTGGTACCATGAGAAGGAGCACTCAAGAAAACATCTGCTGATGATTTCACGATACTGTAGTGCTGATGAATAGTTAGATGTATTTGGAGTAAACAAATACATACATGACTCTCCCTTTGAATCAACAGTTAAATAACTTTAATGCTGCAGTGGGGATAATTTAATACTGTRACTCTTAGCCAGGGAGCAACATCTGCTGGAACACACTTCTTAGGCTTGGGTTGGGGAAGCAGGAAAAGGAGAAAAAATGTGAAARGGAAGTGTATTATTTTTTAATTACTTTAAAAATTTTTGTAAGTTTTTGTAAGTTTTGGTACCTTTAAAAGTGGAATGTTACCAGTGTCCATGAAATTATTTCTAAGTACCTTAAACATATATATCTGCATGTAAGTTTATTTTCCTTTGCAGTAAAGGTTTCTATTCTGCCAAATGAAGAATTGAAGGTATTGAAGAAAAGATGCAGCATGTTTGTAATAAAAGTGCTGCTCTGATTCCTTCAAGATCTTGCCTGTGTTGAACAACTACTTTTGATAGCAGCTAGAAATAATTATAGAATTCTACCATTTGTGTAGAAAACATCAGCTTGAATAGGCTGTTCAAGTAAGTGGGCACAAAAGATGCTTTTCATATAGGTGCCATGGCTGCTTATTTTGTCTTCATCTGGGAAAATAGAAGGAATATCGAAATGCCATAAGATCTGTACTCAGTGGCATATTAAATAGAAAATTCCTGCCCTAAGTAGCTTAGGTTTTGCCTCTCTTGTGTCCAGGGAAAGTCTTCCTCAATCACAGACTTGCTTCTAGTAAGAATTTATAACAGATGAATCAGAGTTCCAGCCTGCTTCTTCCAATGAAATCATTGGAGCATCAAACAGGCATTTTCCTTGGCACATCAGATGACAAATAACCTCATGCTCCCAAACTGTATTAGCTGTACCATGGCATTCTGAACATAATTCATCATTTTCTCCTCTCCTGGATCCCAGGCAGCAGAATTTTCTCATGTAGAGCATTGCAGCTGTTCAGTTCTGCTGCCCATTCAACCCTGACACAGGCTTGCTCTATGGTGATTTTACTTCTCTGAAGCATGGGCTTTCATTTCAGCATCCACATGATTTTCATACTTAGAAAACTAAAGTCTGTTTTGGGAATGCCTTATGGACCTTCTGATTGCCCTGGTAATTTGATTCAGACAACACTGCCAGAGATTCAAGAATACAAAGGTAAATAAATTTGTTCAAGCCCAACAGTTCTGAGTAGCCCGGCAACCACCTCATCATTCCTGTAATTTAGAAGTAATTTCTTTATTAAACAAAAACGGGGGGAAAGAAGAAAAATAAGTAAATACAGGCATACACCTTATCCTAAGGTGTTCCATACCCTGCCTTAAGCAGTGTTTGACTACCAGGCCAATCTTCAGAACAGATTTCTATCATTCAGTCTAAAGTAATAATTAGAGTTGCTGGCAGCAAAGTCCCAGARAATCACAGCAGGCAGGAAAGAAATCATGTCTAGGGAAAGTTCGTTGCCTGTGGCAAAGCAGTTCAAGTCATTCCTGCAAATCAATGTCTGACCTATTCTTAAATAGCCTGAGTGAAAGGAGTCTCAGAACCTTCCCAAGCAATATGTTCCCATGTCTCACTGCTCTCACCATGAGAATACTTCTGTGAGAAAGGTGTTCCTAATGTGTACAGTAGGACAYAGGATCAYCTCATTCCAACCCCCTCCCCACCATGGGCAGGGACAATTTCCACTTTCCTACGTTTCTCAAAACCCCACCCAACCTTCCCTTGAACACTTCCAGGGATGGGGCAACCACAGCTTTTCTGGGCAAATTGCGCCAGTGCCTCCCCACTTYCACAGTGAAGAATTTCTTCCTGATATCTAATTTAAACCTACTCTCTTCACTCTTAAAGCCATTCCCCCTGCAAGTYCCTAGATCCATTATCATAATTTCTCAGTCCTTCTAGAAAAATATTGACTCACTTGAGCTCCCAGTCAAAACCCCATATTTATAATAAAATGAATAATTGTCTGTGTAGTGTGGATAATGTAGGAAGTGGTTAAGCCATGGCTATGTGGTGTTATTTCCAAGTTTGATTGGCAAGTGTTTATGTGAATAGTAACTTCAAACAGCTCCATTTTCTTTTATAATGATAGCTGCACTCTCTGAGAAGAACAGAAGAGGATCTAGCAGTTCTTCCTGGGACTTGTTATTAATAATTGGTGTTCTTCATGGACCTGGGCACCTTCATACCTCATTTCCCAACCTTTCCCAATATATCTTTCTCCAACTATATTAGCACAGCTGTTACCCTTAACATGCCAGATTCAGCTGTCCAGTATTCTCAGATCCTTATTTCATTTGACTAGCACTGTGAATGTCAGGGCAGAAAAAATAATTTCAATTTCTCACTTTTTTTTTTTAACATAGCAAACGAGAAATAAAAATGAGGAAACTTGACAGCACAAAAGTACGACCACTTAAATCTGAGCAGCTTCTTCACATAGAGGACCACGACTTTGCTCTGAGACCTGGATTTGGAGGTAAGCAGCACATGCCTTCTGGKTAAGAGTTTATTCTCTCTCTCGAAGTTTACTTGAATTTTGTCGCTGAAAATGGAATGACAGACTAAATGGCAGCACGCCTCATTTGTTGTACTTCAGGAAATAAAGGAAGAAAAAAATACAGAAATTGTCAAAGGCAAGGGGCTTCTTTGTGTTTAGTGCATCAATAGGAGAAACTGTTCAAATTGTCTCCTTTGCAAATCTAAGTAAAAACATACTATTAGAATAAGGTTCTTTGAGAACAGTGATTAAGGTATCCCTGTAAACTGCACAGTTTARTAGTAATTAGCAAATTACTTAGTCTTCAAATGTTTTGAGAGATTGACATGACCTACCAGTTCCTAAATCTGTTTGCTCTGTGCAAAATTTAAATTAAAAAATACCCACAAGCCTTCAGTTTATTATCATGTTTTTTCTGTGTTGTTGGGCACTACAGTGATTATTTCTTCATTTAACTAAATTGCCTCTGGATCAAGGGAGTATTCAGTGGGATGTTCACAGTTCAGATTCAATTTTGACTCTCCTTCGTGGAAGGGAAAATGTGAAAGTTGCCCCACTAATAAGCTTTGTCTGAGCCTTGGCGTCACCAGTTCTGTTTCCATGATTCATGAAAAGAGACTGAACTGCTCTGGATTAGGWAGCCAAAATAAAGTATATGAGGACCAGTGATCAGTTGTGTAGACAAACAGATCTGGGGGATCATGAGGTCTGTGGAGCTGCTCTTGTTGACACCAGCTGCTGGAATCTGGGGCCTGGTGATTGTGCCAGGAGGGAGTGCGGGTAAGGAGAGCCTGGTTGGATGCACTGGGAGAATGGCAAAGGGTTTCTTGTTACCATAGCAATTATGTCTTGTCAGACAGCAAAAATCTTACCTGTTTTGAACAACAGTTGAGATACAGTCTGTTTCTTGGCAACAGAAGTTCAGATTACCTCTTGCCTAATACCTGTCTAGTCTAATATCTGTTATTCTAGACATCTTGTTACCACACAAGGAATTTAAATTTTCGGGAGTGTCACCTCAGAAAGGAAGCATTTCCATGAAAGCAGACAGTGTTCTGGGATRTACTTTATCACTAGATCATCCCAGGAAACAATACTGATGGTGTACATAAAAGCAGCTTTGAGAACACACCCTGTTGTTATTTTCCATGGGCAGTGAGGATCTTTTACACCCAGAGGATCTGTACCAGGCTTTCCCCCTTTGTCCTTTTATTTGTCTTGTCAAATAACTTCATATGACTTGTCACAGGGCCCATTCAATTCCTCTTGAAGCCAGCTGTAGTTTTTCCACTGACTTCATTGCACAGGCCTCTCACTCATCACATTGCCCTGGGTATGATTTCAGCTGTACTTCTGTCTTTCAGAAATAGGTTTTATTAGGAGAGTGCCTCAGCTCTGCTTCTCCTCTGTCACAATGGAATGGGAGGCACTTTTTTCAATCACATCCAATACTTCCAAATTTTCAGAACTTTCTTAATATGTGGAATATTCTGCATGAATCTTYCTTAGATTAAAACAGATCCATTGGCATTTTTACAGCACAGAGTGAAAAAAGTCACAGGGAWATGAATGTCAGTCCCAAATTTATACTCTGTATTCCTGCTTCACCATTGATTTCAGTGAYTTTGCAGTAGTAAAGAGTGGTGTGGTGTTCATAAGGCAGCAGCAGGGATTTAACACACAATTGTGACCTCATCAGTGGACAAATTTCTCTACTGAAATGTGAACCTGAATAACATCCTCAGGATTGTGTTATGACAGCAAACGTGGGGTGTGGGTTTCTCTGAAGAACASTGATGATTAAATGTGCAGCAGAAGGAAACTTACCTAGAGGAGAGGGRGAAATTAGAGATACCATTGCTACAGTCATCGCCACAGCAGTTATAACCCTGAACTGCATCACGACTTACAGCACTGTGGCTTTATGTAGCTAACACAGGTGAAATTCTGGGTTTGTTTTCATCAGATTTAATGAAGCAGCTCAGTACTGTGACTCATAAAGGGCTTGTATCTGTCACATGCCACACCACATGATTTATTCAGCTCAGCACAATGCATCAATTTGCAACAACAAAAAACAGTTCAGAAAAGCTGGATGAAAACAAGTCTTTATTCTTTACCTGTAGAAGAGGGACAGGTTCTTTCCCTTTCCTATACCCTAGTGTGATTTTCTGGGTACGTCATGGAGCTGGAATGACAGATTTTGTTAATCTGGCTCCACTGTGCCCCTTTGCCTGAGAAAGTTGATCACCCTGTGCACTAGTTTAGGAGGAAAAGCAGCTGGAAACATTCATTCTGTTTTGAACCTGCTGGAGATTCCTCAGTTCATGGAACTCTTAAATCTAAGTCTGCCTTGTTTGATTTCATTTAGCCCCACATGTGCGATGTAAATAAGCAGACACAGAATCCAGAGTTTTTAGTGCTTACAGCTAAATTACAAAGGAAAAAAAAACCAATTTGAATTGTAAACTGAACAAACATGCACAGGTAAAAACCTGGGGGAAATGGATGTAGAACTGTTGGATACTGATGCTACTGGCTGCAGTGTTACTGGAAATAATTGTGAAGGTGAGAGGTCCATTTTTTGACCAAATGAACACAASTCTGCTCTCATTATGTGAGTGTGTTTTGGCATTTTTCTGTTGATTACAATGCCATTCCAGATGCACAATCAGAATTTGACTCTGAATGAAGATTTTAAAATTTAGTCCTGACATTGTCYATTTATTAGCAGATTAGAGATCAAAGCCAGAGAAACACAATGCACTGAGATGAAGCAAACCCAGCAAGCTGCTGGTAAGCTGATGCTATTCTTTTAAAAACATTACTTTGGCTGCATTTCACTATACCGTGAGGCTGAGGGAGGCAAACAGCCATTCAGAACACCCAAATTTTAACTTAACATTGTCACATTGTACTTRGTCTCTAAGCCAGACTCTTGGGTTATTGGTGGAAGTTGTTGGTGGTGTTTTCTTCCTTCCCTAATTTTCTTATTGTAGTTGTTGTTTGATTGTTGCCTGCTGTGTAATGTTACGGTCCTTACTGGTTTGGAAGTGAGAAGGCAGCTTAAGCTGGGAGTAGAGAAAAAGAAAGAAATGAAATCATGCTGCCAGCACTTCTTGGAATAATTATCCTCAAGTTTTAAACTCAGCAAGAAAGGGTGAGCACAGGCCAGTAGCAGACAATGAGTAGAGACTTCTCGGCAGATTCTGATTTGTAGCAGTTCAGATCTGAGGGCCACAATGCAGGCTGCCATAGCAGCCAAAACTCCGTGTTGAGAGAGGTCTTAGAGCAAATCCTTAGAAATGCTTTAAATGTACTTTCTTTTCTATTCTACATCTACTTATCTATATTCTTTTATTTTCTTTCTTATTTCAAAGTACTGCTAGAAGTAACACATGGTGTACGTATGTGTATATATATATATATTTATTTTACATTGTGTCTTAAGGATGCATAGTTTCCTATGCTAACAGTGTGTTAGCTAAACTTTTAAAATTTATTATCTGTGCTTTTTCARCCATTATAGAAGATAATATCATAAGCAAATGTTAGAAGTGATGGGAAATAAGTTAGCAGCATTTAGCTRGTCAAGAGGTAAGAACCTTTCCTAACAATTTGCATCCCAGTCTGCAATTAAACATAATCTTAATTCTGAATTTTCAGAGGATCAGAAATCCCATTAGATTTCTCCCCTTATGCTTCCTCCCTCCTCAAAAAAAAAAAATTAGTAACAGGTACATTCATCTGAAGGTAAAAGAAGGGGAAAAAGGAAAGAAAACATGGCCCAGTGTATGTTCAAATAGTGCTGCAGTTCTAACAGCTCTTTGCCACCAAGTTTTTTTATTTTTTGCACTACACTGGTGAAGACTCGCATTGATGAAAGTGAAATGGCTTTTTATCATCTGTTACTAGAAGGAATAGCTGGAGTCCAGGACAGGAAGGAGATATTTTCATTATCTGCAAGACCTCTAATAGTTTTCCATTGGATTTTTTTTTTTTACATTGCTAATCCTTCCATTCCAAGAGTTGGTTACTGCTAATACCAGACCACCTTAATTTCTCACATAAATAAGAAAGAAACACAGTAGTAACAAGAAGAAAATACCATTGCCAGTAATTCTCCTGTTTCTATCATTGCCAGAAGAAAGGAAATAGATCCACAAGGCTTCACTTCCCTTGAGCTTGTTTACATTTCTATCCAGTTTTCTTCCACTACAGGCCTWCAGGCCTTTTTAAGAACAAAGTACTACTACAGATCTTAATACTCCCCTGGTCTCTGTCTCCTACTGGCAGTTTTCTCTACCTTCCTTTTTTTTCCCAGCATAAACTCTTAAAAAGCCAACTGGGATACAGTTGTTTCTAAATTCAACATTTAGCTTATGGATCCTCAGGTGCAATCTGTTGCATGCTCAAAGGTCTGGCTACTRTACAAGTACTATAGAATTCACTAAACCAGTCATTATTGCTGTAGAAATTGATCCTAAAAATGCTAAAAGGATATCCTTTTTACATAATATCCCTTTTGAAAAGRGTATTACAGAATTTGCCTGATGTACTACCTATTAAAAAAATTTCATGCTCATCAAGGAATTCTTTTGCTATGCTTAAACCTCTAAAATAAAAGACTGGAAATGGTTTGTGTGAAGATAAACCCCTCTGAAAACAATGCTGTTTTTTTCTGCTGAGGAGTAATTATCTTGAAAATCTGCGGTGCCTCCATTGTGAAAGTCACTAATCCCTCTAAAATAATGATTTGTAGTGACCCTCCAGAAGCAACCGAAGCTGCTCAATTTAATAACAAAATCCTCTCTGCCATCCCCAGTTTTGTTAAACTGGAAAATGAAAACCACAGCTTTGCTCTGGTTACTTTTTTTTTTTTTTTAAGTGAATTTGATGCTGTTGTCTGATGGTCAGCCAGATAYTGAAATTCTCAATGTAGCAGGGTGAAAGCTGTGGTGCAGACACAGAGGKAGATGAATTGCCTTCCTATTCTGTCTGGTTTAGGAACCTTTTCAAATCTTACTGAAGTTATACTTTTTTAAAAACATCATCTTGCAGCAAAACAAATCCAAGGGATGAAGAAATTACAGTTTCCAGCAGCCTGTTCCCAAGAGCTAATTATTCCTGTTTCTAGTGCAGTTGATTTTTAATCACACAGAGAAATGCTCCCAGAAACCAAGAAGGTTTAGACCAGASTGAGGCCAATAGGTATCTTTGTGGCGTGTGTTAATGACAACAATATCAAAGTGCTTCAGATTAGAAAACTGAACAGCACGCTGAAGTGATCAGGGCTGCATATATATGCAGTGTTTAGTGTCTTTATTATCTACTTACAATTGTTACCAAAGTAGACTCAGAATAGGAAGGAARTATTTGCAGCTGCTCTGATCTGTTAGGAATAGGTCAGGGCTGGGGTGAATGCTAGACTGGACAGTACTTTCTCATTAAGCATCATGAGTATGGTCTTTCATCAGAGAGAGAACAAGAATCTCTGCTTGAGGAGTCTGTTTCACAGTTTTAGCATTTATACCCAATCAYGAACAAATTTAATTGTAACAGTTCCCTTTTTATTTAATTAACTTTAGAATCATTCACTGTATTTCCCCTTGCTATAGGTTCTGATCTCCTTAATGCTATTAATTGTCCACCTCAGTGCAGTTCCCAATGCAGTACAAGCTGTCCTTTCAAAGAATTAATTGTCTCTGTGTGTATTTATGGGTAAGTGGCACTTTGGTTTGTGTGTACATGCAAGCAATATAACCATRAGCTGCCACTGATTTGTAGTTCTGTGATCAGTTCCTTTGTATCTACCCAGAGGAGCTGGATTATTGGAGGAAATTTTGCCCACACTGGAATGATGTTTGTTTGGGTAAGAAATTGTCTGTAATTTTTGAAATTCCGAGGARTATTAGAAGTGCTGTCATCACACTTCAAGCAGCTGTCACTAAGAAAAGCCTTTTCCTCACTATATGTGACATATGGCTTAGAAGGTCATATGTCTGATTCTGGGATATGATTTGTGGGTAGCTCCTTGTTTGCTTGAAGGATGTTGTATGTAGACATTTAACTTTATTTGCTTTAGATTTATCCTGGACTCAGGAACTGGTAAAGGCTTTCTTTACATGAGAGCTGCTCCCTTCTTCTCTTGTTCTATCCACATAATTCAACATAAATTGTTGTTTGCATTTAAATGATGTGTGAATGCCTTTTGTGAATGAAGCTCACCTCAGGTATAAATTCCACAATGACTTCTGCTTAGTTTACAAGATGGCTTTGATTTCAGTGGAATACAGAAAAGGTTACTCCACTCAGATTACCACCAGGCGTTTTTGTACCAGTGTTTGGTACAAGTTGGTATTTAGTGTAGGTAAACTATTTGTGGGTTGTGATAAAGACACAGAAGTGGACAAAACTAGTTTAGGAGAGGCATTAAAACTTCCATTGTTTTGAGTGAAGGAGTCGGGCTGAATATATTTGTTGATACTCTTGTGCACCAACCTCTGGGCGGCTGTCTCTTGCTATCTCTATTCTCCAAAAGAAGCAGCATTTTCCAAAGTGCTGCCTGGTGTTTTCCCAACAAACTTTGCAGTCTAGAGTCGTGAATTTTATTTTGGGCTTTGGCCAACGGGCTGAGGGAGGCATTCCTCTCAGAGACAGACAAGATTTCTGAGCCAAAGAGTACAGCTCTTGTCAGTGCCTAAATATTTTCTGGTGTGCCCTKCTAACTCTGAGCACATCTCACCTTGCTTTCCCATGCACAATGCATCTTCATCTGTTCTGTGCAGGGACAGACTCCCTGTTAAAAAACACAAGTAAAATCAAGAGATTACAGAGCCAGATTTAAAAATACCTCTAAAATAGTTCAAGATCTTTACTGGTAAGAACTGGAGGCAGCTGTGTAATCCTCAAAGGCTGCTATTTTAAGGATAATTCCAAAAAGGGACACAGCATTGTGGCTGGTTATCACAAGAGTGTTGTTCCTGGACTATTTTGGCTTGACAGTGTTTAAAGGAAAAGACCAGAAAAAGACAAAGTAGAAAAGCTGTTGCTATCTGTGGCTGTTCAGACTTCCTTGTATTCATGTTTTTAACAGGTTATTTTAAATGTGTATTTAAAAAATATTTTCACTGGTTATTTTTAACAAAAGTGATTGGAATCCCCTGTACAATAAAATTCCGATTGGTTTTCATGCCAAATTCAGAATATTCTTGARGGGTRTGTGTGTATATRCATATATGCATAGCCTTCTCTCCCTCTATAAAGAAATGGTTAATCAATTAGTGGAATGACATGCTTGCTGAAAATCTGCCAGGTACACAACCCATGTAGAACTAGATCCTTCATTCTAGATATTTCACACTGAAAAGAGTGGAAATAATTTCATATTTGGCTGGAATTTTCATTGATTTATAGTGACTTCATCCTGAAAATGCGCTTAGTAAATACACAACACAGTCAGAGAACATGATTAGTGTGTGTACAGCTTTTCCCTTGTGAGGTACTGAGCAAGCAAACCTTTTTTATAAATAGCTATACCAAACTTTAAATAGTTCAGTAACTAAAGATAATAAGAGACAAAATAGGTACGTTGTTTTGAATAAGCATTGGAACTGGTGAGAAGGCTTTGATGTATTTCATATATTTACTCAGCTTTTTCCTGTGTGGTTCTGAATAGCACCCCATGGGGTTCATTAGCTTTGGCATCACAAGGACACTCACACTGTTGGCCGGACTCCAGTGCCAATAACAGCTGGTCTGGCTGCAGAAAGATCACTGAAGATTTTGTGCTCATTTTCACAACTGCTTAGCATCAGGTTTCACTTTGTTGCCATGGTCTTTTTTCATTCAGTGTTCTAAGGTGGAGAGACTGAGAAAATGCTAGGATGGAGTACTCTCTGTATATTGCTGGTGTTGCACAGCCTTCCCTTTAAAAATAGGGGGTTTTGCTCCTCATCACATGTTCTTGTTTCATTGCAGGGTCACCAATACCTGTGGGCATTGATGTGCAGGTGGAAAGCATTGACAGCATATCTGAAGTTGACATGGTGAGTTGAACTGGAATAAAGGATTTCAGTAAAAATGCAAGGGGCTCAGAAACATCCAGATGGATGATAGAGAATAAAGTAGCTAAAAAAGTGAACCCAAAAGAGCACATCCTTGCCTTGCAGCATGCATTTAAACTAGTAAGTGTTGAATTCTCCCTGGCCCAGAAGAACAGCTCAGAGGCCAGTTCTCTGGTCTGAAAACTCCAACTATTCAATAAATACCCTAGGCTTCCACAGGAGTTCTCAGTACTCTCTACATTACATGATGAGGCTTCATGTCATTTGCTTCTTTTACTTATGCAAATCTGAATATTCCATATTGCGGCATGGGTGGAGCTGTGATCATAACAACTGGAAATAGAAACATCAATTCCAGAAATGGTCCTGGGAAGGAGACACACCTCCCTGCAMTTAGTGCCTGTAGCTCTGGAATGCAGGCTGTTCATTCCTCAGCCCAAATTGTCACTAATAATGTCGCTATGAACTCCTGCATAACTTTGCAAACCTACCCAAATCATAAAATCATACTACAGGGCCATAAAATTCTATTACAGGAGAAGATCTAACTCTCTTCACAGTATTGTTATCATAAGCAAATGTTCTACTGAGATAAATGATGTCTGCCTAATAATACAAAGTCTATATAGGTGAACACAGAGCAGTCAGGCTGTACAGAAGCTCACACTGGATTTGCAGCATCTTCTCCATCTCTCCCCACTTGTATATTTTGCAGTCATGATGTTTCTCTAAATAGGATTAAATATTTGTAGCAATCTTTTATATTAAAAAAATGTARTTATTATAATTATTGTAAAATCTAACTGCTTACTCTTTGATATTCATTGTATTGTTTCTTTATGATGCATTTAATTAATAAATGTACAAATATAACCCTGTACAGTATTTGTATAAAATGTACAGATTTATGGGTGTTAAAAATTGACCTAGTGTTCACGAAGAACTCAGATTAACTCCTCTGTAAAGGAACCACAGTCCATTCTTGGGAAAGATTGTGAAGATTTCCAGAGGAAACTTTTTTTTTTTCCATTTATCTTTGGTTGGTTTTAAAGCTTCTTTATCACTGTACTGCTGGGCCAATCCAGAGGACCATTGAAATATGCAGAATTTTTATCTAAGGATAAATGAAGTCCTGAACCTTGCACTCAGACACCAGTGACAGGGCAAGCAACCAGTACTCAGCAATATTCAGATTCAAACTCATTGAGTGGTGCTTGATTCCTCTCATCAAGGATCTTTCATTTAGTGTCCAGAGAAGAAATTTGCATGAATTGATTAATTTGTAGTGTTTTCTATTGCATGTGGCTAAACCAGRCATTGTCTTCTTTTACTTTTAATGAAACACAGGACTTCACAATGACTTTATATCTCAGACATTACTGGAAGGATGAGAGACTTTCGTTCCGTAGCAACAAAAACAAAAGTATGACTTTTGATGGACGGCTGATAAAGAAGATCTGGGTACCTGATGTGTTTTTTGTGCACTCCAAAAGATCATTCATCCATGACACAACTGTGGAAAACATCATGCTCCGAGTGTACCCCGATGGCAATGTCCTCTTCAGTCTGAGGTGAGGAAATACCTTTCCCCAAGAAAATCCATGACTACAGTTGTCATGTATTGGCTGTAATTGAAATTACTGCAAATACTTGCAGTTAAGATTCTCATACTGAACTGGCATTAATCCCCTGGCAGCACATAGTGGGAAACTGGTGACCAATGGATCAGTGGGAAAATTAATTTAGGACTGACAACATTTCTTTTTTCCATCATTCAGATACTGATTCCTGTCAAGGGAGTTTGTCAAGTGTTAATTCATTGCCAGTGGCTCTAGCAGTATTGCTACTGAGTACAGTAAAGCCCAAAATTATTAGCAAAGAAAATACATGGGTTTGGTTGGTTTATTGTTTTTTTTTTTTTTTTAACCTCAGCCTTTTAAAACTTTTTAACCTATTTTCACCCTGGCTTACCAGTGAGCTGTCAGTGATGCAAATCAGGGCTCAGAGAGCAGATTTTTGGTGCTGATATCAGCAGTGTTGTGTGACTAAAAGGAACTGAAAAGTGAAACAGGAGTTCCAGAACTGGAATAGCAAGATCATTAATGTGTCTCCCTTCCATCTGCATGTTATTGCTTTGCTTTATGAAGGAGATTTGGATGATGTGGCAGAAATAGTTTTAATGGAGGAATTTGCCCCCCAGGGTAAGGAATCTGAGGCCTGTGCATTGCAAAAATACAGTTCTCCAGTTTGTTGCTAATTAGCCCTGTGCACACAGGTGATATTTCATCCAATCTGGACAGTTTGAAGATTTATGGAARCATTTGAGATTGTGGCTGGGTAATAATTGTTCCAAGCATTAATGAATTTATCTCCTCTCTCATGAGGACATGCAGAAATCCTCACAACAGCTGTACTCCACTTTAGTGTGTGTTCAAGAATMACACTGACAGGAACAATGAGGTGGTTTATGTATTTTTTTGCTGTATTAATTCCCATGATTCTAGAGAGAGAGGGAGGGGTCAGAGGAACTACAACACTACGCTAWGGCTTATATCAGTGATGCTCCAAGTGACAAGTAGGAAATGTTCTGTGAATGTTCCTTAAAACACTGTTTTTTATATTGCCAGTTTTACATGCAGTAAGTAGATTATATTCCAAATACTCACATGCAATAAATCTGTGTATTTCACAGTTTATCTTCAGTGCCTGGCATCCAGGATTTTATTGAAACGAAGTGAAACAAAAATCCAGATTTGTGGCTAAAATAGTCTTTCTTTTCTTGTTGATCCCTGTGTCCTTTAATCAATAGCTGAAAGATGGAAACAGCATCCATKACTGGAAGCCTTTTGCATGTCCCACTCTTAGGATCTTACTTCAAGCCAGTAAAGTCTTATACTTGTAAAAATTCAGCTACAGTGTGGTTACTGATCACAGGTTTTCAAAGGGCACCTGTGTAGCCAGTATAACCCTCACTGAAATTCCTGTAGAATGCCATTTGGGGAATTGAAAAATGGAACTAAAATGACAAGCTGTGACAAGAAAGGAAAATTGCCGATATTTGCCATGTTTAAGTTGCTGCCCCTAGCAAGTTGTGGTGGGTTTTTTTTGTTTGTTGGTTTGTTTTTAATTTTTGTTATTGTTTTTGTTTTTATATTAAGTGCCAAGGGACATTTGTCCTCTAAAGATTTGTGGAAAAGCAGGTGSAATGCAAAATACCTAGATTTCCTTAAGCTTTTTACAATTTAAAGCATTTCATTTGAGAGCTTCTAGAAATTATAGCTAATCTTTTTTTTTGCAATTAAATATTATAACCATTAAATATTATAACCATTCTAGCTGGGAAAGTAGCACTTGGAATAATATTTGCTTTAATGTGTAATATTACCTACTTCAGTCTATGAGAAATCAAGTGAGGAAATGTGAACTCCTTTTGTTAATCTTTGTAAGTGTAAACCTTCAAAGCAAAATGTGTGAAGGRCTAATGAATAGTCAGGCCAATGTAGGGTTTAAAAATCAAAGGTAATGTACATAATAATAAAGACTATTTATGTTTAATAAAAGAGATGGTTTCTCACTGATTTAACTTTATCTCACTATCCTGAAGCTATTTTAGAASCATCTAAAAGGGCAGAAAACCTCAGTCAGTAGGATTCTAAACAGCMGATTGGTTGAGGATCTCACTAGGATCTCTGCACAGCTTAGAAAGTGTGAAGTTTTTAATTTAAATTCTGTTTTTCCATTCCTTTCTGCAGGATAACAGTTTCTGCTATGTGTTTAATGGATTTCAGCAGGTTTCCTCTGGACACACAGAACTGTTCTTTAGAACTGGAAAGCTGTAAGTTTAATTCACAATTGTTCTTCACATGTGTATTCTTACCAGCACTCCATCTTGTGCATAATACCTTTCACTTATTTTGATGTATCACCTGAACCCTTTAGCATGTACATATTGAACTGTAGACAGTTTGGGATCTTCCCAGAACTCAGTGAGCTTTGGGAAGGTAGAAAAACCATKATACATCCTGCTTTATTTCCACTGGGTTGATATTCCAAGGCCTAAATGTAAAAATCTGTCAAAAAACATGAGGGTTTTTTTTTTTGAGAAAAAAAGTGCAAATAAAAAGTAAAATAAAAAGTAAATATTTGTCCTGTTGGAAAAAATTAAAATGAGTAGTTGTTTTTGCTGTGAAATACTTGCTTTTTTACCACTGGTTCAGTTGTAAACTGGCAGGGCACAGGGATGGGCTGCACTTGGAACAAGATGAAACATGGTCTTTGCAAACTTTTTTCATATCAATTGATAAATTGGTGTGAAAAAAATGTTTYTTCAGAGTTTTCCCAGATTGGTTGAGTGGTCTCCTCTCCCTAAGAAAGGAAAGGAGAAGTGATTTGCTTTAGTAACTTTATAACTTCAGTTTCTGCCTTCTCACAGATGCATACAATGAAGATGATCTGATGTTGTACTGGAAACATGGCAACAAGTCCCTGAGCACAGATGAGAACATCTCCCTCTCCCAGTTCTTCATTGAGGAATTCAGTGCTTCCAGTGGACTTGCTTTTTACAGCAGTACTGGTATAGTAAGCCCATCYCCTTAGAAGAGAGAAGCACAGGATAAAATCATGCAGAATGTCTTTCACATTCAAATTCTTTGCTAATAAATGACTGTGTCTGCTGAGAGTTCAGTTATAATGAGGTCTTGTTAGTATGGGGCCTTAGTTTTCTTTGTATTACCAATGTAAAACTTTATTTTGGAAAAAAAGGCCATAATAATACTTGTAACTTCATATCTGATATTAAGAACCTGAAAAGAGTATTGAATTTACAGGAATTTTTATGTCCTGGCTATATRGAAAAGCTTGAAAGTGGAAATCCTAAAGGGTTGATTACTGGAAAGCAAACAAAATTAATTCCAGTGTGTTTTATTGGCTAAAACATCCTCAATTTTTGCAGCTGTATAATGCCATTAAAAGTCTGCTAACTGGAGGATTTTCATGAAGCCTTTTATTACCTATTCAGGTCTAATTCATGGTTTGCTTAATTTATTTGTTTATAAATAAAGTTACAGGGAAAATAATCCCTTTTTGCTAGTGATGCATATTTTAAATTCGGGTTAATCTGCCCCAGACAGGTTTTTATTTCTCCCTTTAGATCTTGTTATGTACTTTTCTGGCAAACTGCACAAGGTTTAGGAGTTTATTGTAGTCTTGATCTCGTGCAAGATGGGTTTTGTTTTCTTTGTATTTTTAGGTGCAAGTATAAATTTTGAAATACTTTTCTATGTAAGTAGTCTAACATATGTTTTTAGCCAGAGAAAACAGCACTCTTGTTATTGTATTTTACAGTCTGAGTTAATTCATTCCAGTTTGGATATTGCMCTTTATACAAAAATAGATTACTAAAATGTAAGTTAGTCCATTTAATATGATGAAGTGCACAACACTGTGGAAAAAAGCCTTTTAAGTCATACAGGAAAACAGCAAATAGAAGCATTTACTGTAATTTATTTACAGGTTAGCTACTTTTTGCATTCAAAAAAAGGACCCTTCAAGTTTGCAGTGGCTGATACTGAATGCAAAAAATTCCAGTTTAAATTGTGATGCAGCCTAAGCAGTGAGGAATTCACAGCTTGATAAGGTTCTTCACCCTTATCTCCTGCTCCTGTGGGAGCTAAGAACAGAGCTGCATCTTTCAAGAGCCATTGTCATGTGAGAGGAGGATGAGTGATAYCCTGCCATCATAACTGTGCCTTGGTGAGAGCAACGGCAAATTTGTCCTTGTTGCAAAAAGGAGACTGGGATATTTTCTAMCAGACTGGGTTCCAGGAGCTCAGCTGTCTTCCTTCTGCCTTGCTCTTCTCATCAAAAAATACTTACAGCAAGCAAATAGAGCCTTGTGCACAGCGGTGTGCCCTCACAATGCCCCTGCACCCAGAACTTTGCAGCATCTTCACAGCATCTTTGACTTTGCAAAGTGTAACTGCTTTACACTGAACATGCAGACGTTCTGATGATGAGCTTACTCAGCAGCATAAAGATGAAAGGAAAGACTTTTTTAAGTCATAGGGACCACTGGGAAGCACCTGAGTAATGCTTGTAGCTTCTGTTAATCAGAATGCTGTCCTTTTGTAGACTTACACTTGTCTTTGTGTCTTTGGCTATGAGGTTTCGTTTTRCTCAGGAGGTTCCACTTTCTCTTGTTTTTTTTTATTTTGTTTCTTGTTGGAAAAAAATTTACCTTCCAAGCAAATGGTAGTGGAGAACAATCAGCACCACTCTAATGGGAGTCATCATTGCCACAAAGCAGCTTTCTGCATTTCAGGTTCTGYATATCCTTTCCTGTGAATCTCAGTGAAGGACATATATATGTTTAGGCTTTTGGAATTCCCAGACCTCCAAATGAGCAACAATTTAAATCAACTTTGGAGGCAATTATTTTTAAAATAAAAAACCTTCTCCACAACTAAAAATAGAATGTTTAATATTATTTGGGGTTAATTTTGGTATGTTCTTTTCTATGGAGGCACTCATTGTGATGGCAGGACTACTCCAGCACTGGCTCACGGATGCCTCTGTCTGTCCTGGACAGGCAGATGCTGTGCAGCCACCCACTTTTGCCTTTTTACCTCACTGTAACCTGGTTTCATTGCCATGGCAGGAGGTACAGCACAGATGCAGTGCTGCACAGGCAGAGCACACCCCAAAATTCACTAGATGGCACCCTGTCCTCTAAAGTGAGCGCTGGGCCGGCCAAAAAAAAAAGGAAGGAAAGGCTGCTTGCTGCCAGGTATTTGTAGCAGGCTGCTTTTCAGAGGAGGCAGGGTGTTGGCAATCACTGGACAACTGTATCCTGTCTGTATCCTCCGGCTAGTTTCACTTGAACTCCATTTAATTTTTTCAGTTTCCTAATCTMAGTTATAACAGAGTATTTTAGACAAGCAGCCATGACTCTTCACTGCCATAAATGAGAGAGGATGGACAGTTTGTAAAGCAAAGGTGATAAAAYTGTGTAAAACTAAGGTGGTGGTGAGATTTCTGAGGCATTTACTGCTCCTGATGTGGATACACCACTCCTGCTAGGAGGAGAGGGCCAGCAAAGAGAGCTCACAAATAACATGGCTCTRTTCTTCCCCAACCTGTAACTTTCCCTTTTTTTCCAATAGGTTGGTACAATCGACTTTTTATCAACTTTGCACTCCGCAGACATATTTTCTTTTTCGTGCTACAATCCTATTTCCCAGCCATGCTGATGGTGATGCTGTCTTGGGTTTCATTTTGGATTGACAGAAGAGCTGTTCCTGCCAGGGTGTCACTAGGTAAATCCTTACTGCATGTTCTTTGGGAAGTATGGAATGGAGAGGGGAGGTGTTTGGAGTTACCTTAGCTTCTTATTTACACAGGACATGACCAAGTATCAGGTAATTGCCTGAACAACACTATTATTACCACTGTTGTCATTATCTGTASTCAGCCCTGACATTTGGAAATGGGATGTTTGTTCAGACTGGCTTTTCTGTATTTGGAAACAGCTCACACACCACAGCAGCAAAAAAAAAAAGATGATTTTGCAGATTTACTGATGAAGAATTTTACTTAATTGCAAAACCTGGGTTTTCCTTCCCTTTTCCCAGCAAAGTAACAGGTAGTAACAGGCAGTCAGATCTCTCCCCAAATCCGTGGATCATATAATTCATTAAGTGTAGCACAATCTATTGAGAAGCTCTGCAGCTCTTTTTTTTTATCAAGAAACATTTGTTATCTTCTTACCAACCTGGAACCAGCTGCCTGTGTGGCAAAGCCTTTCATTTTGGACACCTTAGAAATGTTTGCTTTGKTGTCTTAGCTGTGCAAGGCACACCATCTTCTGTGGAAGCCAAAAAGTAATTTCTGAATGCCTCAGCTCAGGAGAAAAGGACTAATTATAGTGGCTTCTATGGAATTTTTTTTTTTCTCAGTGAAGTGGATGCCACTTCAAAGCTGTCTTCGTTGTGAATATAATGCCGATGGCCTTGGAATGAGTACATTTTTTCAAAAATTGGGATATCTGAAGATCTGATRGGAATTTGTTAAGTTGTCTAAAGCAACCATAATTCACCTAAGCCCTGCAACTGTCAGTTTAAAATAAAGCAGCCCCTGTTCTTTCTTCTTACTGATGCTGGTCCCAGAAGCCAACTGTATGTTGCTGTATTTCTTAGWCAAGTGAAAAAGCCTTCAATTTTTCTCTATATCAATCTAGAAAAAAATGGACTGAAACTACTCAGRTCCCTTTCTGTTGGCACAGTCTAAAGCTATTAATACATGAGATATAAATCTCTTTGTTAATCTGAAAACTAATTATGGTACCTCCCAGCTATTTTTATTAATTTTAAATTTTATTTATAAAAATTAATTTTAAATTATTAATTTATAAAAATTAATTTTAAATTTTATTTATAAAAATTTTAACTTAATCTTTAAAAATAACTTTTTAATTCTCGGTAGGCCATCTTTAATGTTGTCGGGATGATTTTGCTGATCATGTTCTTTATGTATGGATTTCTGCAGAAGGTTATGCATCAGGAGTTCCATGAATAAAGTAAATTTCATTAKCATAATCATACATTATTTATAGGAAAACTTAACAACAAAGTTTAATAAGCCTAGCTTCTTAGCCTAGAGTATATTTATATTAAATAAATTGATTTCCTCTTACATGGTATATTTCAAACTCCATCCTTCAACCTAAGGAACCTGCAAAGAGGGAGGGGGGAACCTCTTATATGTTCCAGTGGACTTGAACTAGTGTAGAATTGGAGAGGGGATACCCTGAGACCCAGTTGACAGTGCTGTCTCACAGATGTCAAGATGTTTTCAATTCCAGAGTTACATTAATTTCTTTAAAAGAAGCCTGAGTTGGGTGTTGGTTTTTTTCCCTGAGCTGGAGCAAACTAAAATGAGATGAATAGCTGGTGTAAGAGCAGAGATTGAAAAGATGAGGGTGAAATTCTGGTCACACTGAAGCAAACAATAATTTTTTCTTAGTTTCGATGGCTGTAGCATTTTTATGCTCGACTGTTTTTAGAGAGCCATGGAATTATGASAGAGACATACAGGCTGATGTATATTCTTAAGAAATACAATTTGAGAAAGGGTTGGAAGGGAAAATGGTGGTTCTTTAGAGATTCTCCTGGACAAGAAAATGTGCAGGGGTGACCCTGGCTCTGGGAAGGGAGGGACAACAACTACAAAGCTGCTTTCATTTGTGTGTGACAGCGCCCAGAGCTGTCACAGGAACGTGTTTCTTATGCTGCTCAATGACCATTTTGAGCAGAGAGATGATTTAGTGCTCTCMGTATTGTGTGTGATGGGTCCTTCATGGTTCACTCCACTTTTCAGAGGCTGTGTGATGAAGTTGAAGGCAGTGTCAATCACACGCCCTCACAAAGCCACGCTGTCCAAGCGGTGGTGATGAGCCAAACAGAGCTGGTATTGTGATAACCTCCCTTTGCTCTTTGGCAGGTATAACTACAGTGCTGACAATGTCGACTATCATGACAGGAGTAAGTGCCTCAATGCCTCAAGTGTCTTACATAAAGGCTGTGGATGTGTATTTATGGATCAGCTTCCTTTTTGTCTTCCTGTCAGTCATCGAGTATGCCGCGGTGAACTATCTCACCACAATTGAAGAGAGAAAACAGCTCAAAAAAAGGGGCAAGGTACAACCCTCTGTTTTGTTGCCTTCTGAAAGATCATGGAAGCCACAGAGTAATCCTGATACACCACTGTGAGAACAGAACAGTAGCAAGCTCTGTCTCCACTCTATCTTACTCTTTTTTTAACTTGGATGAAGTGAGACAGTGTCATCCTCTCWGAGATCCTGAGAAGGTCTGCGCTTTCTCTCCCTTTTCTTGTGGCAGAAGTTAGGGATAATTTTTGCCCCCKTTTTTCCCCCTTGAGGGAAGGTAACAGAAGGTAACTTTCCTTCTGTTCTCAAATACCTATCAATCAAGGTATTTCTCCTGTCTCTGAAATAGACCTCAGCACGTCCTCATATGATACTCCTCTCTGTTTCCTGTTTCTTTTTTGTCCCAAGACCAGATGAATGACAAGGTCATTTTTAGAAAAGTGTGCCTGAAGCAGAAATAGTCACAAGTTAAACATCTGCTTTCTGTGAAGCTCTCACTTAAAAACTTTGCTTCAGGAATATCCCCTCTGTAAACTCATTTGCTGGAATATCATGAGGGGAAGAACAGAGAAAGGGGTGCATATGTTGCTCACATGATTTGATAATCCCATCAAAAACCTACTCCCAGAAATGTCTGAAGTCACTTCCTGCAACTCCAGCAACACAGACCTACAGGAGAGTTTGATTCTTCTATTGCAGCAGCTGAGGCACGTATTGCCAGCCAGCAGCTGGCAATAATCAGTAGACAAGTGTGTTTTATGACATTTTATGACATTTCCTTGCTCATGTCCTGCTCAAGGGGCCAGGCCCCACAGAGAGCACCCCTGTTCTCCACATTCTCTCCACAGAGAGAACAACACTGAAGGGAAAGCTTTCTTTATTTTCTGTTTTATTAATTTATAATTTGCCAAAGTGGCTCCAGCTAGACCCAGAGTAACTCTTCTTTGTTGCCAGGYCTCAGGAATGTACAGCATGGATGCAGTGCAAGCAATGGCTTTCGATGGCTGCTTCCACGACACGGATATGGACATGGACCTGAGTCCCTTCCCAGACCCCTGTGAGGAGAATGAGACCAGGGCAAGTCAAACCAACATCTCCAGTGAGGACACACCTCGCTTGAAGAGATCTCTGAAGGGCAACGTGGGCAGGATTATTTTACAGAACAATCATGTCATTGACACATATTCCAGGATTATATTTCCCAGTGTATATATTGTGTTCAACTTTTTTTACTGGGGTTTGTACATGTGAACAAAAATGCTTATAAGCTAGATATTATTTTGTGTATGACAGTTGCATCATACTTTAAAAAAAAAACTGCAACAGCAGTAGAGGAAAAGGTTAAAATTTTCCAAAAGAGACTTCTGCATCAAAACTGGGCTGGTTTGGTTCAGCACCATAACTGTTCATGGGAAACTCTTACGTGTCTGGGTTCTTTTCCAACTGGAATGTGCAGTGCTTCACTGGAGTGCTCCACTGGAGTGCTCCCATGCACAGGTTCCAGTGCAGTAGCATGGGAGCTGTTTGCTCACTGAGGGAGCCCTTTGTCACCCCCCTGCACAGCAGCTCCCACCTGAGATATTGCCCTGTCTCAGCCCACACTCCAACCCTTCCTCTTGAATCAGCCTCTCTGTCCTTCACCAGTGCTCTGTTTTGGTTGGCAGTCGGCACCAAATGTCTTGGGATAGCTCCTGTCCTTGTTTCACTTCCTGCATTTCAATTTTCCTGGGCAACCTGTGTGCACCTCAGCAGGCTCTGCCCTCAGATGGGAACCAGGCACAAAATGATGGCTTAGCAGGGACCAGCAGGAAGCAAGGCTAATGGGGCTTTGTAGATTGTGCATCATCAACACCTCAAGAAAACCCCTCACCCTTGTCAGCTGCCCATGACTCCCCATGGGACCTCTGTTTTGGAGAAATCTTGCTCACCAGTCCCCGAGGCAGCACAGGAACAATGTCCCAGACCCTGTGCACTTGCAGCCACCTTCCAGGTGAATGAAAGCACCACCAGCATGACCTGTGCCCTTCACATGTCACCCACACACCTCTGCATCTCTGCCTGGTGACCTAGACYTGCTGTAATGCCCTGCTTTATGCAGAACCCTTTGGTTTAGAAACACAGGCTTTGAGACAGAGATTTTAGACAACTTTGTCAGAGAACAAAGCAGCCCTGCTTCAATTTGTCTGCTGTGTGTTGCACCTGAGCTTGGGGTTTTGCCTCCTTCCCTTGGGATGTTGAGATTGAATGTTCCAGTGAGGAGAAGCTACATGTGCCCGCCTCCTTCCCTTGGGATGTTGAGATTGAATGTTCCAGTGAGGAGAAGCTGCATGTGCCCCTTGCAGCAGTGATCCCCAGCACAGTTCCAGGAAATAAAAGGAAACAGCTGTGCCAAAACAAGAGACATWCACAGGAAACCTGTCAGTCTCAGAAGAATCCTGCATGGAAATACCCTCAGGTTAAGGCTAAGGAGGCTGAATTAAGGATGTTCAGGGATACACACAAAAAGTGTTCACAGCTACAGAAAAGATCCAAGATTACTTTTGTAACTTTCCCGAATAAGGAGCATTTTCCACTAAATTCCTTGAGTTTGTTTGTCATGTAATGAGCTGAGTTTATATTTACAAAGTCAGTTCAAAAGTGATCATTTGTGGTGGCAAAAAGCATCACAAGGTAAATGCTTGGTCACTGCTTGGTCAAGTTTAGTGGTCAAGGAAGTGGGAATAAATTTGGAAGCCTAAATCACTCTCCGGTTTATTTATTTGCTTACTTTTTTTGAAAAAAAACTTATTTAATTTACTTATTTGTCTTGCTGCCATCTTGTTGGCTCATAGCATTATGACGTTTCTTTTTCAAAGAGCTGCATTTGTCAAGCTCCAGTTCCAGAGCTGGAGAAGTGCTGACACTGTGCCTGCTGAGTGACTGAAATCTCATGCAGTGAGTGGGCCACKTCGCTGCCAAACAAATGTGTCAGAACTGAGACAGCTTTGATACTTTTCCAGGAAATCCTGTCATGGAAAGCAGAACCATACCAGGAATGACAATGCTGGGAATGCAAAGCCAGAGGACACACAGGCTTTGGCAAGAGTAACAACACACCAGACCTCAAGCTGAGCAAATGTGTAGTGTAGCTATATAAAAATATACCATCGCAGCCTTGTTCCTGCGCTGCCATTATGAGGCATCCTGCACAGATGTTCCAGATTGCCTGAGAAGATCCCATCTAGTCRCTCCAGATGTGTGTGTCTTCTAAACTTTTCACATGAACTAATATAACATCAATGTTTTCACTTTTTTTTTTAATCTGCCTCACGAGAAGTATTTGTTGCGTAGCCAACTGCGAAGCCTCAGATTCCAATAGAGAAAATACTCCAAAAAAGTTCTCTTTTCTAAATTCCTTACAGGATTTGCAGCAGCAGAAGCCCTCCAGGACAGAAGCCTGTGTAGGCTGCTGGGCAAACTGGTGCACAGGTGGAAGCATGGAGGAAAAGAATTCCTGTCTGCATTTACCTTCCAGGCAATCCTGTACAGATCCCAGAAAGCTGCAGAAGTTGCTTTTGATGGAGAAAACTGTTGTTACTTTCAGCTRTGAATTGGCAAAGAGTTCTCCCCACCCAGAGTACTACAGATCACCCAGTTCCAACCCTCCTGCCCTGGGCAGGGACACCTTTCATTAAACGAGGTTTCTCAGAGCCCCATCCAGCCTGACCCTGAACACTTTCAGGGATGGGGCATTCACAACTTCTCTGGGCAACCYGTTCCAGGTGTTCTCTGAGCAACGAGTTCCAGCTCGCCACCCTCGCAGTAAGAATTTCTTTCCTAGTATTCAGTCTAATCTCCCCCCTCTTTCAGTGAAGTCATTCCCCCCTGTTCTGTCACTACATGATCCTGTAAATGATGACTCTTAAACCGTGTGCTTTTACAGCGAAGTTTATAATTTTTATCTTAATAGAGTGACAGGRATGATATCGGGATCAATTATGCTTAAAAAAATTCTATTGCTTCYGTAAATAGTAAAAGATAACAATCAGCATTTAAACGAGTTATTTCTCAACTAGAGGGTGCTAGAGGGCTGGCTAACAGCTCCCATGACGCTTCTCTGAAGTGTGTTTACTTCCTGACAGGTACGTAATACATACTTTCAGTCAGTTCGTCTCTACAGACCAGCTCGAAAGTCAGTAAAAAGGTATTCACGAGTATTTCCCATTCCTGCTGGTTTTGCAGCCAGTCCCAGTGTGGGTTTTATATCCCACAACATTTACTGCGAGTTAAAGCACTACGTGAGTGTTCATTCTGATGGCATTCAAGCAGATATGCTGAGGGTACTTTGTGGATTTTTGGAGCAGAAATAACAGCTTGTCATGGTTTCTGTGACCAGCTGAGGTGCAGGATGTGGCCTCACTATTTTTAGCTTCTGCTGCTACACCCATYTGTAATAAAAAACCATCCTGTGGGTGTTAGTGTAGGTGATGCAAACTTTTACCTCTGAACTTCATTCTTAAAAGTTTTGTAATTCTTCAAACTATCAGTACACGAGAACAAAACTTTAGCAAAGCCCACCTAACGTTTTTATCCGAAGTCATTAGCCAATGTAAACTAAACAATCAACAGSYCTCTTTATTAAAGGGAAYTARAAATATTTCTATTAGTTTTCATGTSCTCGCGAGGATTCGAAAGAYTTCTTTGAGGAGCATCAGGGGGACTCTGGAACAGGATTTTGGTCCAGGAAAAGATCACGCAACTGCAGCCCAGAAACTGTTGTGTGTATGAGGTAAAATTTAATCCTTTCAGTAATTTCAGTGGAGCTACTGTCGCGTTCCTGCTGGAATACACACAGGAATAACACTGGAATAGCGCTGTATTTCCTACTGGCCGCCCGGAAGCGTCTCCTCCCGTGACACCCAGCGCGGCAGCGACCGCCTCCCGCTTCAGCGGCACATCCTGCGGCGGGGTGGGGGCGCGGCAGCCCCGTCCAGATCCGACCCGATCCGACCCGATCCGACTCGGTCTGATCCGATCCGACCCGATCCGAATCGGTCTGATCCGAATCGGTCCGGTCTGACCCGATCCGGTCGGATCTATCCCGCCCCGCCCCGCCGCCATTCCCTCCCGCCCGCCCGCTGGGTGAGTGCGGGGCTGCGGGAAGGGCAGGGGAGGAGAGGGCAGGGATGGCGGCGGAGAGCGTGTGCCCAGAGCCACCGCGTGTCCCCAGAGCCGCCGCGTGTCCCCAGAGCCACCGCGTGTGCCCAGAGCCACCGTGTGTCCCCAGACCTGCCGCGTGTCCCCAGAGCCACCGCGTGTGCCCAGCGCCTACAGCCGTGTCCCCCTGTATTCCCGCTGCTTCCCRGGCCGTGTGGGAGCACGCGGTGTGAGTGGGACACCGGTGACAACAGCTGTCCCCGAGTGAGGCGGGAGCGGGCCCCTTCTGCTGCTCGGTTCTTGCTCCAGCCCTGCCGAGAGGGACCTGGGAGGGTTGGGAGGTGAAAAATGGGACTTGAGCTGGCCATGTGCCTCCAGGATGGTCAGAGCTGGAGCACCTGTGCTGTGAAGACAGGCTGAGAGAGTTGTGGTGGTTCAGTCTGGAGAAGGGAAGGCTTTCCAGCAACTTTTTTGCAGCCTTTTAATACTTAAATGCTGTAAAAAAAGCCATAGAAGGCTTATACCAGGGCCTGGAGCGACAGAACAAGGGGGAATGGTTTTAAACTGCAAGGGGTAGGTTTAGGTTAGRTGTAAGGGAGTTGTTTTTTTTCTAGTGAGGGTGCTGAGGGACTGGCATAGTTTGCCCAGAAAAGTGACTTTCTCATTCCTGGGTGTTCAAGGCTGGGTTGGATGAAGCTTTGACCAAACAAATAGTGGGAGATGTCCCTGCCTTTGSYAGGGGGTTTGTGCCAGGTGATCTCTTCCAACCCAGACCATTCTGTGGGGTTACAATTGTTATAACTAACAAAACACTACAGAAAAGCACGTGGTATAAATAAAGSAGGGTTCTGTGATCAGTACATAGCTGAGTTTAACTTCATTAGATCGATGTGAGTGATCTGAGAGGCTGGTATGATGGATTTAGGTCTGGAATTCATAACTGACAATTTGTGTGGTTGCATTTATGTTCCTGACGTTTGGGGAATATCAGTTTTTAGATCTTGGTGCCRGCAGCATCTTCAGATCTTGGTGTCAACCAGGGACTAATTTTCAGTCTTTAATWTTTTTAAGCATTCCCTTGCCTCATGTAGAACAGTAGCTTGCTGCTGCTGACAATGTCCATCCTGCCAGGAAGGTGGTGATGTGAATTCCCTCCTGCAGGTCTGAGGTGACCACAGGCTGCTGTTGAGGAACTGAACAAGCAGCAGGAGCTGGGGGATCAGCATGCTGTCCTGCTGCAGGGGAGAACTTAGTGCTGCTTGGAAATAGCAGAACTGGAGTCTCAGTTTCAGGATGAGGGATCTGTGTAATTAAAAGCATCACAATACATTGATAGCATTTGCTTTTGGAAGTAAAGCTGCCATTTTTACTYGGAAATGAAAGCCATCAGTACGTTCTAACTCATGGGTTGGCTTCACAAACTCGCTCAGAGTCAGTTTAAGATGGTGTTTCTGCATAATGGCACACAGCATACTGTGTACCTTAAAAAAAGAAAGTAAATTACTTTCAGCTTTAAAATTAAATGTCTGTACTTGTACGACATAATTGTTTTCATTCTACATGAACCACAGAGTTTGATAGCTTGGCAGAAATCAAAGCAGAATCTTGGCATTTTGGTTTTTAAACTGGTAAATTTTACAAGTGTTAAGCTCATAGATTTAGTAATTACATAGCATCAACAGCAAAACCTAACAGTGTTCCCTCTATAAACTGTTACTGTTCAAGGAAGTGTAATAAGAGTACAAGTTTCTGAGGCTGTCCCCTCTCTCCACCTCCCTCTGCATTTTGCCACTAAATCTCTTAAAGCTGAGTTGTTTTTTTTTTTTTTTTTTTTTTTAATATTTGCAGCTCTTGCTACAGAAGACCACTTGAGCACAGGTTCTTTGTGTGGGTGGGTTCCTGTACTGCTAACGATCCACTGGGTTTCATCACATGTTTTTTAGTATAAACTCAGCTGTGGGATTGGAGCTYCTGTGAGCAGTGGCTCCCAGCAGAGCCCTTCGGAGTTTGCTGAGGTTTGAGAGAGGCTTGGAGCCTGCATGGAGCAAACARTGAGCCCCTGAAGCCACAGCTGCTCCCAATGTGCTCTGATATCCCTCTGGAGAAGGTGAGAGCTCTGCTCTGGGGCTGAGAGCTTTTGAGGTTGTGTTGTTGGCTGATTGTTCTGGGTCTCTCTCCTCCCGGACAGGAAGATGCCCAAGAAAGGAGGGAAGCACACTGACCTGGGAAAGGAAACACAGGCACAGTGTAAACGGCCCAAGCTGGAAGCAGATGCTTCTCCGTCGGTCCTGAGTTTTGACAGCCCAGACAGCCTGTTCAGGAGCTTGATCTCTCCCATCGAAGAAGAGGTGTTTTTCAGGGAGTACTGGGAGCAAAAGCCACTGCTTGTTCAGAGAAATGATGCCCTGTTGGCTGCTTACTACCAGTCCCTGTTCCAGCTGTTGGACTTGAAGGAGCTGTGCAGCCAGGGCCTGTTCTATGGGCGAGATGTCAATGTTTGCAGGTGTGTGAATGGAAAAAAGAAGGTTTTAAATAAAGAAGGTAGAGTGAATTACATGCAGCTGAAGAAGGATTTYGACCAGAAAAAGGCAACAATACAGTTTCATCAGCCTCAGAGATTTAAGGTGGGATTGTTTCATTGTAATTAATGCGATTAATGCTTGCTTTATAATATGGTGTGGCTTTGCTTGAGTTGCACTAGGCATAACTTCATATCTACCCTCAGGGCAAGTAGTTGACATTGATGACCTGTTGAAATCTTTACATGAACTGTATTAAAACACAGTTTATACTTCTGCACTGCCCATCATGTTTCATTGCTGTGCTGTAAGAGCAGCATTGCTGCTGTTTCATGCTATAATRTTAAATATTCTATAATATTACATATTCTTGTAAAAAACTTTGCCTTTTCACATCAAAAATGCATGTTATTAATAATTGGGCACCTGTGCTTTAATAATCCCTTTTGCATCACTTTTTCCTTGTGCAAATGGGCTTTTGAACCCCACTTGCCTTTAATCAAAGGTGAGGTGTGAAACCATGTAAAATATTTCCAGGACCATTCTTGCCAGTGGATTAGCTTTGAATTGCACCACGGGAGTGACYCCACCCCATTTTAGCTGAGTGTCCTCAAGTCTTTCTGCGTGGGAAGGAGGCAGTGGTGCTGCACAGTTGTAAATGACTTGGATACTTGTAGGTACTGTGATTTAGGCAGTCCTTTCTTGACCTATGGTGTCAATGCAGTCTAACTGTGAGGTGGACCCCATCAGGACCCAAATACACAGCTGAGTCCCACATGTAGTGTCACTGACGGATCTCAGTTGCTGGCATTTCCTGGTGTTTCCATGTTGGAGACATGTTGGGGGTGGATGGGTGAAGTTTCTGCTTGAATACTCCCAAGGAGTTGGAATCTCTTGTAAAAGGTGTCTAACCTTTGTTAYAGTCTCTCTTGGATTCAAGTCCTGCATGTGTTTATTTTCTTAGGATGTTTTGCTGTTTGTGGGATGATGGGTGGTTTATTCTCCTCTGTTTAGCCTCATTTTGCCTGACTTTTCATCCTGAATATATTAGAGGAAAGAGAGCAAACATCAATGTTATGTTGAGGCACCAGATTTTTTGGCTTACCCATTACCTTGTTGGCAGATCTCCTTTGCTCCTGCAATGTTTACCTTYAGAAGAAACTGCTTCCCAGGCTGTGTGTCCCTGGGGGGATGTCACTATTCTACCCCAGCGATGGACTGGTGGTAGCCAGGCTGAGCTCTTCAGTAGTGACAGCATCATTTTTTCTTGTGCAGGAGGAGCTGTGGAAGATTCAGGAGAAGCTGGAGTGCTACTTTGGGTCTCTGGTGGGGTCCAATGTTTACATCACTCCCCAGGGGTCTCAGGGCCTTCCCCCTCACTACGATGATGTTGAGGTAGGRCACCAGCACCTTATTTGTGAAATGCTTTGTGGGCTCCTGGCAGTGGGTGCCTCTGTGTGTGCTTCCATCTCTCCCCCAGATAAACATTCTAGAAAAACTTCTGTTTTTCCACTGAAAACTTAGGGTAATTACTTGCAAGTGTTTCCCTATAGTAATTTTCTTACATATTTTTGCTTAAAATGTACTAATAGTAGTGGCTGTGTTTAAGTGACTGGAGAGAAACTGGGATTTCCAAATTTGGCATAAAACATCACACTTCACAGCGCTTTCCTCTGTTATCTCTAAATAGAGCACAAGAAATTAGCTCAAATGTAAATTTCTGCATTTAGATATCTAACAAGCAGTGTGAAAGGAATTGTATTTRCCATGCTGGGGAGTAGCTGAGAGTAGGAAAGGGGAAAACCTGTGTTGTGTTGGTCAGAAAAGCAACCTGTGCCACTACTGTTTGCTTTCTGTCCCTGATTTCTGGCTTGGTTCCACAGACTTGGCAAGTCAGAAGATAAATTAAAATACCTGATGAGCTGGATGTGTAAGGGGCAGCAGGGCTTCATAGGTGCCTCCCCCTGACATTTGGGTTTATGGTCTTTTGCAGGTGTTTATCCTTCAGCTGGAAGGAGAGAAGCACTGGCGCCTCTACAAACCAACAGTGCCTTTGGCTCGGGAGTATAATGTTGAGTCAGAAGACAGGATTGGGAATCCCACACATGAGTTCATATTAAAGGTATCATAATTTAATTGCTTTAGGTGGTCTGGGCCGTGGTAGCCAGAAGAGTAGTCATGTTTTGTAGGCTCCTAGAACTAGCTGATGTGACCTGATTTAATGACCATAAGATTAAAATGGAATTTCATCACTATTGCTTTATTAACTTTCTCTTTGTGCTGCTTTTTATAGGGCAAGCCATAAATACACTGATCTTTTCTTTGTGGAGGCAATTTTGTGTGCTCTGCACTTCTTTCTTGAAGTCTTCATTAAAATTCTTTTTTAATCTAAATTTTTTTCAGTGTGGGTATTAAATTTACATAGGTSAGAAGACATGGAGGAGGAAAGTTGTACTTTTTAAGTGTTTTTAACTGAAAACTTCAGACAACAGTATTGTAACAGATTRCCATTTTTACAGACTATTTGACTTTTTTTTGTGGAAGACTGGCCTTTTCTTTTGTGATCTGACCAAATTCCCGTGGCACTGCTCCTCTGCCAGCCCACTGAACTTTCAGCAGGTTCATCTCAGCTCCTTCTCTGTCCACTTCCTGCAGCTCAGCAGGAAGTGTGAGCTGTGTGCATGTTCTGTCATGCTAAAAGCTCGTATTTGCAGACAGGTGTAGAGCAAATATTGACAGTAGGTTGGAAAGTTTAAAGTGTTGGACTTGTGGCTTAGAGTGCTTTGTGTTACTGAAATGCATATTGGAGAATTGCTTGATTTTGTGATTTTAAAGAATATGTATTGACTGGCTGCTCAGAGAGTATTTTCTCTGCTTGGACTACAGTAAGGTTTGACCAGGTGGCCTGAATGTATTGATTTTCTTCCATTTTCTTGCAGCCAGGTGACTTACTGTACTTCCCAAGGGGGACTATTCACCAGGCTGACACTCCTCATGGCAACTCCCATTCAACACACGTGACTRTCAGCACCTACCAGAACAAGTAAATTCTTTATTTCTTGTTTTGTGTTGCTTTCCTCTTCCAGGTGATGTGTGTAAATAGTTGAGACCTGAAGCTGGTGTTTCAAGGCACTGATGTCCTGTTTCTTAAAAAGAAAAACCACCTTGTAGTGAGTTCTGCTTGGGTCTTTTCTGTGTTTATCCTGTGTAGCCCTTGTGTGATTGTTTTCCTGTGAGTGTTCAGGGACAGGTCACGTCACCACCCCCCAGAGATGTGGTGACGTAGAATATATGTAGGTACCTCACCATTACATAGGTGCCCTGCTGTGAGGATCTAAGTGTTGAGGTAGTAATAACTGAAGTTTCGGGGTTTGGGGGAAGGAGGGGAGCCAGAGCATTGTTGTTTGAAGCAGTGTGTTTGACAGGTTTTCGTGCARTAGCTTGATTGCTTTTTAATTGCTTTTTTATTATTTACCAGCTCGAGACTTTCATGTGGAAGATAATGTTACAACTGCAGACTCACTGTTGTGTTTAAAAAAATCCCTCACCAGTGGCTGAAGTTGCTGTTCATTTCATAATCCAGATAAAGAGCCCCGAGTTATTCCTTTCATCAGATTTTCTGCTGTATTTGATGGTCACCCTCAGCTCTCCTGACAGATGCTTCTGTGCAAATATTTCCTGTTAATCTGTGTTTTTCATCTCATACCCCGTGTGTGAGMGTCAGATTTCTTTGACACAGGTCAGGTCCTTGTCCCCATTGAAACATCGTTATCACACAGGGAAATGCTGCTGCTGCCACCTAATCAGCTTCTCAGATGCTGGGCTTGGAGTCATTGGCCTGAGTTAGGAACTGGGATGGATTTCTGTTACCTGCAAGACAGGGCCGAACAAGTTTGGGCATCTTTCAGATGAGTGTGAGATCAGTTTCTAACCACCAGCCATGCCATTGTGGAAGCCCAGGATGTCCATGCTGTTGGTAACTCTTCCTGTGGCCACGGTGCACAGCAGGGTTTGTCCAGCTGCATCTGTATGGATTTATTGGTCAAGGAGTGCTGGGAAGGCAAGGATTCAGTTCTTTCTAATGGGATTGCTGGAGATGAGCAGCCTTGTGTGCAGTCAGTGCAGTTTCCCCATGRCTGCATGAGCCCAAGGCCAGTCCAGTGCGTGACTTGTCAGGAGTTCCCTGGGGATGTCTGTCATGAGTGAGGAGAGGAGCAGGAAAAGCTTCAAGACTGCTCTTCCTCTGAGGTTAAAAAGTGGAATCATCATCCATTAAGGTTATTGGCAGTGAAGTGTAAGAGCCTTCCTCTCGCCCTGCTGTCAGCAACTGTAGGTAAAATAAGTAGCAGTCCTGGTGTTTTGATTTGGCTTGTAGACGGAGGTATGATGTGGAAATATTTCCTTGGAAAATTGCAGAGAACTCMTCAAAAATAGCTGTGGAAGTCGCACTTTGAGGTATTTTTAGGCACCGAGACAAAAGGGACATCTCTGTGTGCTGGAGCAGAATTTGTCTGGGCCAGATCCCAGCAGCCAGAGARGTGTTCACATTTGGGATAAGCAGGGCAATTTGGGAAAGCAGTGAGGAGCTGAAGACACTYGCTGGCAGATGGAAACTGGGGGCAWGAGAAGCAGTAAGAAATAGATGTCCAAGTTCTTTTTATTGGTCAGAGTTCCTTCCCACTGGATAGCAGGATGGCAGACAGTGAAACATTTGAGTTGAGATGATTWGAAAAAATGGAGACTATAATAGGTAATAATTGTTTTTCATCTTGACACTATTTAGGAAAAGAAAGTAAGTTGTTTTATTTCAGTGCAACTATTTCAATATTTTTTTTTTCTTTCTGTCCTTCAGCTCTTGGGGAGATTTCTTACTGGATGCAATTCCTGGCCTTGTGTTTGATACAGCAAAAGAGGACGTGTCGCTGCGGACAAGCATTCCAAGGCAACTGCTCATGGTTAGTAGGTAGAACTTAGGGAATAGCGGTGCAGCCAGGACATCTGTCAGACAGGCARAGTTCCTGTCAGGCCAAGCTTTTGAATCTTTAAAAGTCAGTGAAGCTGTGAACTGTTACGTGACGTCCTTATAATGGTCCTGTCCTGCTGCTATCAGCCCCTTAAGTGTGCAGGGGGAACAAGGATCTCTTCAACTGCACTTGCAAATCCTTTAGCCCCAGAGCAAGGGAGAGAGATTCAGCTCTGCTTTGTGAACAGCTTGTGGGTAATGTGTAAAGGAAACAAAAGCTGGTTTGGGACTAAGCAAATGAGGAGTGTCCAGATTCTCACTGCATTGCTGCACTGCTTCAGGCCTGGTCTGTTCAACTTGAATKCTCTGTGGATATTTAGCAGGTGAATACAGCTGACTGCACCAAAAAGCTGAGCAGCCTTTTGAGAAGGCTTGCAGACCGTCTGGAGAACTCCAGGGAACTGAGATCTTCGGACATGAAGAAGGATTTCATTATGCACCGGTTGCCACCGTGCTTGGGATGTGGCACCGATGCTTTGACTCCAGGTAGAGTTTGAACTTCCTAAAACTGGCAGATGGTAGAGCTGTTGCTAAGTCTGCCTTTTATAACTTCTAGCATTTCTTGGCGGGCCAGCATCACAGTCTAGGTCCAGCTTTGTGTGGTGCCTGGCTCTGTGTGTGTTTGCACACCTCTGTTGGTTAGTTCYCAGTGTCTGGTGGGAGATGATACATCTCCCTTAGACTGAAATAAAGGTTATCCTAGAATTAATAAGTCTTTCTCCTTTCAGCCTCTACCACAAGTTTGAGAATTTGTRGATATGGAAGCAGGCTGACAAAAAGTGGCTACAAGAGAATGGGTAGTGCACAGAGGGAGCTCAGTGTGTACTCTCTGTCTGTTTTCTTTCCTTTCTAAGGGAGAGTTTATTTTTTCTAGGTGGGAAATTACCAAAAATAGATAGCAAAATCAGACTGCAGTTTAGAGACCATACTATCATCAGTGTGGAACCAGATCAAGAGAATGCTGTAAGTATAAGAAGCYACCCTTGCATGCCTGGGGTGGGGAGTGGGAAATGTAAATTGTTGCTCTGTTGTACTAAAAGGGTTGTGCAGTTCTGCCTGGTTGGATCCTGCATGCCATTATTGCTGTTAGAAAATCCTGRGGCTGTTTGCTGAGCAGTGATACTGCACATTCCAGCCTTTGGGAGGGAGGTACAGAACTATATTCAGTCTGTGATTGTGCATGGCTTTTATCTGAGCTTACATGGGGTAGATCATTACAGCAGCTAAATGGCCTCTATAGCTCTATTTTTTAAAAATTCTTTGTATTTAAGAACATTMAGAAATTATAAAATTAGGGTTCCTGAACAGTGGGAATTCTTTTGGTTGCATTTAGTCTTGACTGTACCTAAGTGGGTGACAGTGACACTACTAAGTTGTTCCACAATGTAGATACTGGCATCTTGCACCATGGTGTGTTTGCACTGCTACTTAYCTATAAAGGTTTATTAGTATGAAATTGTAGTAGTGCTTTTTGTTACCTTAATTTAAAAAATGGGTGACACACAGACACAGGATGGATTATCTTGTACAGGTTTTTTTTTTTCTGATTTTTCTCCTCCATTTTATTTGTGTCCCTCTTGCTGTGAGAATGTATAGAATTTAGAAACCTTTTTTTTCCAGTTTTTGTGCAGCAGCATTGATAATGGGCATGTGATTTTTAAGAGMGAGGTCAGTCTCAGAGTGGAGATTWATTGATGGACACCTGTTAATCAAAGTTTTCTAGGTGTGCTGTAAATGGCGTRTTTTTCTACACAGCATCAGCCCTGTGGCTTGAGTAGGGACAGTTTTAAGGCAGAAGATTGTAAATAAATTTTCAGAGGTATTTTGGAGTCTCTTCTTGCTGTGGTAGGTGGCTGTTGGATGATTCAGTTGAGAAGGAGACTTGCTTTCTTTGCTGGAACAGTGGGCTCTGGAATTAAGGAGCTGGCACTGGAGTGAGATGAGTGTGAGGGTGTGGATCACCTGTAACCATTTCCTTCYTGCTGTCTTTTAGGATGAAATTCGCAGGGAGATGGTTTATGTGTATCATTCCTTAAAGAACAGGAGAGAAACTCACATGATGGGGACAGAGGATGACATTGCCAGTGAGAATGGACTGGCACAGGTTTGTTCCTGCAAACACCCCCTAAAAATTTATCTTGCCCTGGTGGGTTTGGCTGTGTTCTTCAGTACACAGAGCTTTTAATTCCCAAAGTACCTGGATGAGCTGAGGCTGCCACACAGGCAGTGAACAGTAGAACTAAGGAATGTGATCTCAYGCTTAATTAAACATTTGAGATGTTAACGGGATTTGTGCATGCCCTGTGTCCCAGTTAGCAAAGCTGATGGAGCAACTAAAAGCTTCTCTCACTTGTGTGTCCTTCAGCAGGTCCTGTTGGAGGCTCCTGGAGATGTAGCCCATGTTCTGTGGGGATCTGTGCTACATCTCTGCAGGATCACTGCATCAATTTCTGCCATGTTAAACYCATGTTAGATCCTGTATCCACTGGAGCACCCTGTGCAGGCCCGGTCTCTTCAGGCTGGGCTGGGTCAGCATTGGCAATGAAAAGCTGACTCTTCTACTGAAATGGAATTCAGCTCTGCACAACTCCACCAAGGARGCAGAAGAGAGCACAGCCTGTCCTTGTCTTGGCAATTGCTGCAAGGCTGTTATTTTCCTTTTAAAGTAAAGCTCACTGCTCCTCTGAGAGCTGAGGTTGTTCACTGGCACCTGAGCAGCACATGCTCATCCCAAGATGTTCCCTCCTGCTCTTTACCAGGAGTCTTTATGGAGGTCCTCTGTGCTTCTGTGTCCACAGACTGCATGTACCAGCTAAAAATAAACTTCTGTGACCTTGCTAAAGTAATGCATAGGGTTAGGCAAGAAGGTAAATTTAAAGTTTGGGTTTTTTTTCTCCTGTGTGGAAACCACAGAAGGAAGCCACGTGCCATAAACATCCTTACCTTGTTAAGTGTGCTAGAGCACGTAAGCGTTCAGCTCTTCCTCTACTAAGACAAAATAGGTCTGGGTAAAACTATCTTTTGGAGGCTGCTCTGATGAACACCAGTGTGCTGTGAGAATGGAGCACATTCCTGCTGCCCCCTCCCCACAGCCTCACACACTGTTGTGTAATAAAGTCACTGCTCTTTGCTGAAGGGTTTTTTCTGTTTTTTTCCCCAGCAGACTCATGGGCTGCGGTTCCCTTTGTCATACTTGGATGCACTGAAGCAGATCTGGAGTAGCAGCACTGTTAATGTTAAAGAGCTTAACCTTACCTCAGATGAAGAAAAAGAAAACCTTGCCTTGTCACTGTGGACTGAATGTCTGATTGAAGTTCTTTGATGCTTTTGTGAATTAGCTGCTCCTCTAACGAGTATTTCTGGCTACTAAGCATCTCTTGAGAGCAAGGCTTATTAAATTAGGTTTTTTTTTATCCATCCGGCCTCTGGTTTATAGTGCTAACAAAGCACTGCAGTATCTATACTTTACTACTGTCTGGTACCAGATGTTACTTATCTTTCCACACTTTTGGGAAACTGCGCATGGAGAAAAACAGGTAAGTGAACCACAGCTTCATGTCTGTGGCTGGATGAAGTCACTCCAATTTAACACCAGTGCTGTGGTATTCCCTTCCCTCGGGAGAGCTGCTGGGATGTGGAGGACATCTTAAGTTATACATGGAACAGGCTCCAGAACCTTGGGCATGAAACATTAACTTGTTTTTTTCATTTGTAAAGTTCATCAGCAGGAAAACTCGTTTGTTCTGTTTGATTGCCCTGACAGAACAAAAGCTTCTTGGTAAAAGCTGTGTGTGTTGTTCCCAGATGGAAAGACTGTGCCCAAGAAAACCCCTTTTTCCTCAGATGCTAACATCACTGGAATAAACAAACAATAATATTTAACTTCTGCCGTCCCCAGTACCAATTTCAAGTGAAAGTAACCCAAAAACCTGTAGATGGTATCTGTTCACTTGATTAGGTTTTGATGAGACTGGTGCAGTTACTTTAATACCTCATTGATTTTTAATACACAATCTCAAGTAACAGCACAGCCACATCTTCAATACACTTACCCTTTTTTAGCCATTGGAAAAGAAATATTTTACAGAAATGTGCTCAACATCTGCTACAAACTATAGTTTAGCTTGTTTAAAAATAAACCAACCAGCAAAATGTTTCTCCTAAAAAGTTTTATACAGTTAAAATATACATGCTTTAGCATTTTACATTCAAGGTCTCTTAAGTACAAAAGCCTGCTTTACTTTGTTACGTAACACTGAGACAACCAAGTATGATTTAGTCATTCTTCATTTAAAAAACTACAACTTTTTACACAGGCTTTTAAAATTTCATATAGAAAGCAAGTCACATGCAGAACGCTTGATGTACTGACATATATGGAGAAAAGCCTAACAAGTGCTTTAATTGAAAAAATAYATACATACATTTGAAGATCTGTTACTCGAACAGCAGATACATAATTTTAGAATGTAAAATAGTAAGTGCAAGTAGATTTATTTTTAAATAGTACTATATAGAACTCCATTTCATACAAAAATAGACATCCATATATTTTATTTCTGTGGCAAACTTAGAGTTATGTCTTTGTTTGGGGATGATCCTGTTTGAGTGCACAGCTGGCATAGGTACAGCTTTTGGAATCTAAAATATCTGTTCAGCTAACCTGAACTCTTTAAATAGTACTAAAAATACATACCCTGAATATACAAATGCTGGAGGAAAAAAAAAAGGTATTTTCAATGAAGAAGATTAATTTAGTGATGCTGAAACCAGGGATCTAAGGGATTTCTCTCCCATTTAAGGTGTTCACAGCCCTATAGGTAYCTCTGTTGGGCAGTGTTGAGCCAGGAAAATGCTTTTCAAGCATTCTCTTGTTCTTTTGGGAGCAATAGCTACAGTTGCATAGTGTGGAAATTGAGGAGAGCCCTGGCACACCCAGCTCTGGACCATCAGCCCTCATCCTTTGTGCCACAGTGACACAGCAGCCACGCTGGGAACACGAACCAGCCCTGGAATGCAGGCTGCTGGCCAAGTACATGCCAAGGCGAGGTGGTTTCTGCAGGAAGACATGGTTTCAAGAGTAAATGGCATCATATTAAATTAAGCTCTTTAAACTRAAACAAAATAGAGCTACATTAAAATACAGCTACAGTTAAAATCAGTGCTGCCACTGCAGCTTAGCCCTTGTAGCCCCTGGACAGGACCCRTTATCCCTGCTGTGATACACACACATGGCTCTGTGCTAAAGGTGATCTTCTGGGACAACTCTGAGTTCCAGGGTAGAAAACAGGCCACAGGTCAAAAAAACAGTTCCTGACTGAGTTGGGAATTTGATGTTAAAAAGCAGAGAAGACAAAGGCCTACCAGGATCATTTAGGGGGTGAAAGGCCCCTCTATTGCCTCCTTTCACATGCTGAGCTGGAATTCCAGTTCAAAGGTATCCTTAGGAACAAAATAAATTGCATTTTAGCAAAAGCATTATTCAGGATCACTTGGAACCTAAAGAGTTTGGGCACAAGAAAGACCAACTCAAGTTCCTTGAAGCTCCTCTGTGCATTCCCTCCTCAGTGAGCTTCCAGGAGTGTGGGGAAAGTAAGACAGCATTTCTGAAGAGCCTTTTCCCTGCTAGCTCTTGCACTTCCCATCCTGCAAAACCTCTGCCTACTCTTCTGCATTTACCTTTCAGATGAAGAGCAATGGTGACTTTCACAGGAGCAGCCTCTGAAGAATCAGCTTCCCTGCAGAGAGACATTGGATCAACCTCCCATCTTCCAGATTTGTGCAAAATTCAGTTCTTTTAGGAGCTGGTGCTTGTCATGAAGGAAAATAGAGAGGAGTTGCTGCTTATGCTTCCAGTGGTGTGTGACTTCAGTAGTTGGGTTCTTTTTTTTTCCCCCCTGTAGATGTTGGTAGCTCACACAAAGTCCATCCATGGGGTGGGTTTTACTCACAATATTTCAATATCCCATTTCTGTGAAGGTTTGTTTTCTAATGGCTGATTCATAATGATGTGATTCTTGTCATAATAATTTCCTCCTTAAACAGAAGAAATTAATGAAGGAAGATTTTTAAAAATAAGTACTCATAAAAATTATACATAATCTTTGAGATGCATGACTTAGTAGGAAAATTAGCTGAAAACAGAAATTTCATGAGGTAGTAGGCTGGTGTTCACAATTGAGCAATGATAATTTTAACCAGCCTTTTTTAAACTCCTCTTTCTGAGTTATTCTGTAGCTGCTTTTCTTTCATCATTTTTTCTTCTGTAACCTGCACTTCTTGCCATCTGCACTGCTTAACTCCTTGAGGTACAACAGTTGATCTGATCAAAATAAACCGCTGGAACCAAAAGAGAAAAGTTCCTCCCTGCCCTGTTTCTTGTCCCACTGCCAAGCAATTGGACCTAAACCTAACAGCAAAGGTATGATTCAGGTTTTAACCTTAAGTACCAAAAAAGAAAAAAAAAAAAAAGGAATATGGCAATTAACGTTAATCAAAAAATGCAGTTAAAACCTGTGAGGTTTAGGACTTACTGTTTTCTTTTTAAATACCTTTAATATCAAGCACCAGTTGCTCACTGAGGTATGAACTGATGGTTCCATCCTCGTTGAGTCTCCACTTCTGCCTGTCCTTCCCATGTTCTGTCCAGAGGGCGACTTTGACCCCAGGCACGTCTCTGCCACCAATGACATCCAGACAGGCATTGTTGGCCTAGGAAACAAGGAGAGAAGTGAGATCARGTCACAAAGCCTCAGTTTTGTGCCTGTCTAGTTCCAGACACTGAACTTACGGCACTACATTGTCCTGTAGCTGGTAAGATGCCTGGCAAGCAAACGAGGAATGGATTATTCAACAACTGCTGCTTGATCAAAGGTGGTGGTCTTTGTTACAGTTYTTTAATGTTAAATCATCAGCTTTTTTTTTGTATTAATAACAGACTATCAAGGGCAGCATTAATAGAAAAATAACCTACTCTGTTCACACATTCTTTTCAGATTAGTTCTTATCTCTAAAGAGTCAATGAACTTAAAATTGTGACTTTAGAAAAAAAACAGCTTTCCACAGGCTTCTGCTTCCAGGAGCATCAGTTCCATCAGATGGATGTGAAAAGCATCCCAAGCTGCCCAAGCAGGGAGATCAAACTGCTCTGTACATAGCAGACAGAAGTTTTAAGAGCTTTGGTTTAAGAGGCACAGGAGAACCCAAAAGCCATCCAGGTGTTGGTGCASCCTACAGTAAAAGCAAGAAGTGAAAGGAGAGCAGGGACACAACCCATTCATCTCCAGGATGCAAAACTCACCTTGGATTTGAAGAGCCCCCGGCAGTAGTGCCAGAGCTGGGAGTTGTTGCTGTTGTGCGGGGCCACGCACACCGAGGTCGCCCTGATGTCTGCCAGGCTCCCAGCCACGGTCAGGTACTTCCCCTGGGCCCTGTTCCTCACTCTCAGATACACTGCTGGCTATGTGGGGTCAGGGGAAAGAGTCACAACACAGATCAGTCAGGCTGATGTGACAGGGCCTCCCCTCCAACTTACAGCAGTTTTCTAAACTGTTCAATTCTCATTTTCACTTAGTATATTCAGGAATTTTTTTGCTGGAAATAAATGCGCATGTGAAGCAGCAGTAAGCAGTTTTTCACATGCAGACAGGCAGCTATAAACAGCAATAGCAGATAGGTTTTTTAAAAAAAATATTTATGGCTATAGAACTAATTCCTGTGGATCTGCAAATGTGCCTAATTCACATTTCACTCGTTCCAAGGGCAGTAAATGGTCTACTCCACCTGCTTTTTATTTTTGGGACAAAAACTTACTGAGTTACATATCCAGCAASTTCAACCCTCATTAACTGGAATATATGGCAGAGATGCACACCACTGCTTTTGAACATCCAAGGTGAGTACTGACTGACAGAGAACTGACTTGGTATCCCTGTTTACTTGGTTTACTCAAAAAATAAGAGGATTTGCAGGGCTATTGCAGGGTTTGAGCTTTTGCTCTGTTATTCATTGGTTGCAGTGCAAATAAAGAGCTGGGAATTATAAAAAGCAGCTCTGCTGGAACCCCAGCTCCAGCTTTTCTTCTGGGAGCTCTGAATCTTTTTTTTTTTTCCGTATTGAAACAAACCCTGAGCTACAGATAATAAGGCCTTTCTCCCACCAAGCATCCATAAACATAACCTGTATCAGAATAGTGTTTAGTTTCTCTTTACTTTGTGGTTTAGAAATCTGAACCTTTGAATGAGATTGAAACTGGAATTACCTGAGGTGAGGCAGAGAGGGAAAACCTGATGGGAACTGCATGAGCTTTGCCTCTTTTGGAAATCCAGGCTACAGCACAATAAAATTCACTCTTGCTTCCATTTATGTTAATTATGAAACAAGCCAGCGTGGAATTGGTTTCCTCATTATAYTGTTATATAGCAAAAACCGTAAAAATAGAGCATCCACAGAACATGCTAATGAGCAATTCAGAAAAACAAAACTTGGCATCAAGAAACTGGGAATTGTTTCCCTTTAGGGACCTAACATAGATCTCAATAACTGCCACGAGAGGCATTTTCTGCTTCAGTAATCTTCCAGTGGATCCTTCTGGCTGTCATCATCTGGCCTGATTTAAGGAGTACAACTCATCCCACTGCACTCAGTGGTAAAACTGATACTCGTGCACTGAGCCCTGCCCACAAAAACCCCATTTCCTCACACGTTCTCTCAGTACCTGCTTCACAGGACGAAGGGAGCCAATTGCTTTCCAGCCACTGTGTYCACTCCAGTTTGAAATCTCACTGGGCTCCAACAGAAACTGCTTTCCTAAAAAATTACATCCCTCGTAAGCAATCCACCTGGATACACAAAACAGAACATGAAAGGGAGCTCGTTATCCACAGCAAAACTGAACTGCAGGTCAGGGTTGTGCTCTTGAAATCTCCAAACACTTCCACAGTGATGCGCATATCAAACCTCTCTGTGCTGCAAAATGCCATCCCTTTCAGTGGGATGACTGCCTTCTGTTGACATTCAGACCTGTTTTCTGTTTGTCTCCCCAAAATTTGTAAAGTACACTTCCCGTGTCCCCTCTCCCCCTCCATTTTCCCCCTACAAGTRGGAGAAGCTCTGCATGAACCCAGACGTGAATAATGCTGGTTTCAGCAGGCTTACGTTAGAAAACTACGGAGCCACACTTGCAGCTTTACCTAGCTGTGCACATTAATGATGAGAGGATCTTGTCTGATGTTTTCATTTAAAAATGCATTTACCTTTAAAGCTTTTTATACAATTCCACTTGTCTGGAAACACATCCAGAGATTCCCTCCAAGCCCCACACCCTGCTCTAGCAGATTTTCCTGTAATGAATATACCACGGACCTGGCTGAGTCCTGTAACACCCAGCTAAAGCGCTGGCACATACAGAGCCCTTGTTATCCGGGCATCTGCTCAGTAAATGCTGCTCACAAAAGCAGCCTCAGGAACACAGATCCCTTCTGTTTACATCAATAGCACATTGTTGTATGGACAGTGAMTCCTAAAAGCCTGACTCATTAACTCCTCTGAACACAAAGCAAATGCTGGTTTCCCAGGTTACCTGTCTCACAGATCAGCTGCCAAGAACACGGGGGATGGCTGCACCCTGAGTCAGTGAGGGAGCACCCACAGCCCCAGAACACCTGGAATTGCCTTTGCCCACTGCACACAGTTCACAGAAACTGAGAGCCAGCCTTGCTCAGGGYTCCACAGAGGCCCAACTGTGCCAGCTGTGATCTGCCTGGCAATGAGGCTGGTCCCTGATCCTTTGAAGTCCGAACCTCCCAACTGACAGGTTTGACCACCCCTTGTGTCTTCCTTACACTTTGAACACATTCCTGACCTTTYTTCTTTGCAATGGTTTCTGTTAAGTCACCGAGAATTCAGTTAACATTATTCTTGGAGCACGGAACAATCTCATTTGGAATGTAGTTTCAAAGCAGACATTAACAGAAACAGAAATGGGAAAGACTGTTACAGTGATCACCGTGTGAAGCCAGGTTGGGCTCCTGGCATTCAGCGACACAGATAAAACTCATCTCAGCTCTCACACAGGCTGTGCCACCTCTCCCACACCTTTAAGCACCACAGCATCCTTTACCAAGGCAGATTCCAAGCTTGTGCCTTTCCTGGGGTGGCTGGTAGGCTTAGGAAGGATCCTTTTACCCAAGCTTGGCAACAAGAAGCCATTGGAATATTTATGTAAATATTTGCTCTTTGCCTAAAGCCAGCGGAAGGCTTTGGGACAAGGAGCCAAAAGCCCTCTAAATCTGCCTTGCTGAACTCTTAATCACAGGTAAGGCAAACAAACCCTCTAGGACATCCCACAATCACCAAACACCCTCAGCCTTTAGGCTACTTGTCTGCTGTGTGGAATGGGGACAGGCTGTGGAGGTTTGTTACCTAGGGRGCATCACAAGGAGCTCAAAGAAAGCTCGGCCCTCAACCTATTCCAGAGACAGGGAGGCAGCTAACCTGGCTTGGATACTCCATAATGAGCAGCCAGGCCCTGCTGCCCTCACTCTCCCGTGCTTTCTTGCCATGGGGTCCCAAAGGCCTCACCCTTCCTTTGCAGCCAATTGCTTGGGCAAAGTGATTTAATTTCCAGACAACAGCAGCATATGATCACTCACTCTGTATTTTCAGCAAGGGCTCAGGATGGAAGTGGCACAAATGCTGGGAACTGCTGTGAATTGGCAAAGCTCTGTGGGGAAGCTTATTTCACGGTTCTCTCAAGAAAAYTGCAGCCTTGCCCATGTGGATAAGGTGGGGAAAGGTCAAACATAAACATAGGAAATGTGCGTCCCATTAGGAGAACAGCAGTTTCCAGCCACTCTCGATTGCAGGATGAGACTCTGCAAGTTATTTGTTGCTGCTGTGGRTGTGGAGACTGAAAACCTGGCTGARGCAGAACACTTGGGAGCTCTTCCAAAAGGTGAAAGGGAGAGAAGTGGAAGGGGTTAGAAGGTCACTTCTGCAGATGTAAAATGTTTTCACAGAAGAACCTGGGTGTACAATCACACTCACTGAGGAGGGTTAAACTAATAACAAAAGCAAGTAACTGTTCCAGCTGTCAGATCCACCCTGAGCTCCTCTCAGAAGCTGCTGCCTCTCTGGCAGCCAGTCAGCACATCAAGCATCGCTGAGCCACTGCAGTGGTTTAAATCACTGCTGTTTATAGCTGGCACTTTACAGCCAGTTCATAAGGGCAGTCCGAGTTTACACTACCTGCCTTTGAAAGTCTGTGTCTCAAAATACAAGTTAAGAATGTCAACCATCCCATGAACAAGGCAATAATCAGGAGACAATGCATGCTCAGGATTAGCTCCTAGAGTGCAAAACTGACAGGGATATTCTCCCATACTTACAATCCACTTCTCACCCACACGGACTGGGTGTTAAAATGCAGGTCCTCACTCAAAACAGAATTGACTGGTTCACTGAAGTGCAGCTCTCTGCCCTTGCAGCATTCCAGGGTGAACAAACTGATGGAAGGCTCAGCAAAAACCTGGGAGAGGAGGAAGGAAGGAAAAAAAGCACAAAGTTTTAGTAGAAATAGTCTAACTTCAGTTGTTAGACATGATGCACACACTGGCCCACTTCAGTTGAGTTTCCTACACACTTTTGGATCAGCTCATGCTCCCTCAGCAAATGTCACAACGAGGGAAAACCCCAAAGCACACAGAGCTGCAACAAACTGCATTTATCAGTGGCTTTGTCATCAGAGYGTAGTGTCCCACTGACACAGCCCAGGCACAGAGAGTCACCAGGCCATGCAGAGTCCTCTGTTTGCCTCTGGAAAAACTCATTTTGATCTGATTTGTATCATCAGGACCTTGATTGCTTTTCAAAAATCCACTTTATTTACTTATTGATGGAATATGCATCTAAAATAGTGAGGCAAATCACAAGTTTGTTCACAGACTTCAATTCACTGTAGACAAATGAAAGAATTTTAGGGAGCTACAAACTGCAAAAACTTAGAAAGGTCAACTAAAAAGTTCTCAATGTTTTTAACAGACATTACTGTTTATCTTCTGACAATCTTGAAGGACTAGCACAATTAGTAAATTCTACAATCTGATGCAGAATTGAAACATTTGTCATTTAATGTTCTTTTCTACAGTCGACAAACTGCCTATGAAAGCAAAAAAAAAGATCAGTTTGCATGAAAATGTGGTACAGCTGTAAGCTCAGCAGAAAATCAGAGGGAGCAGATTTAAATACACAAATTCTGTGCCGCAGGAAGAGGAACACTTGTACAACTCTTCAGCATTTTTAATCTAAAACTAGAAGCATAAGCCCTTGCAATTTACACCTGGATAGATCTGGATACTCCATAATGAGCAGCCTGCTAAAGGAGGAGGGAACAGGTCTGACTAACTCAGTGAGCAGCCTCTCCAGGAAAGTTACCTCATTTTGGGAGACCTTACCCTGAGATAGCTGGCTCAGGCAAAAGTTGGGATTTCTCTTGCAGCAAAGACATGGCCTCAGGTGGAATAAAGGAAACAAAATCTTGAAGTTGACACAGACACTGAGTGACTAAGAGAAATTAACTTCCATGTTTGAAAAGGCACATGTATTGTAGTGAAGTGTCTCTGAAAAGCTCAGGGGTGAGTCAGGACATACGAACTTCCTCGACACTGACTCAGTGCCCTTGGTATGCAGCTGGTTATTCAGACTGTGCCTCAGAAATTGCCTCCCTCTGCCAGCCAGTGCAGCRACAGCCTAAGCCATGCAGCACTGCATGGACAGAGAGCTCACTGCCACATTTTGAAAAACAGGTGGGATCATCCATTCAGATTTTTAAAGCCTACTATACTCCTAAAATCTAATGTTACAAATCAGAAAGATATTAAAACCTTCATTTTGGRATGTCAGCTCTTCCCAAGAGTTCCCTTCTGCTGGATGGGATGGGTCAAATTTACAGTGTGTGGCTAAAGGCTCCCTTTGAAACACAGWCCAGCAGGCCTAGTGCAGGCAGCTGCTTCTGAGGCTGCTTTGCTCAGCAAGGCATTTCATCACCCTGTCTGCAAGAGCCTCAGGTGCCTTTCACCGAGCAGACACCAGAAGTCATGTCCAGAACTGGTCCAACAATTCTCACAAAAGCACTGCTAACCATGAGAAACACCACTGGGCATCCATGTTGCCAGACATTGTTACCCAAACCTAAAYATTTATCCTGCTGTTGCAACAGTGAGACTGTTGAGAGACAGGGCTGCTTTGGACAAGGCATCTGACACAGCAGATCCATCTACACACCAGGAACCAGAGCAGTGAACTGCTGGAGTCAATTAAAATGAGTCCAGCTSTGCTGTGGCTGTGACTGCTTGAGCTGAGAATTCCCCGTCCAGGTTCCCAGAGTCCCTGACACACACACTACCTGTGGGAAGGGCTGTCTCCCCCCCTCCCAGGGAGCCCTCAGCACAGATTCAGTGATCCTGCAGATACAAAGCCCAGAAAGAAGCCAGGCTGCTGTGCCAAGCTCTGAGCTCTCCCATTTCCACAGCCATATATAGAGCAATGCACCAATTCCTCACGTTCTGTATTCCCTTCTACGCCAACAGCTGGCAGCAGTGACTTGGTCTGGCTTTTTTCTCTGACTTTGTTTTCACAGCTCCATGGAAACTAAGAACAGTGAAAAACAAGGTTTGAGGTTGGGCTCARGGGCTTACTACAGAGGCATCTTGCTCCCAGCCTTTGTGGCAGAATGCCGAGGAGCATTTTCACCTGAAAGGTGAGCTGAAGACATATACATTCATCCATTCCCAAGTCTAGGTCAGCATTACTTTAGCTTCTCTTCATAGCWATTTCAAGGAAAATACCTGAAATAACCTGCTTTGGGAAAAGCTTACCAACTGTCAGAATGACAAAGCACTAAGGAATTTCTTCAACTGATTTCGATGTGTGAAGGAACTAACTGCCTTTGCTTAAACCAGCACCAATAACATTTTAAGAGATTTTGCTTGCCCTGCTTTTCATGCAAGTGTCCAGGGAGAAACTTGAAGAGATTTATTATATTCAAGAGGCCATTCTTATTCAAGATTAAGGAAGGTTCTATTTACATAGCATTTCAAGATATGAGCAGACTTGTAAACTGTGAAATACCCTGATTTCCTTTACTTAGCAGGTGTGGTGTTCTATGGCTAACAAAGCACATGAGGCAGTGACAATGACACAGGTAAACCATGAAAAATCAACACACTAAAAATCTCTTGCACAGTTCAACTCAGCTCATACTTTCCCCGCAATAATTTTTGCTTTTAATGGGGTGAAGCTATGCAACACAATTTTCCACAATTCAGAACAGATTTTTTACACTTTACCAGTTCAGGRAAAAAAACCCCACAATGCAAACATGAAGTGTTTGATATTAAACAAAGATCAATGCAAGACGAGCTTCCTCAGTAAGGTACCGACAGAGAAGCTCACCAAGGAGTATTAGAACTGAAAACTAAGTGCACAGGTGAATTTGCACATGYGCTGAAAAGAAAAGAAGCATAGCGATGGATAACATATGGATAATATTCCATTATGGACATTGTGAGAATCATTACTGATAAAGCTCTTTCAAAAAGGGCTCATCCCAAAACACATTTTCCCTCGCACCTTTTCTTCTTGCCAGCTTTGATGTGAAAGCCTAATAAAGGCAAAGAAAGAAATCCAAAGGGCCAGAGTGTCACCATGACATTAAGGCATGAGTGTCCCCAGCCATGGCAGGGAATGGGACACTGCCCCATTTCACATCGCTGCTGATCTGCCAACAGCATTTACCAGAGCCTGCACTGGAGGAGCCTCCACAGCAGTGTTGCAACATCCTTGGGAAAATCTTTACTCTCCAGGCTCGGCCAACTCATCATTTACAACTGTCTTTGCTGAAGCTGCTCTTGTCTGGCTACTCCCTTCAGTATGGGAYGGATGCCTGGCTGAGGGAACGCGGTGCTGGACGATGCAACGCCCACGGTCCAGTCCCAGCAACACACAATGACTCACTGCCTGGCCCTGGGAAACAGCAGTTAATWTTTGTATCTGATTTCTTTATTTGCCTCACAAGACTGCTGGGAAGATTGGTCAACACCTGTATTTAACTTACAGAAGATAATAGAGAAATACAAGGACTACCATGATTGATTAGAGCAAGAACTAYGAATGCCTCAAAAGAAAAGGGAAACAAACCCAACCAAGTGAAAAAAACATTGCACAACGCACAACCTGGATTTCATTTTTGGTTTTAGAAACTGAGGCTGGTTTAACTTATATGCCGAAGGTAACATTTTAGGAGGAAAGTTAATTGCTCATTGCAACAGTCCAGGGTATTCTTGTCCATGCAAATCACACCAAACATGACAGGAAGTTTGTCTAAACAACATGCCCAAGAAAAGGCAGCACTAGAGCTGATCTCCCCCTTGCAAGAACAGAAGGGTCTCTATCCCAAAAGATTAACCACTTAAAGTAACGAACATTGGACAAATGCCCCAGTAAGTAACCATGGCCCTATAAATGGCCCAGCTGCCTTCACCTGCACTGGTCCACATTTCCTTTCCATGAATCCACAGCAATGCAAAAGGCAAGTCCTTGCTGATGCAGGCACAGAAACCTCTGCAACTCTGCAGCAACTCAATCTGTGCTATGCTCTCACCTGCCTGCAGAATGACTGTTAACAACAACACAACAGCACATTTCATCAGCAAGATCTTCTGAAGGAGTGCTTTGGGATTTTTAGATGAAAGGACACGATGAGAGGCAAATGGCATCAGTGTCAGTTGTTCCTTGTCTCCTCCTGATAATCCACAGCTTTTCTTAAATGCTCTGAGGGTGACAAAACAGTCCAACCTGGATTTGAGCATAATGAAACAGCAGAAAAAAGCACAGCTAGGGTCTCCYAAGTATTTAGTTTGAGTATTATACACTCTGGAGGAAAAGTGTGACRGGAAAGAGGAAACTCCATCATGAACTGTTGTGGTAGGACAAGGGGTTATAGCTTCCAACTGAAAAAAGAAYAGATTTAGCTTAGATGTTGGAAAAAAATATTTACTGTGAGGATGGTGAAGCACTGGAACAGGTTGCCCAGAGAAAYTGGGGATACTCTATYCCTGAAGTGTTCAAGGCCAGGCTGGATGGGGCTTTGGGGAACATGGGATACCTGGAGGTGTCCCTGCTTCATGGCAGGGGGGCTGGAACTGGATCATTAAGGTCCTTTCCAACGCAGACTATTGTATGATTCTGTGATTCTAGGAGGTTCCTGGGAAGAGGGAACACCTTCCCCGCACTCCTTATGAACCTGCCTAACTTCGGTGTTACTGCTTCCTGAACCATCAGTAGGGGAAAACTGGTTGCAAAGATGTGCTGAATTCCTCCATGATGCTAGGGCACAATAAATGAGGAAATAACCAAAGTGAAACCATACTCATTTGAATTTCTTGTGAAATGGGAGAGTGTGTGTGCAGAGGATGTGGGAGCAGCATGCCATGCTTAAATCATGACAACTTCACTTTTCAGCAGACCACAGATAAAACATCCCTCCACCTCCAAGAGCTCAGGGTTAGAATAAAAATCAGCCAGCCTAAAATACTGTCACTCCATTAAACTCATCAAACCATCACTAGTGTGAGCCTATTTTCTTATCCAAACAATTTTGCATTGCTCTGAAAGTTTTGCATTTTTTTTCTATTTTAGTTGGACCAACTCAGTAATTCAGAAGGCARGTTTTAATTTTGTTATGTAATTAAGTTTTTGGACAAACAAATAATATTTTTGGCAGTTTTCAAACTCAAAAACTCGAAAGTTTTTTTTTTATCATTTAGAGCAGTCATTATATTTGTTTGCCAATAATTTGTTTTCATCAAAGCTGCATTTTGTATAGAACAAACAGAATGTTCCCAGCGTGGGACTCTTCCACAGTTATACTTGCAGCAAATACATCTCGCTGAAAGGAGAGCAGGAGACAATGCACACCCAGGGCTTGGTGTCAGGGTTAAAAGTTCTCCCTCTCACATGTGAGCTACCAGGGGACACACCTTAGCTCTGAAATGAGGCTGGTATTCAAAGCTGAATAATGGAAGGGGTTCCCAATGTCACAAATGAATTAAATAAAGCTACACAACAATTCCACTTGGGAATAGGCCCTCTTCTCTCCTGAATGAGCTCATAGAAATATGGTGTAATAAAAGGGGCTCTGTTCCAAGAACAGTGCAGCGTGGACAATGCACAGAATAAGCTGAGGCTGCTCCTGGCTGTGACCTGCTGCGTGCTCTGTGTCACGTCTGTGCCACACCAGGCTCCTGAACACTGCCCCGGGCTCAGCTCCCACAGGGACGGGGAGGGTTTTGCCATTTGGGAAACAGGTGGGGGTCAGTGGCATTTCATGTTTAGTGCCTTGATTTTGTGAATACAAGGGTTCCTGTTTGCAAGAGAAGAACCAAACTAAGAGGTGCAAAAGCAGAGGACCTGCCAAACACACTTCTTCCAGGGCTTGGCCCTCAGGAATCAAGGGCTGCCAGTAGTTTCTGCCATGCCAAACTTCATATTAACTTCCCTGTGAGATTGCAGGCTGGGGGATCTGGATGAGTCCTGTTATTTGATGTCAAAACTTCACTTGGATTTGGCACAGCAGAGTTTAAACACTGAACTTGAAAAGGGGAACTTTAATCTAAAACCCAGGCCCTCAGCAGGTGGGAAGTCACTGTATCTGTATARTCTAGTGAAAATCCAGCTCTCATATATGAATTGCAAATCCTTCCCACCACACCCATGGGCTGGGTGTTTGCATTTGCTTGGGGTTTGGGGGACTTGGGCTTTTTTTGCTTAGTTGGTTGGGTTTTTTTGCTTTTGTTTGTAAAATTTGTTCACAAATGGTAAAAAGGACTTCACATGTGAAAAAACTGAACTGAGTAATCCTGGAAGTCTAGCTTCATAAGAGTTATCCTGAAGKACACATGGTAGATAGGCTGAACTTGTGTCCTGTGACCAGGGAAGGAAGAAGAGTTTTGGAGAAGGTGCTGGCCAGTGCTGGAGAGGAGGGGACACAGAAACCACTGCTTCCCTTTTACCAGCAGTGTCACAGCTGATCTTTGATGCTCCTGCATGAGAGCACWTCAAGACGTGGAAGAAAGGTACAGACATCACATTAAGACCCCAATTTGTATGTCCTGTGTGCAGGATTACAGCGGGACGTACAGTGTGTTGTACTCCCTTGTTCTGAAGAACAAAATGCATTCCTGCCAAAACTCCTGTCCATGGAGGGCCTTGTAAAAAAGCAGAGCAACTTTAACTTCAGAACACCCAAGAGCAGCTACAAGTGACCACGTGCACATGTGCACGCAGCCTGACCTGTTCCCATCCCAAAAATCCCTATGAGCCAAGAAAACAAACCTCACTCTTTTCCCTGACTGGACGTTTGTTTAGGGCAAGTACTCACTTCAGACATCTGAMAAGGAAAATTGCTCCAAAATGTTTTTTTTTTTTCCCCCCAATGAATTCTTACATATTGAATAGGCTTGAGGGATTTGATTGTAGCAGTGGGGCAGCCACAGGAACTGAGGTCAACGTAGAGGCCTTCTTCCAGCACACACTGATTGTCAGTGATTTCCCCTTTGTAACACAGGAGCCAACTGCAAGAATAATGGAACAAAAAAGATAAGCTGCTCTAGCTGCTTATTAAGTTTTCTTCAAGACCTAATACTTGCTAAGRACATAAGGAATAAAAAATTTCTTTGTTCTTGTCAAGCTTAAAGTAAGGTGACTTGAAAGGCTGTGCAGCAAAGCAAMCAAAGCTGCAAAATCAAATCATGTGGCACAGAAACCTCAATTCCAGAGTCAAATGACGCGAGTGGAATGCAGACACTTCCACTGTACCAAAGTTCTCAAAATCTGGAATAAATTCTAAGTGGAGTTAAAAAAAGAACCACAGTAACTGTGCAAACCTTCCCCAGGAGAGCAATACATAGCACCCAAACCAAGAACAGGATGAGAGTTACTGAGATGACTTGCAGGACAAAGGGTCTAAGACATGATGGAATATGATGGGCATGTGTTATGTGCTGTCTGAAATTTTGTAACATTAAAAGAAAAAATTAATCTTATGGCATGTAAAACAACAGACTTACCATCCCCGGAGAACCTTAAAAGAACATGGTATGAATGATGTAAAATCAGAAACTTCYGCTGTGAAATCTACACATGCTCCTTGGAAATGTGTATTACTGAAAGCTTTGAGCTACAAGAACAAAACAAAACAAAAACAATGACTAGAAGGAAAATGAAGGCATTATCATTAATGTAAACAGAGAAAGCTCYACTCTCAGAGAAGTATCCATTCAATTCATAAAGATACAATTAAYAGAATGAATTCTCATTTAAAGGATCCTTTACATTCTACAGCTGCTTTACTTTTAGAAATATCAAGTATTTTGTCATCTCTGGGCCTGGCACAGGATGCTTCCCAGTGATGCTAAGGCAGGCAGTGTTATCAAGCATGACTTCATCTGCAGCAGGAGGGGGGCCAGGCAAAAATGAGAAGGGTAGGAGTGAAGGCTGTTATAATCCACCCAAAACACCCCTGAACTGCAGCTCAATTCTCACTAAAGCTCAGCAATCCAGTGCTCAAAGCAGGATGGAGAAATGTCGCTCARAAGATACAGGACTGCTGTTGACAAAGTGCCTTGAAACCTGTGATCACAGTGGTCGCAGGTGATTTTTCATTTCAGAACTAGCAGGAGGATTTCTGAGGAAACTGGGAACTCCTGAAGTTCAGCTAAACTGCTTTTATATGTCATGGGAAAGAGCTACCAGTCACAGTGAACCACACCCTAACAGTAACATGTGATTGGTTCACCCCAAAAAAGCAATAGCAATGAAGCTGAAAGTGTTGCAGTAAAATAGAAAAAAACAACCAAAAAAAAAACGCCCCAAAAAACCCCCAAAAACAAAAACAAAAAACCCCCAAAACTCCCAAACAAATAAACAAAAAACCCAAACAACTCCTGCCAAAAAAACCCCAACCCAAACAAAAAAACCCATGAAACGCCCCACCTCTCCAAGCCCCCATCAAAAATAAARAAACCCTAGTATGATATAGGCCATGATCTGTAGCAAGGACACCCAGAAATCTTTACTCTTGGCCTGCCACTGCTTAGCTGAGATGAATTTCATTTGAAAGCCTGAAAGAGAGGCTGGAAAAGAATGAAAAATTTAAGTGTATCAAGAGAACAGCCCAAATTCCGTAATGGAAGAAAAACAYGATGGCTGTTGCAAGAGCTACTTCCCCCTTCATGCCCCAAATCGGCCAAGCTTCCTGCCAAAGAAAAGAAATCAAGTGCTTTTGCCAGAACAGAGTGAGATGGGCCAAACACAAGTGTCAGCAAATGATTTTATGGAAAAGTTCAGTCTATGTTTTTAAAAGAAATGGGTGTTTCCTGTTAGAAAGAACAAGAAAGGCTTAACCAGGCCTTGCAGGGTGGAAGTGCTAACTGGAGAACACGGAGCAGCTACAATAAAATGAATAAAGTGTAACTGATTTTTCTGTAAATACAACTGCACTGCTCTGTCACAAAGCACTTATTTAAGCTGTAATTACACAGTATTTTCTACCCACTCATCTCAAAGCTTTTTACAAAAAGAAATATATATCCATACACACTGCCTTTCTTTCATAGGCCACGTGCTGTGCAATGCTTTTAAAAAAATATTCACAACTCATTTTTACACAGAATGTATCWAGTCATTAATGAATGAGGGTCTTAATTTGACAAAAGCTGGGGTGGAACAGTGATTCCTCAGTGCAAACACTGCAATTAGTCTACAACTGCAGCTATCTCCACTTTTTCAGGGTTTGACATCACTGAGTGAGGTTTTGCTTCCCAAAACCCCAACTGACAGAATATTAAAATCCAAATACAGGGTTGCACAGCAATTATCTCTGCTTCCTAAATCATCTGCACAAGTCACCTGCTGTTGAAGGAGGCTTGGTCCTTGCTGGGCAAACTTTATTTAAATAAATCAAATGAAGGGCTTTGTAGAGTTGGTGATTTCTCATGCTCTGTGTACTTGGTTTATTAGGGAGTCTGGCAGGCAGAAAAGGTCAGGGGAGCTACTTAAGGGAGAGACTGAAGAAAATTCWGCTGCTTTTTGATTTTTGATAAGCAGTGAAGAACACAAGTGTTAAAAAGACACACTCTCGTAGACAGTGCAAACAGTTCCCTTAGTTCAGATACACTTATTAAAGGTAGGACAACGTATAATCATCCAAAATAAGCAACAGATGACTTATACAAGGGTCAAACACCAGGATATTTAAGGATTTGTCAGCTCATATGCACCATGCTTTGAAGTTGCAAACTGAGAGACTGTTTTTCATGTAGAAAACCTTTATTTTACTCTGATTGTCAAATTCTTGATCTTTATCCAAAAGATTGTCTTTTACTTACCCTAAGTGATTAAATGTTTTCCCATAAAAACTTACTCAAAATATTTCCCCTCCTATAAGAACTGTAGTGATATGAATGATGTTCTTCCTTCCCTAGCTCTGGGGCAGAATCCTATGAAAACCAGGGTTGTGATAAACCAGGATAGTAATTTTTTCACAAATGATGTTAAGATTGTTATTAGAGACCACAAAAGGCAAAATACAGTCTGTACATGCCAGTATTTTAAGGTGTCTGTTCTTGTACACACACAAAAGGTTTTTTAAATGTTTCTGGAAATAAAAACCTGTAAAGCACAATTTCTTGAAACTTCAAAGTTTTGAATTGATCTTAAAGGTCTGCAACACTGGAATAATGTCCTCAAAGAATAGATTTTGGGAGATCCTGAAAAATAGAATTGGAGATGGAAATAAAATTGTCTTCAACTGTTTAGACCTCACCAGTTTTATGTGAGTCAGTTATTTTACCTGGCATCATTTACCAAGGCCCTCCTGTGAACATACTTGCAAGTCTTTGGATTTGGCTGCAAACTGCCATGTGAATAGGTTGGGCAGGAAGTCAGTGTTTAAGGCTAAAATAATACACCAATTATGTCTTCAGACAGGAAACATTTCCTGCAGTTCTGGGTTAATCATAAAATAGTAGAATTGGAGAAAAAGGAGGGTGTGGTCCACCTGCTAAGTAACACAATGCACATTATTTCCCATCCAAGCAAGAAAGAGAGAAATTGTGTCCAGATGACAAAATACTTAAGTTTGCTGAAACAGAACCATTGAGCTCTGAAACATCTTTTGTTTGAAAATAAGTTCATATTTCTCGAAATTAACTCTTCTAAATTTGCTTAATTAAAAGCATGCCATGGAGAGAGCAATGTAGATCATCACCCATGCCAGCAGGACAGACAAAGATCAACCAAACAACTCCTGCTGGACAGGAGGAGAGCSCTGCTGGGACAGAACATTGCAGGAGACACAGAGCACACATGGTCATGGACACAGAGCAGGTTTTTTGTTCCAGACAGATAATTCAAAGGTCCATTAGTGGAACACAGCCTTGTAAGACAAGGACAAAAATTGTAGGACCCTACACTAATTCATTTTTGAAACTAAGTGTGAATTATAGGGACTGCTTTCTCTTCATAAGTTACCACCAAGTTAGACATATTTTTCAGGGAAATTGTGAGAATGTATCATAAAAGAGATCACTGATTCACTGTGATCAGGATGTGTGCAGTTAAGCTCTTACGTTACTGTGATAGAAAGGGAACTTAAGGAGCAGCTCTACCTGCTTGGAAGACTTTGGAAAGCAGAACTACCAGCATRTAAGACTAAAAATCTCATCTTTCAGATGTTGATGCATCTGCAGGTTTGAAAATTGCAGTTCAGTTTTCTGTAGATTGTATTTTCATCTTCACCTCACATGTAAAGACAGAAGTGACAAACAGATACAATGCAAAAAAAGGGAAAGAAAAGCTGTCATAAAGAGAAGGATGACTGCATGTGATGGCAAATTTCCAGAAACAGGAGGGAAAGAAGAAGAAAATAAATAGCTATAGAAACCCAAAGTCACTCAAAACCTATTGGACTACTTGCATTTTTGGAGACAGAACACTATAGGGTATGATCTGGCATAAAGCAAGGAGCAGAACATTAGCAGGTTTCACTTTTATACATCTACCAGCTTCCTCCATCAGTGATCTGCTGTAGGAAGGTGACAATACCGAGGTATCTCTGAAATTACTGAGATACCATCTGAAGCAAGACATCCAACATTAGCTATGCTTAATTATTAAGTGTAGTTTAGTACTAGAGACTGTTATTTAATGCCAACATACCAAATGTGGAGGCTCATTCATCCCAAGGGGCTCCTGCAATAAATATATATACATTAGAAAACCCCAACATTAATTACAATTAATTTCCTAGGAGACATGCCAAATTGCCTGAAATTTGTTAAGTATGAGAAATAAAACASTTCCCAGGCTCTTGGCACAATTCTCTTCCCCAATTTCTGCCATGATCTGCCCATGAGCTCACAATTACCTGCCTGATTGTTCAACGCCTTTCACACAGAGAACTTGCATCAGCATTAATTAGTTCCCATAATGTGGATTAGAGTCCATGTAAATGCGTCTGCATTTATTTTTGAGGCTGTTTCTTGAAAAAAAGAATTTAAACCTAAAAAAGACTGTGACACCTCTCTCAACATATGCTCTTCAAAATAAGGTTAAAGTATTCCTTTCACAATCCGGTAACTTATTACTTATTAATAATTTATTACTCACTATCATTCAATACTTATTACTGAAGATTGTCTTTGTTTTGCATTAGGKTTTTGACAGTTCTGGCACTAATCTGTTGGGTGAGTTGGAACTACCTTGGATTGAATAATGGATTAAAAATATTTCCYGTCTTTAGTCACTGTATTTATTACCAACATTTTAGGATAAAAATAAGGAAAAAAAACCCAACAGAATTCTATTATGTAACAATACAGGCCATATAAACTCTCAAGTATTTTTAAATACCTTATCTATTAGGCATTATAAATTACTATGTTTTAAGGCAGATTCATCTTTCCAGGCCAGGTTATTTTTTCCACATATGCAGTCTGCCAAAGGGAAATTCTTCTTATGAAGGTTCCCTGACGATTTGATCAAAAGTTAGAAAGCTGCAGAGTAACCATTTAAGTCTCCATCCTGAACAGACTCACTATCCCTTTCATAAAGGTCTTTAAATTGTTTCCAAGCAAACAGACAAGTTGTTATAATGATGGTGCTCCTGTTTAATTATCATGGTAAACTCTGAACTCCAAAAGTCTCATTTCTTTTAAGTTTTTCTCTGTAAGTGCTGGTAACTCACCAACTTCACAGGTCGAATTGACATGATGGTTTTACTAGATCCACCCCAGTCAAAGAAGCATTTGTATTTTCCTTTCTCCAATACATATTGTTCTCCACAGAAATATTTCTGTTGATATGCCACCCACCTGGAGAATGACACAACATGAAACTGAAAAAGCACATTTTTCTATGTAGTTTGATGACAACACCAGCAARTCAAGCACAACAAAAAGTCCATCTGGCAGGCAATGAAATATTAAACCTGATGAGAGGCATAAAAGCGTCCCACACTCGACTTTCTGCTTTTTCCTACTTTGACAAACTCAAGACTTTGGGTGTCTGCCTTTCCATCAAGTTTACATTCATTGTAAGATGATTTCTGCTCAGAAACTCAGAGGAAAGACATTTAATTGACGACTTTTTGAATCTCTCTCAACTACCTGTTCGGCATCTTCCAGACAGGGCTTTCTTATAGCTCTTCCAGTTGGATTTAAGAAGAAGGGTGCAAGRAGAAAGAAGTAACTGAGGAAGGCTTGATGAGATAAAGCAACAGCCTGCAGTAGCTGACAGTTCAAGCTTCTCCCACCCTGCTTTCCCTGCTGCAATTTAAGAAGAAAGAAATCCCCAACTAGAGGGTCCCTCTATCCCTGAACAGGGACAGAGGCAGATGGGGGCTGGTTAGAGAGGCATCACTAAATCACCCACTTTTGGTGCTGCTTTCCTCCCTTACTCACCCAGCATTGGGACTGTTATATCACAGATATTACAGGGCATGTCCTTCTCATTTCACTTTAATCACCACCGATGGATCTCTTTGCTATAAGTTTGTCTTTTTTTAACCTCCTGGTGCTCTCTGCTACCACAGCCCCTTCAACAGCAGGTTCCAAACACTCACTGCCTCCAGTGTAGGAAAGGCTTTTTTTCTTCCACCCCAAAATCTGCTTTACAGCTATCTCCAGCCAGTTCTGCAAAGCATTCCCCCCACAACTGTTGTCACGCAAGATTCTGTGAACTGCATTAATCTTGTCTTGCCACCTTCAGGATTTTGCAGCTCTCGTTTGTATCCCTCCTCTTTAAACTGAGTCTCAGCCTTTCATTCTTGCATCTAATCCTTATGWGACACTTATCTCCAATCCCTCCATAAGCAGTTCAGGTCCTTCACTTCACAGTTCCCGATCCCCATCACCATTAGGGTAGGTATGACAAAGTTAATACTGCACTTTTAAAATTGCTATTAAATGTCTAGAATTTTAACCCACATGGTTCCACACTGCTCTTTTCCCTAAATGTCTTTTACATTCTAGCATGTGTTATTATTTTTCATGTACAATACCATGCCTTACAAATAATAGCATACTCTATCATTCCAATAGATACTTTCAAAAAGGCTTTTATATCTTCCTGTGAACCTCTGCAGTATCTGCCAGATCAGAGCTGTTATTTCGTGCCAAGCATTTGAGTTCCCCCACACTACTTTTTAGCCTTCTCGAGCTTYTGGGTTTTGTCCTTGCTCCTTCAGTTAATATTGCCTATCTCTGTCAACAGCCACTGCCTGTGGTCTAATTTACCTTGCTTATTTATTCATACTGTGCTGTGTATTTTCCTCCCAAATTTCACATATTGGCATACCAAAAGTTATCCACCTAGAAGCTGTATCAGCTTGAACCAGGTCCTCTTCAACACTTGTCGGTTTAACCCCCCCCCCCCCCCCCCCCCATTTTAGTTTAAATAGCTCTATAAAATGTATTTTCAGTGCCAGCAGTCTGACTTTATAACAAATATAGGACATCTCGTCCTTTCTGGACAGGCTCTACCTGTCCCAGAAGTTATACCAGCTCTTAAAATGTCTAAAATATCTCTTCTGTATTACTGTCAAAACTTCTCTACAATGAAACTWTAGCGTGTGACATCTCTGGAAGGACATCACAAACTTTATGTAGTAACAAGAATGCTCAGATCCAAATTAAGGTGTAGGCATGAAAGCTACAGAGAACTAAAATTTTTTTTTCCTTCCACTCCCCACGGAAACTTTTAAAACCCACTTTTCTCCTCCACCTATTTACTACCTGTACCATGTGGAATATATTCTGCCAAAATATGTACCCAATGGGCACAGAAATTTTTAACCATACATTTCAACAGACTTACACTCCACTTTTCACAAGAATCGACTTTGTCTCTGGGCCAAATCCAGCCTGCTCCAAATCAKGGATGTCTTCATTGACGATGTCAAATGCTTTCCCATCTTCATCATCAGACTGAAAAAGTGCCACTGAAGACTCCATGAAATCCTAAAAGGCAACACAGGAGTTAGAGGACTGTCACAGTTCGATGACTCCTCGCAATATAAAACATTTTGGAAAGCAGCTGTAGCCAGAAAGACAGTGTTTTATAGAGCAGTGAAGGGACTTGACCCCTGGTGTGGCTCTCCATGGCAGATTGTGGCATTGAAGTTCTGGRGCAACCAGGAGCCTGGCAATCTGATATGGCCTTCAGTGGTTCCCACTGAAGAGAGGAAGAGCCTGTTGTCCCTGAGCACCATCCTTTCCTCTTTGAGTGGCTCAGAGTGCAAAGATGCCCATGTGGGAAGGAGAAGAGTTGGTGATTCAGCACAGACCTTCCAATAGCCTCACAAACATGCATGACCATGACTAGGGCTTTTTACTTCAGTTCCCCTTCCTCATCCCTTCCCAGCAACATGGCAATAACTGTGCAGAAGAAAAGACTGGGCAAGATCACCTTTCCAGCTCATGGGATTTGTACTTTTTGGATACATCCACTGTAGCTATAAATAAATCCTGCTTAACACTGTCACATTCTCTCTTACATAGCTGTGTGACAATGCTTTGTGCTTGCAGTCAGCTTAGTTTCTAGACCAGATTACTTGCACAGCTTCAGATTATTTGAATTTGGGTTTCAAATCTTCAGCTTTATAACCACTTAGCAATTTTAAGCACACAGTTCAGTTGCTGCTTGGGAAAACAGAAAGCAACAACCCATTCACTTTATTCCTTTAAYGTTTAACAGAAAGCATGAACTCAATTTCAGTGTTTCTCCAACATCTGGCACTGTTATAGTAAGTTGAAATGAAGTCTTGCAACCAAGAAATAAAGGCTATCAACCAAATCATGTGGCTGACAGAGATCCATAAACATATGAGGACACCACCATGGGCATTATTACACTAAAGACTGAGAAAACAAAGACTTATAAKTATCAAAACCCACTTAGAAATAAGGGTCAGACCAAGCATGCAGCCAGATATTTGGTCAGGTGAGCCTGATCAAACAGGTTCTTTGGAGGATGTCTTTCTACAGGATGCAATCACAATGAATAATTAAAACCAGCAATTTTAGAACCAACACTTGATGTGGTTCAACTTCTCTGCACTGTTTGCAGGACAGTAAAAGGTGATAGAACAAATTCTGCAGTAAAACTGGTTTTCTTACTGTGTTAACCACTTCCTTCTYTCATTTATTTAAACAGTTGCAGCTACTTCAGGTATACCCTAGAAATTAAAGTGCCAGATCTGGAAAAGTCATCAGGAACCAACTGTGGCTTTTCCTACTTTTTAGGGAAAAAAARACCCAAACCAAGAAACCAGCCAAACTAGTGCAATATTAGTGCAAATGAAAACCAGCTACTTTTACCAGTCCCAAAGCAAAACACTTTGTAAGTGTACCTGAACAGTCATTAAGATCCAATCTCCAACAATTTCCTAAACTAATTTTGAAATACTGAAATATATCCACGATAGCAATTAAATTTAAAATATCTTTCAAATTCAGCCATCATTCCTTCCTCTGAATTTCCTTAGAGTTTCTCTTACAACAAGCAACAGGGAAAATACTTTTGAATAGAAGACTTTCAGACCAAGGCAAATCATTCYAGACCTGAAAACATCAGTGTGAAAGCTCCAAAAGCAACATACTCTGCTCCCCTGACAAAGACTCAGAAGCTTTGCTCTTTCACTCATCATGACAGCCACGGGAGCATCTGAAYAGCTTTGTATATTGCTAAGCCCCGGTGACAGCTGGCACTGACACAGGCTGATGAGGCTCTGCAGAGCCATTTATGTGTCTCTGCCCCACGCTCCAGCTCTGGGAGCACCACGCAAAGGCTTTTGATCCCGCTGTGCTRCAACTGACTCAGGTGTTCAGCGCCCAGCAGCTTCAGCTCCCAGCCCTGTGAGCCAGGCTCAGTTGACTGAAGGKCTGGCTTGGCCTTAAAGCCAACACAGCCAAGGTCAGCTGGCGTGGTGCCCCAGCAGAAAAACATCTAAGTCTGGCTGAGCTGGCCCCTAGAAGAGCCCACACCAGTGAGTCTGTACAGAGCAGGGTCAGTGCCCAGCCCCACTGCCCACCTAAACTGACTGTGCAMAACGTGGCCTCATTACACTTCACAAAAGCCCAAGCCTTCTACAGAGACTCTCGAATTCATTTGGCTAAACCAGAACTGATAGGGAAGAGCAGTAAAGATCGGATAACTAGAGACATCYCTGTGGGTTCACAGACCATTGCAACCTTCACCTTCCTTCCCCTGAGAATTCCTGAGGTTAGRGAGAGGAGCCAGCACATTTGCTGTGCAGTGAGGGGCCTTAAGCACATGGATTTTGGATTTTTGCCCAGTCCCCTTGAAACAGAACGTTTGGTACTAAAATATTTTTAAAATCCTGACCTTAAGTATTGTACACAAAGWCACAAAGTGAGCATATGGCCAGCCTGAACACTGCCCTGTGTGCTGCACATCGCAGAGAGGGAGGCAATCTGCTGGTCAACCAAACAACAGAATGCCACSACCATTACTCATTTTGTTGGCAAGCAGCTCATTGCCTTCAGTTATGCAACAAATTGAGGGGAATTATTACTTTTCACTTCTATTATCAATAGGTAAATATTTATATATAAGCCAACTGGGATGATGCATGTTGATATATGACTGGGAATTATATTGTTTTTAGAATGTTAATGACTTGAGCCTTCTGTTCTAGGTGCAAAATTAAATACATGACATGGAAGGTCATTCTTGCCAAACACAGGAACAATTTTGGCTTGTATTTATGTCCTTTGCTAATACGAAAATTTAAAAAGACCAATTGAGTTGCTCAAGTATCCTAGATAAAGATGGAAAAGAGAGAAAAACYAAAATTAGTCAGTAACTGAATAGGATTCTGCACATTCAAAATGAGGAATCTGAAGAATTTCCTACCTATTTTTTTTCTCAGAAACATGAAAGTAAGTTATTTAGAGGACATTTTTCTTCAATTCCATTCCCTCTCCTATCTTTATTTTGACAGGTTCTGATTATCAATACAGCTTTTGCTAGGTGTCTGTAATGAAAAACAAACCTGCAAACTGTGAATTTAAGCATGGCTTCTTGGGTTCACATTAACTTTTTATTAAAAAAAAAAAAAAAAAAAAAAAAGACTCCTGAGACAGTGAGTTTGCTCTAAATGCTCAATCCTCACAAAATTCCTGGCTCGGGAATATCACATCTCCTCCAATAAGGAGATGAGTAATCTGAGTATACAAAACTGAGTAATATCAGAGTGAACAATCTTAGTCTCAAAAAAGGTTACTCTTTGCAGCTGTATTTAATGCTCACAGAGTTCCCCTTATAATAAAAAAAAAAAATCTTCACACCCTTAAACAAAAAGTTAAAACCAAAACGAAGGAAATTATAAAGAAGTTCAAATCCCATGTTTCCCCATCGCTAAAACATTTAACTTTGCTTCTAATACCAGATTCTTATAGCTTATATTATTGTATCATCATTGCCTCCACGAAATACATTTAGAGTAGAAGGGATTTTTTTAACTATGATTATTTTTGCTGCCAAAATTTTCTGGCAGAAAAATCACAGACAGAGGGTAATGCTGTTTTAAGGCTTGCAGCAGCTGCTGCATTGAAAAKCTATTTTTATTTTAATACAGAGCTACACTGTACACTTATGCACGTTATGCTCTTAAGAAAATTCCGTTTGAGGGATTCAAATGGCTCAAGGTGCAGAAGTGGGGTACTTAGAAAATCTGGCAGGTAGACAAGGAATTCTGCATGATGCAATTTCTGTAAGTACTTCACAAAGACTATTTACAACCTGCTTCTTCTGAGCAATGTACACAGTGCAGTCTAAATTTCAGCCAGTTAAGAAAAGAATGAGCATGAAACACGGGCAAAAGATGGAATGATCAAACCCAAGACAGCTGTACCATGTACAAAGAATGACCTTGCTCTTTATGGACAGAGCTGTGTATAATTTGTGTGAAATTCATGTGAGCACTTACAGCCTGCAGGAAGCGGAAGGACAGGAGGGCACTGTCAGCTCCCCCCCAGGAGTGTCTGTCTTCATAATCTCCCTCCTCCAGCAAGTACTGATGGCCTTTGTAGCGCTCCTTATCATAGGCAACCCATCTGTGGCAGCCACACAGCAAAAGAAAGAGAAGTAAGGAAAGGCAAAACAACTGCACACATGATTTTCTGTAACAAATTAAGGGGGAAGAGAGCATCCCARGAACTCTTAAAGGAGTTTCACAAAACCAGCCAACGAACAAAGCCATGGTTGTTGGGAATCACAACAGGCACCCATGGAGTGTTCCTTGTGGATCAAAATCTTCCCATGTGACTCTTTAGCCAACAATGGATGATTTATGTAGCACTCCTCTGTGCACCTCCTCTCAGCCAGCCACATTCCCAACACCAAGATTTGGTACTACAAAGCCCAGGATGCATCTAGGTGTCAAAACTTTCAGTGAGTAAAAAACAAACAGTGGATCTCTCCAGTGTGTTCATAAATGATGAGACTCCATGCTTGCTGAAGCGGGTGACAAAATTAACAGATTTCAGCAGGACAAGATTTCACCTGCTTATATTGCTTTTTTTTGCTTGCTTTTATCTAAAAACATCTACATATAAACAGACAAGCAAATTGAATATATGAACTGTATTGCATATGGAATATATTTTAGCACTAAATAAATAAAACATTTCAAAGTATTTTGAAAAAATAGATAAGGTTCAATTAAAAGAAGGTATTTCCATATCAACTTCAAAAGCTCTAATATATCTTAATGTGAAAAAGTGCTTCCCCCTCCTTCTTTCTTGTAAGCATTTCTTTCATTAAAGCTCCCTTGTAAATATTAGAACTGCTGTACAAATTCTGTTGGCAGTGAAATTTGGCAGGCAGGGGTAGCTTTACTTTTAGTACCATTTGGTTTACATTAATTCAGCTGTTTAGGTTACCACAGCACTAAAAATAAAAGCTGCCACAACAGACAGAACAATGATTTTTAATAATCTGAGGCTTCCCAGATAGCGAACACACAATGCACTTATGAACAGATTATCTGAGTATTAACAATTAAGTTTGTTTTGAATTAAGTGCTCGTAAAATTATGACAACAGGCTGAAAGGATGTATGTTATCCCATCTTTATATTGAACTGGAAAATCCCTTAAGAAACAAAAGCAAGATTTTCTGAAAACTGTTTTATCGCTAAGGTTTTTGGCAGAAGCAATYATCCTGCCTGCATATAAGCCTCTCAACCCGTTGGGTCTTGGAAGAGGGTGAAAGAACAGTATGAGGGGTTGGTAGCTGRTGCTGAGTCTGCCTCAGAGTATCCACCTTTTACACAGGTGTGACACAGCACTGTGTGTGTGTGACTCAGAGAGGGCAGGGCAACACAGAATCCATCCAACACCTCAGTGAATAAAAACAACAGCCGATTCCCAATTCCAGGTAACATGCGACAGAAAATAGGTAACAGGTGRCACAGGAAAGCCATTAAGATGATAGAACAGTTTGCAGGCTTCAGAGGTATTAAAATGTCAAACTGAAGACTGACTACACCTACCCAAGGTCATTTTGGCAAATTAAGTAGAGACTATCAGAAGTATAAATCAATACAAATTAAAACTCTGTGCGAACATAGCAACAAAGTGGCCTCATTTATTGGCATCCCAATGGCAAACACTGACTTTACACCTTTCACASACTTAGCTTGGTAGGCTGGTAACTGACAAAAGAAATATACACTCCTTTCTTTCCAAACCATTTCACCTATGGAAGACTCTGATCACCCCTCAGTTAGCACTTCTAAGCACTGAGCTGTGCTTCTGTCCTTTAAAATAGATAAATATAAAAGTRAAATATACTCACACTCCACCAATGACACGTAGTGATCCAATTTCCTGGAACTCCTCTTCACTACCAAACAGTGCTGGGACTGAAGTGACATTTTCTGAAAACTCTTTGGACCATCCTCCAAAGTGGGTTTTCTCATATATAATTATCTAGAAAACATGATGTTGAGCTTAATCCCTCAAAAATAGGAAATTAGCCTCTCCCTGTACTTTGCTGAAGTTTATTTCCATGAGTGCAGTAACAGCCCATTCAGGTTCCTCAGCTGCTGACTTACCCAGATCAGCTATAAACAGTATTTATACTTGTTGCAGCATTTATTAGAAAAACATCCAAGTCATGCGTGTATTTGTATAATCTAAAGTTACCCAAATCATTAGCATTTTTGTAGAAAAATGAGGAAATCAGCTCATCAGATCACAGAAGGATCATGGTCTCACTCACAACTCTTGTACTGGAATAGGGGATAGGATGGGAGGGTCTTCTTCCTATCCCCTYGCTCCCTTTCCCTTTCCTTTTTWAAAAAAAAAAAACTTGATATGWTAAATAGGAAAATCTCCCCCAATTTCTTTATCATTACAGTGACTAATGTGTCAAGTCAGAAAAAAMTCATTTTATAGCAAATTCACCTTTTCCTAATATGTGAAGAAACAAACTACTACTACTTTTACACCTCATGAAACACAAAGTGAACTTGGCAGCATTAGTGAATTTCTCTTCAGCAGCAAGCATGGAATAGTTATTAAACATACCAAACAAAAGGAAAACAGCTCACACAAAGGTTTTATATTCCCAATGTGCTTATTTTTATTCTCAATGCCCTCTGTGCTTACCTTGACATTCATTGGCATTTGCACCTTTAGTCCACCCTAAAAAACAGATGGGGGGGAAAATAGGTATTTATATTAAACTTGAAGTTACACTTTGACATGTGTTTTATAGTACTATCAGAGCATGAAGTCTTTGCAATTATATTCACCACTTTCAGTGCTAGCCATAGATTTCAAAATGCCAGGGACACTATAAACCTGACCTACAAACAAATCAGTGCACTTGCAGTGCACTGCAATTCAAAACTATCCCTTCATTGTCTAGAAATCTAAAGTAAATATTTACTACATGTTTTAAAATTAATTGTTATTGACCAATTTTTAAAATTAACTTTTAAAGCTTTATTGTATGTATGTCAAATTTCTAAARCATAAATGGTGGAGCACTTAGCAGAGAGAGAAAACAGCAGGAGAGAGAGAAAATACAGACTGCATCTTCATGTTTATGGTCAAAGAGCAAATACAACAAATGCATCTTCTCTGGAAATGTGAGTGAATGATGTTCTGTGAAGGARTAAGACTGACCTCACTTGAGTGACTAAAGAGACAGCTATTAGGTCTTACTCCTTTATGGTTTTTAAACTGTCTTTCAGTAGGATTGCCAAGTAGACAGTAAAATTTGTGTTACACCCCTTCACATCTCTCTCACATGTAGACCCACATGCTGTCTACCAACACAAAAAACAGCTGCACCTCCCAAGATTTGTGTGCAATCTGTGGTCAGAGGAATACCATTGGGTAATAAACTCCTTATCTGGTCTTACATCCCCAGCAGACTCTTAACTGTACAACTGAAAAAAAGAAAATCAACAACTTCAGAAGGGCTTTTTGGTGCATGAATTCGTGGTGTGGATTGCAATAAAATGAAGAGCCTTTCAATTCTGTCTTATTTGACCTCCTCCCAATAACAGCAGTTTCCCAGGAAGATGTTGGGGAGTGCAGAAGCCCAGCAGGCCACAGTGACCAAAGTAAACACACCACAGAGGAGCATTACATGTGTGAGGATTAACCCAGAAAGAACATCAGAGCCCAAGTTGTATTTAGGTCAAAAATCTTTGGGGAAGCAACAATAAGAAAAAGGAAGGCACACAATGTACAGGGAATTGTGAAGTCCTCACCATTCTTAAGGGACGCAGAGATTTTACATCTGCTGAAGGAATTTCAGTGGGTGAACCACATTCTTCCAAAACTGTCATCTCTCCCTTGTAATTCAAGTCTGAATATGCAAGCCATCTGTAACAGAAAGGATAAATGAGCCAATACGTCCAGTAATTAGATTCCAAATACAAAGATTTTATTAAAATTATTTTGCTTTTTGTATTCATCAGAGCTGGATAATGTTTTAGATACTGACAGCACATCAAAACGAAACCGTATTTTATTACRCTGGCAACATCACTGCTAAGAAGATTTCAGATACTTTTTCTTAGACCAAGCTAAATATAAATGGAAAAAGAAAATTACCAATTTGTTCATTCACTTAGAAAAGCCAGCTTGTTATTTAATGAGTATACAAAAAAAGTCAGTGATGACTGAATACTTTAATGAGTATACAAAAAAAGTCAGTCACTGAAGATGAGACTTTGCACTGATTTTTATCTAGTATTGTCACCTTATGAATTAAAAGGCTTCTAACATCAATCCCATTTCATTTTTTTTCAGTGGAATCTATTAAAACAAGATCATTTACAACACTCCATTGGAAAGCTATAGCAATTTTGACATGAGGATTGAAAATGCTGACTTCAGACTGTTTAAAATCAAAAAGAAAGCTGAATGTAAAAGCTGCACACAGGTTTAATAGACAACACAAGGAATGGAGGAAGAGGCACTGAGCCATATGGAAAGCGATTTTCTTAAAACTACCAAGTTTTGTCAAAATTAAGAGAAGATTCTCTTTTTATTCCTGCACCACCTCAAGCTTCACAGATATATTGTGAGATTGTGGGAAGGAAGAGTTGGCTCACGTGGAAAGGCAAAGACTCTTGTAACAGAACAGCCAATGTCATTCTGCAGTGATTTAAGAGAAAAGCCACACAACTCCTAAACTTCAGGAACTGAGAGGTGTTGGCCACTGACCCAGGGAACAGCTCATTCTGCCCAATACAGGAAGTGCTGGGCTACCCAGRGGCCTGTGTCATATTGCATCACCTCCCTCCAGAATGTCAGGATACGGCTGGAGCTTGAGAAATGCTTGGATGATGTAACACTCATTTTCTGGTATTCAGCCACAGTGTTATGGTTATAACAGGGTGGGTGACCAGGGAGACACTATCTATTCTCCAATGAACTGCGAGCTAATTTTAGCTGAATTGCTTCTGCTATTTATAAAACTACTCAAATACGGAATTACTGAAGACTTCTGCCAGCAAGTAGGAAAAGTGCCTTCAAAAATTTGGTTCCACTACTAGGAGCCCATAAAGCACAATGCTGAAGTGTAGAAATGGGAATATTTAGTGTATGTGTACTGATTCGTAGCAAAGCCCCCCAAATATTGTTCATGCTGCTGACTTTCACCATGTGATGTTACTCTTCTACCTGCTGGCAAAATGCTGTTAAAAAGGTTCAGAACTCACACTCCTGATTTGACTCTTATGTATGGGTTTTTTTCAACATCCAGTTCCTCTAAATTGGCAACTGCACCCTGTATGCAGATGGGAAGTCCCTCTGTACTACCACCTGCCAGGCAGAACTCCACCTCTGGAATGCCACAGTCCTGTGGAAACAAATCAAAGGGTCAGACTTATCCACACTTCCAGACTCTGCCCCCAAAACATTCCCTCTTCCCCCCACCATCTTCTCACTCTTCTCCAGGCTTTACTCTTTTTTWAAATGGGGACTGGAATTTTTAGAAGAGATAAGGGAGGTAAATTTCCAGCTCCCACTAACTTTCAAAGAAGAATTTATGCCTGTCAGGCTACTTTCAAAACAGCCAGTTTAAATATTCTCCTAGTATTAAAATAATGGTTTTTTTTTTTTTCTTTTTTTAAAAGCAATGCTTCCATAACACATACAGATACACATGATGTATGCATTAACTAAAAAGCTTTCCAGAAATGTCTTTTACGCTCCCACCCCTGCCCCTCCATAACAATTAAGTTTTGTAATGCAGAATCCAACTACAGTATCAAGCCATATGAGTGCAGTTTTCTGTTGTGTTAAGTAAATCCACAGCATCTTACAAGAAGGAAGAAAAAGAAGACCAATATTAGGAAACATTTATTTTGTCAGCAATTTTGCTGTTACTGCAAAGCAACAAACTCTATTTCCTTACTGGAGGTTTATTACTGAGATATACCATGCTGGAGAACAAACTGGTTGACCACATGCTCTTCTCTAGAATTTGCAGGCATTTTATTGAGCCACCCTAATTTTGCAATATTTATATAACATGCATTGCCAACACATTCTTCCCCAGCACTCAAACACGTAACGAACCAACAAGGAGCATCTGGAATTTTTCATTTGTTTCAGCAGGGTGTTCCAGAACAGCAACAGGCGGCTCACATGTGTGGYTGGAAAACTTCACTTCTCAGTGATCACCTCCCAGAACACTTCCCCTTCTCCTGCTCACAAATTTGCTTCAGGATAGAGGGCTTTGGCACCATACAGAGATWCCCAAAATCCTAAAGGTGGCTGGAGAAGATGCCCCCTGCATGTGCACTAGAGAAGAGGGATGAAGGTGACCTTAGAGAAGCACCCAGTTACTGAATTTATTGAGGATCTGGAGGGGTCACATGATGACACAGATCCTACATGGGAATGCGGCTTCTGAAAGGTGAAACACAGGAGCTTGCAGAGAAACCCAGCAACAGGGCACAAAAGCTCTGGAAATTACAGCATCTCATCTCATGAGAGCACCTGCAGTGCTTTCCTTCTGCACACTGGTTTTGAGTGGGGTTTTCATGGGGTAACATCCCATGTCTTCTTGGCCAGCAAAGCTTTCTCAGTAGCTTTTCAAATGTCAGCAATAAATGTGGCAAGYAGAATAGATGCACTTCAGGGTATTGTTTCACTTTCCTCCTGAGACCTGAAGTAATATGGTAATAGTGTTTTGGCAATTCTCCCTCATGCACAATCACACTTCCTCTGTATTGTACCTTGCAAACAATGCACACCCTTTGTTTTTAGAACAAAATCTGTAATACCGGAATTCTTATTTTCAGATGAGCAAACCCAGAGAAACAAGGAAGAAAGTCTTTCTAGTACAATGCTGCTTTATGGCAAAGTGCCAAGGAACTCCATTTCTCAATTCTAAGCATACTGCCATACAAGTTTTAAAAAAATTAAAATAGTCTCTCCATAGTTTTCATATCTATATRTATCTTACTAAATCACAGTTGAGAAATATTTGAAGTCAGCAGATTTTTTTCCAAAYGTATCTAATATGTAATACGACTGAAATTCATAAATCCAACAATAAAGCTTGATACAGAAAATCGGAAGTTGCACCTAGAAGAATTCCACAAATAATGATGCAAGACTCTTACTGGTTTCAGATAAATTCTGAAACAAAGCACCTACAAGACTAGACAAGTAGCAAAATAGAAGTATCTGCCTGAGGGCTCAGACAGAATATGAGATGGAATATGTTTAATTCTAATTCACTAGGAGCCTTTTGGTTTTGTTTTTCATTTAAGATTGGAAAAAGCCAGTCTGTATTCTCTTTTCAAGTCTGTTCTCCTGACTCTGAAGGCCATGAGGCAGTCTCCAGCTCAAGAGATGACAGATCTAGCAGGGTAGGAAAAGCACAAGCACTCAGAACAAAATCTCTCCTATTTATCACCATTTCTCTCCAGCCAGATTTTGACAGTCATAAAAAACCTCCACTTGYGGTGATGGCATTTTTGTGTGTTCTAGATTAAATCCACAAACTTCTTTCATRAAGTATCACACAATAAACTGAGGTCTTCATCAAAACCAATTCAAATATCTATTTTTAAAGGTAGTTGCATGGTTGAGCAAGAAGTGGGTAATATTTTCAAAACACATTTTTTAAAAGTCACAAATACACATTTGTTCTTAAATATGGAGTTCAGTTTACCTGTACTGACTGGGAAACATGGTGACATTTATTATTACTATGTGAGATGAACGCTCTGTATTTGCAGATGTACACTCTGTGCTCTGCCACTAATTTATACAATTCAAGCATGCAAACTTAGCTTGGCAAATATTGGCCCCAGCATGTTCATATTTGCCTGAGCATATTTAATAACCCTCATTACTTTCACATGGTTCTTTAACATTCCCAATAAAGCCACCATCTTTAGAAATAAAATGAAAACCACACAAATATGATAGCATTCAGATGGAGAACTAGATCCTTCAGTGCAAAGCCCTGTCATCTGCAAGGCGTCAAGATTTGGAAATAAGATACCCACATGCAAAACTATTATMATGCAAAGCTACATATACTACATAGACTAACACAGTACTTCAGCCCAGATCCCAAACTGGAAGGTTTCCTTCCTAAATCCACCCCCCAAGCCATGCCAACTCTATCACAAGCACTCCAACCTCATGTCATTCGTTACCCTACTGACACATCAGGCAAAAACACAATAAAAAGCACATCAGATTAGGCTGCTGTGCTCATTTCCAATGATAACACACAACAAGCAAATGCTTAGGTAGGTCACAGCCTCCAGGCATCCCTCTCTGCCTTCCATACWCAGTGGTATTCTCCTCCTACCTCCAACACAGTCATCCTGGAATGCTTGTGCTTCCCTCGTGGTCTTTAGGGAGCTGGGATATTCACAGAGCACGTGGAACACTTATGTACACCTCCAAAAGAGTACCACGGCCCTCAGCAGAAAGGTGAAGGCTCGTTCTCAAGAGGATTAAAACAACTCTTCAGCCTTTGGCATAAAATACTCCTCTTCAGTGGCATCTCTGACATTTTTCTAGCCTGACCAAGAGCTCCAGCAGAAATAACAGACCAAGGTGGTGTCTTTTGTTTATCCTTCTTCTGGATCTAGGATCCACCAGCTGCCCTAGCAGCTCCAGCAGGTCTAACTAAATTCARCACTGTTGGAGCTTCTCCTGGGACCTGTCAGCTGTGGTGGCTGAAGTGATCAAATCAGMTGATTTAACTGGGATAGCTTTTATCTCAACAACAGGACAAAGAATGACTAAAGTCTGGCTTCACAAGTTAAATGCCAAAACAAGGGTGGGAGAASAGTCTGTTGAAAACTGGTCCTAATTAGTTCTGACATTCACATGATTGCTTTGTAATACAGTCTAGATGCCATTTTACTTCAGACGCACTGCACCACTCTTGCTGCCACCCACCATCACCAAACCCAACTACAGAACTCAACAGGGCTGGTGTTAAAATAAAATAATACTAAGGAAAGTARTGATTACTGTGCTGTAAATACCAGCCAGCCAACGAGACCATCTGAAGCTGCTGGGTGTTCTCCTATGGCACCTGACAAAGTAGTCCCTGCTTAAACTATTAACTTCTTTTCACCTAGTGAACCACACAAACAAAAGAAACAAACGCTTCATGTAATACAGTGAACAATCCCATTGCAAGGAGCTTTGCTCAAGGAGACTCCACAAGGAATCCAGTTATTTCCTACTGACCATCTTGCAGACAGTGATTATAAACTGCTGATTCAGACCCCTTGTCACCTTGCAAAATAGCGGTTGCCAGGATTATTCCAGAATGGAGGTGTCAGGAACTCTTCTTGGTTCTTATTTTTGGGAATGTAACATTTAGCCTCTTTGAGCTTTCAGAMACAGACAGAAATAAGCCCAACGTAAGCAAAAAGGGCAACATATGCATTTACAGTAGGCCAGAGACTAAACAGACTGTACTGCAGGAGCTGCACTGAACCTGTGCGTGCAGGCGGACTTTACTTGCCTTGACTCATGTGGCCTTAGTGGAATTCAGTCTCCACATTAATTCAGACAGACCTTCATTTCACTGGTTGCACAATCTGTTTCTGTGGAATCTCCTCCCCACAGTTTTCTTGAAATTAAATACACATCAATACACCTAATGCATATCCACAGTCAGCCAGGCCACAAGCTAACCACAAAGTTAACAGAATCTCTGCTTTTTGGGGAGGCTTGGAGCCAAATCAAGAGCACTGGCAGACTGTCATCAAAGCTACTGGCAGACCGTTCTTCAGTCAATATGCTAGTAAAAAAAAAAAAAAAAAAAAGAAAAAAAAAGTACCTCCTATAGTTTCCTTAGTAAAAATCTGTTTTTCCTCTTCTTGGCAAGCTGTTTTCTTCTCAAATATTTAGCCAATGTTCAAATCTGCTAACTCAAGGCAACTGAGCAGCCATTAAACAAATATCTTTAAAAAACTATTTGAAAAATGAGAAGACAAGCCAGACAACCTGGACACAGAGCCAGTATGGCCGAACTAGCCAGGAGAAAAGACACTGAGAGCCTAWGAAAAAGAGAATGACAGCAAAACAGGTGAATCATACACATGAACTGCCTGAAAAAGAATCCACTATTTGTCAAATAGAAACATCTATATTTTTCACAATAATAAATAAATAAGGTAGCACTTTGGCAAACTAAGTTTTGGAAAGTAGTTCCACAGCAGCTGAAGTAAAACCTAAAAGAGAGGGRTGCCTCCATGGATCAAAGTTTAGAGGACTCATGGCTCAGGGAGTGCACTAATCTCACCCAGCATACCCGCCAGAGGTTTAATTTACACAAGTAAAGTGTTGATTACAGGACTAGTGTACAGTAACAAAGCTTTCCATCTGTGTTCTATATAAATGAACCACAGACTGGAAGAAGAACCAAGGTCAAACCTATTTAGCTGCACTGCAAAGATTTTTATCAGGCATGATGAAGTTAAGCTCAATATCCTTCCCACCCAAGCATTTTTTTTCATACCCAAGACATGTCCAGCTACCCTTGGCTTTACACCTTAGTTCCACACGTTATTGTTTATTTATTTAGTTGCCTTTATTTATTTAGTTGACTTCCACATTATTGATCAATATTCATATTATGTATTGGTCAAAGGCTTTTAATTTTTATAGCTCAAATAAATGCTAACTTTGTTATTCTTGCCTTCTGTCAGCCTCTTTTGAATTAATTAATTTGGAAGTTTTTTAAGAGAATGAAAAAGCCTTTCTAATTGTTGTGAGATTGTGCCCCTGTACTGATGACAAAAAGGATATAAATTTTAAAATGGCCTCTACACCAGCAGAGAACAGAGAAACCACTTTACTGAAAATCTTTCACACTGTGATACAAATGATAATTCACTCAGTTAGGGCCATTGCCCTGTGAATAACTGGAATGCTACACTGAACAACGGGAGCACTAAGTCTTCTTAAATCACAAGATCTGGTAAATACATTCCCCATTCACTGAATAACAATGGATGCATTATATTTAGTTTTATACATTTGATTCTTATCCTTTCAACAAAAAGCCTTCTAAACTGATGGCTGTAGGCAGAGGCACATGCTGTAGGTGTACCACTGGTTCRTGTGGAAACCCTACAGATGGCACAAGCTGCACAGGGAATGGCAGCAATTTTTGGAGCCTATGCTGTGCAAATGGGATTGGAAAACCAACTGATGCTGAAACAGAAGCCATACAGACTCAGCAGAGAGCTTAAGATAAAAAGTTTTTCAAAACCATTACTTGATTATGTTTAATTTCAAATTAATGGACAGGTAAACATCTAAAAGGAGGGAATCTGTGTTAGGTGAGGGAGGTGGCAAAGAAACATAATCCATCTGCTCATTAACTCAGGAAGAAAGGGAAATTTAGCGCAGCAAAAGCCCTGGAATCTATCACSTAGAAGGTGAAAAAAGTGAGTCAGAGCACATTTGAATAAAGTCAGAAACACTACAGACACATTGTCCATTGCTGGTAATACACCAGTGTGACCAGTAAATCAATTATGCATGTGAGAATACGGTGAAGAAAGTCTGTACCTTTGTTACGTGTTTGATTGAACCAACTGTGAGGTTTCTTTGATGATGTTTCACATCTGGAAGATCCCAAAGGTGATCCAGCACAGCCTCTCCTTCTTCCAGTACGTATTTTTGACCCCGGAACTTTGGTTTCTCATAAAAAATCCAACTGCAATAAYGATACAATGAACTGAGTTGTTGCTGGTAGAGCATATCTATGTGATGGAAAGCCCAGGAAAAAGCTCTTCTTATCAAGACAAATATGACATTTTTCTTATTCTGTTCCTCACTAGTCCCATTAACTTTGGTATTTGAAAGTAAAAAACATAGTTCTCCTCCAGGACAAAATATAAAATAAAAAATACAGYTAAACCACAATGGAATTAACAGCCTTATTTCACCAGAACAAATATATTAATTGTCACATCAAAACATGTCCTGATCAGGTAGACACTATGCAAGGCTCTTAAATATAACTAAAAATGGCATTCAGCATTTTTTAGGATGTGAAGGAAATGTATGCAAAACCACACAAGGCTGCCTTAAAACTGCATAAATGTGACSTGCATTGCTGACAGAAACATCCCCTGTAAGCTCCACCAATTAAATTCCAATGCAACAACTGACATGGACCTGCCCCCAGCTTCCCAAAGCAAATCCAGAAACACTTGAAAACTTAAAGGTACTTGTATATATCCTTCTGCATGCACATTCCTTTAAATGTCACATTAAAACCACCAGCTGATAATGTTCATTTGATGGTCCTTTTGTAACAGCTAATGTATAAGTGAAGTGAACCATAAAAATCCACCTTTTTTTTTGTCATACATGTGTTCCTGGTCATGATTATGGCTGCATTAGCTCAGCACTTCAGGCAAAAACTCTAAACTTACTTATGGCTCTATTAGAAACTTTCTGTTTGAACATAGCTCCCAGGATAAACATAATTTTTAGTGCAGCATTTAAAGCCTTGCTTTATGTTTTTTCACCGGTATCAGTCTACCTATTAAGAAGGAAAGAGACTCCTGCAGATGGGATGTGTGTCATAACTAAAAGAAATAAAAATACAAAAGGAACACACATGCAGTCTTTTGGAAAGAACATGATCTGGATTTCTTACCATCCTCTAATGATCCTAAGTACTGTTCCAATGGGAAAGATCCATGATGAGGCATCTAGCACATCAGAATGAACTTCTTGTTTACTTCTGTTGCCACAAATATAATAAATAATAATCTGAAACAATACACAATGCATGCAAATGAGGGCCCAYTTCAACACAGAGCACAGACAGTTACTTTCTGCTTGCAATTTGAGYGCACTCAACTGAGAGGGCTACAAAGTTTCTTCTTTTATGAAATACTCTACTGAATGAAAACAAAAATTTTTAAGAAATACATCAAAATTACTAGTGGCAGGATTTCAAATAATATATTCTCAGTAACAGCATGTGCAAGCATATGCTAATAATACATAAAAATACATAAAATTAGACTGATAACTTCAGATGCTTTCCATTCAAAAATTGTGGTATAACAAATTATTCCATGTATCATATTGATTTATGTGACACAAACTCTGCTTACCTTTCCTGGTCTTGGATTGTGTTTGAGACTTGCCCTGTCAATGAGGTTCTGAAATCAAAAGGACACGGCAAACAACTATTAACACCTACAACAGTGGCACAAAGCACAGGCAGATTATTCTGGGTCCACTATTCCTGTACATGTCCACAACTGCCATTTGTAGAAACAACCAAGATTTGTTTTACTGATATTCAGTGCTGGTGTAAATTGTTTAACAGGGTCAATCAGCAGAAAGCAGCATGTACTAAAAAGGAAGAGCTGTTATGGAAGTTATAACCTTTACAGATGTATTACCCTTCCCCCGTAAACAATGCACTGCTTTTCTTAACAGAAGAAAAAACAGAAGATCCCTCTAACACAGACTGGAGTATTCCCAACATCGTGGAAAGGCTTCTTCAGTTACACACTTGGTCTATGCAGCACTTCCAAATTCTAAACATGGGAAGAACTGTTTCCATACCCTCATTTGCCATTGCTTTAAGTTAACTAAAAAAAGAAATGTTAATCTATGGAAGCAGCTATAAGTAAATAACTTGCCAGCTGAGCTACAGTTTGTAGAAGACACTGTGATAAAAATATCAAAAAGCCCAGTAAGCTRATTTTTTTACAAGACAGCTCTACTAATCTCAGAAGTGAAAGAAATAAAAGAACAATTTCATATTAAAGACAATTCCATCATCTTCAGGTTGAAATGCCCTTAATATGGAGAAATCTGTCTTGTGCTATTATAAAARCTTGTTATTATGCATATTTCCCTATTTTACCTTCTGTTCAGATACTCCATTTTACAATTAAATCACTTTCACCTGTGTGCTGAACCAAGACTTACCTTTTAAAGTTATTTTATTGGAAGACTTTTTTTAAAACCTATGAAATTAAAAAGCCTAATAACTTTTGATAAGAACTTTCAATTTATTTTATGATAAAAACTAGCAAGGAAAATAGGGAGACAATAACTTTGAATCTGGGCTAATCACTTTAATTACAARTATTATGTGACATGACATCTTACCACTGACAACTCTCCCAGTTTTGGCATGGCATTGTCTTGAAACCAATGAATCTTTGGCTGCAGCATATCCTGGAGGATGCTTCCAAACCTGGTCCCCTTCTCAGAAGAGCCATTGCGGGCAGATTTCAAATACTGGTAATACACACTTGTAGGAGGATGTGCTACAGCAGCATCAGCTTTCTCTGGAACTGGTTTGCAAGGTGTTTGACTGGAATAAGCCACATCTAGAAGCCGTTCTGGTCGCTTCTGTGAGTCAAGCTGTTCTTTCGAAAGAAGAAATGATGGTTCGGGAAAAGAAGATCTACTTTGGTCGTTCARTTGGGGGGTTGATTTAAAATTCCCTGTCCACCCACTGGAAAGGCAGTTGTCTTCTCTCTCAGCATCAAGAACATTTTCCTCATATGATGATTCTTCTTCCTCTTCCTCCACTCCATCCTCCTCATCTTCCTCCTCTCTGCTGAACCGAGYGCTGAACTGCAGCCGCTCAGACACCGACTGGAGGAGGGAAAGCACGGAAGAGGGGTCAGAGTTGTCTTTAGAGACTCCCCCAGGACGGCTTTCTGGAGACACATCCGTGGACAGCAGATCTTCCTGGGAGCTGTCATCCTCATAGATGGGAGACAGGGAGAAGGGATAAACCCTGTAGCGCTTGGCCTCCACACTCAGGAATGACTCTGAGCCTCGGCTCTCTGCTGCGTCAGTCACCTTGCTGTCCTGCCCATACAGACAGGCTGACTCCTGCTTATTCCTTGTTCTGTCACACCTTAGATGACCTATATTATCTGAAGGCAAATCAGAAGGAGAAAGCAAACCAGTCTGCATATCATCAGTGGAGACAGATTTGTTCTCAGTTTGAAGAGCACCTTCATAAATGATGGTAAAGGAATTGTTTTCCCACTGTTCAATCAGTGGAGAAGAGGCCAAAAGTTCTGTTGGTTCCCTCATGTCATTGCTGCTGTCCAGGCCATTTTCTTCAAGCTGATTATTTCTCTCCATGTCTTGATCCTTTGTCTGTGCCTGCTTCAGATTCTCATTATTCTGGGCAAAGACTGTGTTGAAGCAGCGTTTCCCCTCACTGCCCTCTCCAATAGCAGACAATTCAGGTACCACAGACGGTGTATCTAATCCCGTATTAACCTCTGCTCCCTCCCTTGCCCCTTCTGCTAGTTCCTCTTCACTCTCCACTGCCTTTGAACTTTGAAAGGCTGCTTTTACTTTTACAGGTACTTCTTCTGCAGCCTCTTTCCCACAGTGTTCGCACAGACTGTCCTCTGCATTGCTTTCCAGAGACATATGAGGGCTGCTTTTATCTTTGGATTCACTCTGCAGGCTAATACATTCTTCACCAGGCATAAAAGATGACAAATTAACATTTACAGCTGGCAGCAGCGTGCACTCTGGCATATTTGTATTATTGCATGAACCTTCTAACTGCAATGGCAAAAGCATTTCTTCAGTCACAGTTGCATCTCTATCTATAAAATGTAAAGTTCCATCAGATTTTCTACTCGTTTTTGATACTTTGCCACACRTTTCTGCTGCAGCCAGATGGTCACACACCTTTCCGTTGTGCCTCTCTTTTGCTGGTGTCAGAAGATCTGTTTCTGGCCTTGCTAAACTGCCAGAGGGAAGAACTCCATTTGTTTGAGAAGTAATTGCATTATTTGGTATATTTTCATCTCTTTGGGACCAATCTATGCCATTTTCCATACTATTTGGAAGCAAAGGAGGACCCAAGCACTCTGCCTTTTCACAGTTTACATTTACAGTGTGAGTTTCACCCATCTCYACTGGTTCCTGGGTGTTGGCAGGAAACTTCATATCCAGATTTAATGTCTTTGGCATTTCAGCCTCAAGTTTAGGCTGAACCTTTCCAAAAATCCTTTTCCTCTCACTGCCTTGCTGCTGATTCGATGCCAGTTTTTGTATGGCTGAGTTAATGACCTCATCAACTGTTTCTTTCGCTTTCAGTRCTAGCACCCTATTTAGGTCAATTTTATCAGTGATGCAAGAGAGTATCTTTTCAACTTGATTATTTGTATCCACTCTTTCATTTCCTGTAAACGAAGATGAGCCTCCTTCACCGGTCTCATTAAAGTCTTTTAATGATTGCACAGCTGACTGGATTTCTGCTGCTGCCAGCTGTACAGTTTCAGCCTTCTGATAATTTGCARTATCTGTATTAAAACTATCCTTGCTCCCACAAGGGTGGCAGACACCAAAGCCTTCTTTTGCTGTAATTTCTTCTGTAGCCAAGTATAAGACCGAGTTCACTATTTCTTCAGCTTCCTTCAACAAAACAGCAGCATCTGGGAAAGAAGAACATTCCTGTCCCTCCACATCGGTATTTCCCCATTCTTCCCCAGAAGAGAGGCTGTTTGCCTGGGCAGGTGCAGCAGCTTTTTGGCCAGAAGGGGCTTCCAAGACAGCAGAAGCACCAAGATTCACCTGTCCCACAGCATCCCTGCACACACTCTCAGAATGGGCTGACTTGGATGCAGCATCCAAAGATTCCAAGGGACAGATTGGTGATGCCATTGCCTCTGCCAGGACACCGCTGTCAGCCTGTTGTGTGGAGAAGGCCTCATCTGTCCCATCACTAGCCCTGTGACTGGAAGAATTGCTGTTCCCCTGAGCAGTGTCAGACATCTCCACGGCAGAAACAGGAAGACTGAAGGCTTCTCTGGATACCAGAGGAGAAATGGGCCTGAGGATGCCAACAACCCCTGCAGCTATTCCATCAAGCATAGCAGGAGTAATCTCAGGTTCCAGAGAACTTGCTGGGCACAAAGTCCTCAGGTCTCCTGAGCAAGGTGACCCCTCGGTCGTCCTGTCCACAGGGATTATTCTYCTAGACTCTGCAGCTGGAAAAATAAAACTGTCCTGTTCAGAAGCAGCAATTTGGCCATTTTCAGARCTAGTGGCAGAAGGGAGCATTTTTCCTTGTTTGTCAGATGAAGAATCAATTGCTGTGGGTGATATCCACAATTTATTGCTGTCTTCCTTCTTGGAAGAAAAATTAATAAACCTCTTCTCAGAAACAGGTGGAGACTCAGAAATCAAGTCTACATTGGCTTCTTCGTGGATGAAAGCAGAATGGTTGGTCAAAAGCTTTCCTTCAGATCTCAAGGCAGAAGGAGAAACCATCATAGATGGAGAGCTAGACTCGTGGGTTAGAGGTGCTGTCAGCTCATCAAAATTTGTTTTCACACTTTGACGCCCATGTACACACAGTGATGGGCTGGAAAAGCTTTCCTTTTCCACTGCAACCTCAGACAAAACCTTCATTGTTTCCACACACTCTGTCTCTAGACAAGCAAAACTAGTCTGCTGTGTGGCAGCATCTGTAGAATTCTCCACTTGGATTTGCTTGTGTCCATCCTGTACATGCATTGCTTTCTCTAAGTCACTCAGTTCTTCATTACAAGTCCCCCTGCCCATGACTGTATCTTCAGCGTGTCCAACAGATGACACTGAAGTGGTTAGATTACCTCTGGCCATGCACTTTCCTCCTCTGGATTCCATGCTAAGTGAAGTAGGTATTCGTTCATCAAAAGGAAGAACAGTAGCCGGACAGTTCTGTGGATTTTCCTCTCTTTCTACAGCTSCCACAATTTTCTGTGAATCACTGTTTCTTGGATCCCTATCTTTATTGGCACTCTTGGTATGCTGATCTGCTTGCTTCTGAAATGCAGTSGTACTGAAATGAAGCCTCTGGACATCCAATGCCCTCTCTAAGTGATTATCCACTTGATGATCACAGCAACATTCTCCCTTCCTCACCTGCAGCTCTTCATTAACTGTCTTGATTCTTGACTTGGGTGAATGTAAACAATCATCCTGTATTTCTTTTGGGGACTCCTTATTAGCTTTACTACAATAATTTTCTTTATCAAAGTTAGAAGTGGTATTTTTGTCTGTCTGAAACAGAGTTCCTGCCTCTCCTGACAGTCCATCTTCTTTTCCAACCAAATTGTTTGCAGAACTGACCTTAAGGGAATGAGTACTCTGGGAAGAGGAATTGGTTAAGATCCCACTGTTTCTCCAACTAAATGGCAGTAATGAATCTAATGAAAAYGTCCTTTTAACTTTTGTTGCAGCTAAAGCAGGTGTGTTTTTTAAGTCTAACTCATGACACGATTCAGTGAATGACATTGTGGCCTCCGAAGTTATTTCATGTTTACTTCTGCTCAGGCAATGCTGAGTTTTATCCGACTGTTGGCATCCCATTCTAACTGCAGAAGAATTTAATAGGGCATCATCTTGGTGATCTTTACCCTCATGTCTTCCATTTTCTTCTATTAGGCATCCTGATTCCAGAGAGAGAGCTGTTTGGACTTCTCCATTTTCTTTGACCGCTGAAGCATTTCCGTTCTCAGGACTTTTTCCTCCTTTTCCAATTTCTGATTGATTCTTCAGGAGCTGCCTGATCCTTGCAGAACCCCGATACGTTGCGTAAGTGACTGCGGGTGCTTCTGGCTTCTGTCGTTTGTGTCTGCAACAAGGATCATCAGTATCAGCAAAAATACACAATCCAAATAGCTACGACGGTAATAAAGGTTAGCACTAAATGCAGATGATGCAAAATACTCTTTTCCTTCACAGCTTAGCACAAACTGCAGATTGCACTYACACTATTTTCCTCCTTCTTCTGCTATGTACAGGCTTGTGTGACAAATGATASAGACACCACCTTTTACCAAAAAAGTCAACTTAAATTATAAGCAAAAAAGTAGACTTTGCTTTAACCAATTTCCATCACTGATTTTCTACCAGACCATTTCTAAGTCAATGTTTACAGTGACAGAAATAATCATACTGTTTTGAAGATGTTATATCCTACTGAAGTGGGCCTGTACATTGAAACTGAAGAAAATTTACTGTACTAATGCTCATAAAAATATGGAACTGAAATTTAAACTTTTATCCAGGCTCTCAACATATTGTTAAGAAACTGGACGAGGAAACACAAAATGTGGGGGGAAAAAAGGCCTACAACAGCACATGTTTCTATGGATCACAGGGCAACAAAGAAAGAGATTGGATGGAGAATGGGTAAGAAGGAAGACTGCTGGAATGCTGGAAAGAATACCAAAATGGGAAGACTAGGAATGTTACAAGGAACTGGTAGATCTAGCCATCCATTAGTCTTAAATTTAGCAGCAAAAAACAGTGAAGGCAAAAACTAACAAATGAAAGAATCACCACAGAGGAACTGTGATCCTGATCCCTCACTGCTTTTTCTCTTAATACTAAGTTCACAACCTGTCACTTTCAATTTTCTGAAGAAGCACTTTTTCTTCTTTCTTAAAACTAGGAGACATCACAAACACTCACCTTTCTTTCAAATGCTTCTCTCTTTCCCCCTATTTTTCCACCTCTTAAAGAATTCTTGCAAAAATCAGTCACTGTCAGCTTTTCCATTCTTCATGTTAAGACAAAGTGGATGCTCAGAGAAGACTTAAAATCCCTTCTGCCTCAATCTCCAAGTAAACTAAGAAGAAACCCTTTCAAAGTCTGCCCTATATCTGCTAACCTAGTGAATGGCTGGAAACAGCCATTCAGCTGTCTGGAAAATTTTCATACTCATTTCAGAAGAGCCGCTTGGGCAAAAATAACAACAACAAAAAAAGATGTTGGCTAAGATTTTGATTTCTAATAGAAAAGCAYTGCAATATATAAAAATAGCTTAATAGCTTTTAAAAGCTCTTTGTACCTTCCTCCATTAGTTTAGTTTGTTGAGAAGTTGTTAGAGCTCTACAGTTGAGAGCAAATAATTGAAGTGAGAAATAAAAAGTAAATTTACTAAGGAAAGTAAAAGATATGMGCACCATTGAGTAACTGTAACTTCAAATCTTGTCTGCATGGATTCTGACTATATGCTCTCTCAACGGATATGGAAGAATATAAAAATGAAGTGGATTCACCAATCTAAAAACAGAATCTCTTTTCTGTCAAGATTCAATATTAATGATATTTTGAAGAKAGAACTTAATGCTATTTAAAATCACAAGCAAACATCCCTCTTGTGCAGTACTTGGACATGCAAAGAGTAAAAGTAAACTAAAAGTGAAATTATTCCTATTCATGAACATTAAAAGAGAGATATAAACAGTCATTTATATGCATGTTTTACATTGTCAGGTATCTTTAGGGTAATGCCAAAATACATTAATATGTGAAAACTTGAAAATGAGGTTTGTATTGGGATTAAATTYGCTGTGATCTCTGATGAAAGCTAGGGCAGAATCTCTGCATAGGGTTTCTTGGCCAGGTATATTAAAYCACAGAGGAAATGTGGAAGTCCTGTACACATCTCCCAAGCACTTGCCAAGTTAGATGCCTACATTTAGTGTCCCATAGCACCAGTTTGGCTTCCAGAGATACCAGCAGTGGTAGCTGCTAAAGCATCACACACTCAATTTGTTAAAAYGGCTGATTTGAAGAGTCACAACCCTTCAAAGAAACATAAACACTTCCGAGTGGRAAAAAAAAAMAAACCAAACCACAGTGGGCAAAGTGTAGTAAAAGAAAAAAATCATTATTTCCCCCTTTTCACAGAAAACTTCCTTCTACATTAGAAAATATTTTCTAAAACTCCAGAGATTCTAAAAATGTGAGGGGAAGGATCTGTTGAGTTCTACAGTGCAGTATATTTACTCAGCATCAGTCACAGCCATACTATAAATAAGTCTTAAGAATGTAAGACCTGATCATGCTCTAATTCAGAATTAACCTTACTGAGTAACCTTTCCTGCTTTAAATAATCACTATTAAGCTTTTACCAACTCCAACAGCTCCTCTACACTTTGGTCARCCTCTAAAATAAAAGTTGGCCTACAAGTGTCCTGAATCCAGATGAAATTTCTCTTAAGAAAACAAGCAGAACACATATTAGCACCATTTCTCAAAAAGACAAAAAGGTTTTACAGATTCTTGAACAGATCAGCTGTAATGAAACGTTTGAAGTGAGCACACTAATGATATTGCAATGCCAAACATTCGTTTCCACCAAAACCAAGGCACGACTTTGAGTGAACAGCTTGACAAGAAGTATCTTTTACTGAATGCCTTTCACTTTGTGGTTGATATTCTTGTAATATGCAGTGGGCAGAACTCAAATTTATGTACAAACATGTGGTGAGAACCAGTGCTCCAGAGAAAACCTGGAACATATCTTTCCATTTGTCTCTCATACTCAACTTTGCCTTCGAATTTTTCATGTGAAATCAGAAATTCTGAAACCCAAAGCACCCAGATAGGAGATGAATAGGTACATTTTACAAAGATTGCCTACACAGGGATGACAAGGCTCATTGTCATGATTGATTGCCAGTATGACTGGGTTCTACATCTACACTGATTTGAGCCACAACTCCTCCCAGTCATTATTTATTACACATGGTCAGGCAAAAAGAAAGTACTCAGAAGTTTCTTTTTATGGCTGTGTGGCGACCTTTATAATTTCTCCCAATTCTTTTTGCTCTCTGTCTTCTGAGGGAATTTTACGCTCCAACTGACCAATCTGAAGTCTGAGCAAGACTCCAAGCCATTTGCCCTTTGGAAAATTGCAYAAATCCAATCCTGAGGAGCCCTGGCTACAGCCCTGCTTCAGCTGCAGAGCCTCAGCTTGTGCCAGTGCCTCTCAACATGCAGTTCTGCTYTCCTGCAGACTCGATTCTACCAAGACTTTTGTCAGTGAACTCCATTTTAAACCAGAACCAACCTTTCCTCCACAAAAGAGGCAGCTTCAGGATCTCTGACCTCTGATAAAAAATTTGCTGCTCAGCATAGAACAAAAATATGCCAGCATACCTTTTAGTTCTAATGCATTTCCTTTTAGAGCACAGAAGCATATTCATCCTGAATGCTCCCATACAACAAGAAGACATTTAAAAAATGAAAACCCATGCTCCTATGCAGCACCAGCAGCTCAGCTTTAAGTCTTACAAAACAAATGCTGCAGAAGCAGGCCATAACACCAAAAAAAAAAATCTTATGAAAGTGTCACTAGAGACTTGTTTCATTTCTGATCACCAAAAGAAAACGTCAGTTCAGAACTTACTTTAAAAACTCTCTGCAAAAATTTTTTTTCAACTGATGTGAGGATGCAGATGAAAGTCTGATTATACAAAGAACCCAGTGTGCATTGTGTCACATATTTCAAATACTAGGAGATTCCTTCTTTCCTGTCCTCACAGGAAGCTATTCAATTCCCTAAAAAGCCTTAAATCAGTTTCACAAAAGACTTTGACAGCAACAAGAGAGGATGTCAACATGAGTTATGTTAAATTTGTCAAAAGTAGGTGCTGATAGATATTTCCTCTATTGTGTAAAAGATATAAAAAGTTAAAGGGGGACCAACTCAAGGAGGAGAGGGGAACATRTTCTGACAGCTTATAATGCAGACATCTTGTGTAACTTGCGCAAGTGGCAGCAGTTATAAAACAGCCTTGTTGATTTTGAAGGCCTGGAGCAGGAGGAAACCTGCTACCTTGAATGCCTCATTGCAGAGCATCCGTAAAGAACACACTGTCTGCATTTTTTCAAGTGTACGCCCTCGAGATGGCAATCCTTCCAACCCCCTTTTTACCATACAACAATGCAGAAAGCAGACAGGCCCACACRTTTTCCTAAAGGTGGAGGAAGACCACAGAGCTTGACACAGCATCTCAGGCCTCCAGCAGCACAGTTCACTGGCACAGCAGGGCACTGCTGCCCAGCCTGCTTCTGCAGCATGCGATACCTGCCTCTCCCACAACATGCCATGGCAAATTTTCCCCTATACCTCACTCATCCAGATAGTTACTCTGCAGCTCAGCAGTCTTCTGCTTTTACAAGCATATCTATCCATAATTCCCCCAATCTCTACTCCCAGACGCCACAGAGGGAGCCACCAGAGAGATCTGCTACAGGCTATAGGCTGAAAATCACTGATCTAGATGTGGTTCAGTCTATCCCTGCCTGACCATTTTAAAAATATGCTGTTGTTTATTTTAATTTTTTTCCACTTAGCTTTTATTCCACTGAATACTTAACAGACAGCTTCTAAAAAAATTATGTTAAGGTACTTTGTCTGGAAACAACTGGCTTAAAGTCACTTTAAAAAACCTTGGAATCCAACTTAGCCAACCAGCTGGTTTCTATGCTCATGTAAGATATTCATAAATGGGAAAAATAAAAGACTTGCTGGAAAAAAACCACTGTGGACTAACTGAATAGTTGTCATATACAACKCAGATGAAAGAAAACAATTTTTTAGCCAGAGGGGATAGCTTCATGATTTAAATCTGCAGTCTGAAATACTTAGTGTCCTGGGACATCACAATGTATATTTGAAAAGGTCAAAAGTTTGGTTGAACAAAGTGATTTACACATAGTTGATTCTGCAGGAAATTTCAAAGCTAATGTTCCATAAGGGCAATTAAGAGTCAATGACAATTTTAATAAAAGCAAACTCAGTCTCTGTGACCTTGGAATGTTTTTTACTTCCCC